CCGTTTGTACCAACGAAAATGATTCATTATTATTATTATTAACATCAAAACTTCACGAACTACATATGGAATCCATTACGATGATTTTACGGTTGATAAAAATGGAATCAGGTGATTTGATGATAATAATAATAATAATAATAATAATAATAATAATAATGAATCATTTTCGTTGGTACAAACGAGTTCTACCGATTTAGAAGCTATCTGTATGTTTTCCTGACGTCCTCCATACATTTAAGATTTTAGAAGCGGGTAACGTATTGAAGGAGTTGATAAATGAAATAGAAAAATATAGTACATGCAAGTACTATCCATGCTGAATCCTTGCTCATGAAAATTTTTTCCGTACCTTCATTTCCGACGCTGCACGATTTTTCCCGCACCCCTTACGTCTAGGGGTGCGGGGTACAAATGAAATTGATTGTAGTACATTCAGGTACTCACTGAGTACAATCGATACTATAAGAAAAACAATCGATTTATCAAACTTCGACTCCAAGTTCACACAGCTCTTCGATCCTCACTGGATCCCCCAGACGTTTTTTAATCACTTTTTTAGCACTCTGGCATTAATAGAATGAAAATTATTGGACGAATATTATTCTTCAAATATTTAACTATTCAATTCCATTTTTTTCTCTTCATTCTGTTTACTTCCAGATGAAGGGTTAATGAACATTATATTGTCTACTCTAGAATTAACTTTTCTCCATGTTCAATAATAGTAAATATATGATATTATCAAAAATAAATGACCACTCCACCTCGATTTTCACCCCCGAACTCCTGAAGAATTCCCAAAATATTCCAGCGAAAATACGGAAGAAGAGAAGAATCCAGTAGTTCAGACTCCGACGACTACGTGCCCTACATTCCCGTGAAGGAGCGAAAGAAGCAGCAGCTGATGAAACTGGGGCGTCTCCGTCAGATCAAAGAAGAGGGTCTAGCGGGAAAAAGTAGTAGTGAGAACGAGCGAGACAGGGAGGAAAATGAGGATGACGACGGTCAGGTCTGGGGCAGGAAGTCCAACATATCCCTGCTGGACCAGCACACAGAGCTGAAGAGAATGGCAGAGGCCAAGAAGGAGAGTGCCCTCGAGAAGCAGTTGAAGGAGGAGGAGAAGATCCTGGAGAGTGTCGCCGAGAACAAGGCGCTGATGGGAGTGGCTGAGTTGGCCAAGGGGATTCAGTACGAGGACCCCATAAGAACGAGTTGGCGTACCCCTAGGGTTGTTCTGTCAGCAGGAGCAGAGAGATCAGAGAAAATCAGGAGAAAACTTCGCATTCTGGCCGAGGGGGAAGAGGTGCCTCCTCCTCTCACCAGCTTCAAACAGATGAAACTCCACCGAGGGATCATCCACGGCCTCGAGAAGAAGGGGATCACTAGGCCAACGCCTATTCAGGTCCAGGGGATTCCCACTGTTCTCTCTGGTCGGGACATGATTGGAATCGCCTTCACGGGCAGTGGAAAAACCCTCGTCTTTGTTCTCCCACTGATCATGTTCTGTCTCGAACAGGAAGTGGGAATGCCATTTGTCCCGAATGAGGGTCCTTATGGACTCGTCATATGTCCGTCGAGGGAGCTCGCCAAGCAGACGTTTGACATCGTTCAGCATTACACCAACAGCTTGAGGGCGGAGGGATGCCCGGAGATCAGGAGCTGCTTGGCCATCGGGGGAGTACCACCTGCTGAGTCCTTGAAGATTATTGGGAGGGGGGTTCACATCATGGTGGCAACACCGGGGAGGCTCATGGATATGCTGGGGAAGAAGACTGTTAAACTAGACGTCTGCAGGTAAGATTTTTGGTAAATTTAGGGGATGTGGAAAACACGATTTTCTTGAGATTCTCTCCGTGTTTTTTATAGATAATGTTTATAATAGTCGTCAGCTATGTTTAGGAGATGATGAATAGTGAACGGCGGGCTTCTAACACGCGGGGCATAGGCCAGAATGTCAATGAAACACTCGGAGGGGACAGAAATGTAGAAATGAAAATTTTTCAGGAATTTTGAGGAGTTTCGTCATTAAAAATTCACAGTCTAGTGAAAAATCAGGGAAAACTGTTAATTTCAGTTCAATTATTTTATGCAAATTAATAGGAATCAGGGGAATTCAGGTGAATGTATTCCAGAATTTTCAATTAATCGAAGATTTAAAAATTGGGATTTCATAGAATTTTCGGTGAAGTTTGAAATTTTATTGTTGGGAATGAACCTCGTGACCCTTTATACCACTAACCGAACTCCATTATTTAAAATTTCATTATTTTTCATCTAAAAGTTATTGTCAAAAAGCAATTTCTACAATAGCGCAAATTGAACTTACCAAAATCGTCTTTTACTCATAAATCAAAAAGTTCAATTCTTCAAAACATCTGAGAACGTAATTCCTTCATTTTTAATTACTGATATCAAGCGGACAGCTGGCTACAAATATTAACGTAGTTTTATTATTTCAAAGACCTACGAATCCTTAAAAATAATGCGAAGAATTGCATCTCTAAAACATGAGAGAAGTGTCTTCAATTAAGCATTCGCATAAATTGTACTATTGCACCGTCTGCAGGTACCTCTGCATGGACGAAGCAGACAGGATGATAGACATGGGGTTTGAGGAGGACGTGAGAACGATTTTCTCGTTCTTCAGGGGTCAGAGGCAGACTCTCCTATTCTCAGCAACCATGCCGAAGAAAATTCAGAACTTTGCGAGATCCGCCTTGGTCAAACCTGTGACTATAAACGTGGGGAGGGCTGGGGCTGCCTCGATGAACGTGATCCAGGAGGTGGACTACGTCAAGCAGGAAGCGAAGATTGTTTATCTCCTGGAGTGCCTCCAGAAGACGCCACCCCCAGTGCTGATATTCGCGGAGAAGAAGCAGGATGTCGACGCCATTCACGAGTACCTCCTGCTGAAGGGAGTGGAGGCAGTGGCGATTCACGGGGGTAAGGATCAGGAGGAACGATCGAGGTCTGTGGAGGCCTTTCGAAAGGCCAAGAAGGACGTCCTTGTGGCCACTGATGTAGCTTCCAAAGGGCTCGACTTTGCTGATGTCCAGCATGTCATCAATTACGACATGCCTGATGATGTCGAGAACTATGTGCATCGCATCGGTCGTACCGGACGCTCCGGCAAGACTGGCATCGCCACGACATTCATTAATAAATCTAATGACGAGTCCGTGCTGCTGGATCTCAAACATCTGCTCATGGAGGCCAAGCAGAAGGTGCCACCGTTCCTCCTGGAGCTCTGCTCGGAGAATGAGAAGTACCTCAATCTCGGGGATGAGAGGGGATGCAGTTATTGCGGTGGACTCGGCCACAGGATTACTGAGTGCCCCAAATTGGAGGCCATTCAGAATAAACAGGCTTCCAATATTGGACGGAGGGATTATCTCGCCAGTAATGCTGCGGATTATTAAGGCGAGTATTGGGATTTTTTTATTGGCGGGGTGAAACGATAATTGGAAGCAATTATCGTGAATTATTGCGATGGATAATTGTCGGATTAAATTTCTCGCTTGGATCCTGATTTTTTGTTTACCCATTTTTAAGGGGATGTCGATAAACGATTGGATGAAATTAAATAATGGTTTTTTCATCATTTGAAAGAATATTTTGTTCTAAAGAGAAAAGAATGACAAAAAAACAAAATTGGAAAAATTCTTTTTCCGTGAATTTTTATTCATGATGCTGATTTTTCATTGTTCGGCCATTTTTCATTTCATTTTTTCATCGTTTGAATGAAAAATATGGGTCTAAGGAGGAAAGAATGACATTGAACAGTTCAATGTGAACTCATCCAATGAATTTATGCACAAAATTATAACATCATATTATGTCTAGGATGGGATTAACACAGGATATCAAATAAATTATGTTTCCAAAAATTGATCAATGAACAATTATTTAATTTACCTCATTAATACGTAATGTTATTTATACAAAGCCCGTGCAAAAATACAGCCAAACAATTCTTTTACATATGTATATTGTTGTATGTATTAATATATAATCTGCATTTTGTTGATAGTTATTGTTTATCTCTCGGATCATGAAGATTTGGACGAAAACACTTTTGATGTAGGAAGCAGTTCTATGTACATGTCTTTTCACACGTGTAAAAACAATTCAGTTCCTAGATTTATTGCACACGATGCGTTATGATTTATCTTTTTCGTTTAGTCGATATTTACATAATAGACGATTTTAATTGATAAAATAGACCTAGCAATGTCATTAACTAGTACAATTCCCCGGTTATCGATTATTCCTGCTGTATGTCTAGACAGCATCGAGTGGAAAGCGTATCAAAGCAATTTTACACATCAGAATTGTGTCGGAATCTCGGTCACCTCGGCAGTGCGTGAAGTAGTTACAGTATTTATTACATCTCGCGTTGGCACATATCACAATAATTAACACTTCATTTCGTTTAATTAATTCATAATTCATTTAAGGGGAGACTACTGAGTTTTAACAGTCGCAGGCGATTGGAGTGAGATTTTTCATGCACAAAAAAAATTTTTAATGTTGACTAAAGCGTCCAATTTTAAAGCTAGAAAGGTTTTTTTTACATTATTTGAAAAATGCGTAGAACACTAACTACGAGTTAATTTTTCGTTGATTTAACTCCTGCACAACTAATGTGATTTTTATTTATATATAACAAATTGCAATGTTTATGTAAAATTGCCAGAAAAATGATTTTCTAAATATTTATAGCATATTTTCAAATTTTCATTTTTTTCGGGTTGAAAATGTAAAATTTCAAAAAACTAACTCGAAATTTTTATTCGACACATTTTTTCAAAAATAAAAAAAAGAGCCTTTGGAAATCCAAAATTGTCAACTAAAAAAAAAATTGCAGGCCTTGGACTATTTTCAACTTTTTAAGCGTCAGCGGGGCAACCGCACGATAAAAATTTTTTTTTGCACTAATTATGCGTTTGCAGACATATATAATCGATCTTCGACGTATGAGAAATCTCACTCCAACAGCCCACGACTTTCAAAACTGACTGTAGTCTCCCCTTAAGTACCCTACGATCAATTTAATGAGTAAAATTCAACAAAATCCGCAGACTAATTCGTCTGGGAGGATGTACTGAGTTTATCGGAAGACGAAGGACTCGCCTTGGAATAGAGTTGCAATTAAAATGATTAATAACATTGAGGTAATCACAGTTAATGTATGTTATACGGTGAGTATCACGGCCGTTGCACCGTCGGTTAATTGGTAATTACGTATTCGTAATAAAATAGGGGGAGGACTTCTGCGTGGATCGAGTCGAGGAGACAGACTAGTATACATTTTTTTAAATCATTGGCCACTGGTGTTGTGTGGAGAGGCAGAGGAATCAAGTCTTTTAATTTGGTTTACGAGATATTTTTACGTTATCCCCGGACAATTATTCGATCAACCGTAGATGTTTTTACGGCATAAATTAATATATGCCCACTCAATTCAACAATTAATTTATGATCAATTAAAAAACTCGCAGTTGGCGATATTTTTAATTATCCAGTAAAGTCCTAGATTTAAAATCAAATATCAGATCTTCGGCAGTTGATGAAATTATCAGAAAAAGATTCATTTAGATGAATTCTAAACCTTTACCTCTCCAAGAACTACTTGACTTGACTCACCAATTACAAAATCCTCGAATCGTTCAACCCCACACATTTTTCAAAAAAGTCCCCTCCCACACAAAATAAAGATAAAGACGAAGCGACCTCTTTTCCCCGTATTTTACCATTTCTCAAGAGCTTCATATCCTTCATATCCTTCTTCGCCCCGAGGAAAAGTGTATTTCACTTCTTCCTAACCAGAAACGCCTGAAGTGCCCTCCGAAAGAAACCAAATCCTCGAAATCAGGTCGTCCCGTCATCATTTTCCCGCCAGTGTCACCCCCAAAAAAAATCACTCAGAAAAGAGAAATTCACTTTCAGAAAGTAGCACCTCAAGATCGGAGGGCACAGTGTGAAGATCAGAATTGGCTGCATTGGAAGACTCCATTGGCACCCCAGAATTATTGCCCCCACTACCCCCCTGCTTGCCCCCTATCCTAAATTTCTCCTTCTTATTAGAAGTCCTCACAAGTACAGCTGTCCTCGGTGGATTACGACTATGAACACGTGGGTTACTCGATTGTCCAATTTTCTCGGCTTTCTTCAGTCTGACGGAGAATTTGAATGGCGGTTTGTAGACTATTTGCAGGCGTACCCGATCATTCTTGGGGTCCCTGGCGAAGGCCGCAGTGGTGCGAGTGGCAGGCTCCACTCGTCTCCTGGGTTTGGTGATGGCAGTCAGACGATTGGCACTAGTTAGGCCATTAGTTAGGCCAGCAGGTGTTGACTTGCTTTTAGTCAGTGGTTCGGCCCTGCAGTGGGAGGATGAGGCCAGCAGCCAGGATCTGACTTTGCTCTTGGGATCGGCGTTATCAGCCACCACGACATTGTCAACTTTATCAACCTTCTCAGCTTGAGCCTGGGAATAATCAATGACCTCCTTGCTCTTTCGTTTTTTCATGTTTCTCCACTGCTTGGAGGCGCTCTTGGCCCCTCCCTCATCAGCAGTTTCTGTCAACTGTGGCACATTAACTTCGTTAGGTGCTTGTTGTGTTCCATTGTGAAGTGGTGACTGCTCCACCAACACCTTGCGACCCGCCTCCTCGATAAATATCGGCGCCACTCGTTTTTTCTTCTTCTTCTTCTTCTTCTTTTGTATCATAATCTTTTTACTCAGCTTCTTATTACTACTGGCGTGAGCACTCTTAACCGTCTTATCGTTTCTCGCAGCGTGATGCTTGGCGTGATGACGCTTCTCACGTACTTTTCTACTTAATGGAAGTTTAGCTCGTACCGCTGGTGGGTGAACTGTTACACCCTCAGTACCCTCAGGCGGCAGTCTCACTGTTTCCGTTGTCGAGCTGTGAATTATCGTCACTGACTTGAGCTTGAGGTCCGGACGTTTTCCCAGGTAACGGATGCTCACCACCTGAATGCAGATGAGGGGGTCAATATGGGGAGTTTGGGGGCTGATGGAGTAATCGATAATTCAATTTTAGGGGGGGGGATGGGAATTGTTGGGTGACTTACTTTTATCACAGACTTCCTTGGGGGCTTTTTTACAGTGTCTCTGACGTGGCGAAATTAGATAAATCATATGAATAATTGAGAACGTAAGTGGAAATTAGTTCTTGGGGGGAGTTAAGTTGAGGGGTGGAGTGGTGACAGATTAGGGGGTTGTTGTGATTCGGAAAAAAATGTTGTGGCTTTTTTTGGGGGGAGCAAAGAGCTTTAAACATTTTCGCAAAATAAAAGATGGAATTTTCAGTCAAGGGATATGAGAAGATTTTGAAGTAATTATTTCTGGAGTGTTATGTATGGAAAAATGATATAGAGATGTTGAACGTTGGGAGGAAACGTGAAAATTCAGGGCCATGTGTATAGTGACTTGAATTTTCACGATTTTTCGTGAAATAATTGAACTGAAATTCAGTTTCCAACGATTTTTTCAATTGGACTTTTGTATGTTTTGATCACAAAAAAACCAGTTTTGGTTGATCTTCAACGTAATTCCTCTTCATTCAATGTTGTAACTTGTGAATTAAAGAACAAAAATATATAAGGGAGAGTGGGGTAAAACGGGCCCTTTTGACTTTTTTGTGATACTCATAACTCAGAAACAAATTCATTAATTGAGATCAGCCTAGGCTCACTCTAAAGGGGAAGAAGTGCAGCTTGCGTGGGAAAAAAATTATTTCAGTTTATTTAAAATTGAATGAGCTGTTAACATCTTTGAAAAAATCAAAAGAGACCGTTTTACCCCATTCTCCCCTATACATAATGAGAATAAGAATGAATAAAATTGAATGAATCTAATTGCGAAGACGGAAATGGAAAGAAAACAAAATAAATAATATAAATTACCGCTACATGAATTTTTTACAGAACATCTCTATCCGATTTTTCCATACGTAGTTTAACTCATTTCGAGTGAAATTCAAAAGTTCTCAACATCATGCTTCAATAAATTATTACCAACAAAACAATATATAAAAAGTGATAATTAATCAATTGTTAATAATTGATAGTAATTGGTAGTAATTAATTGAGTTTCCAAAAATTGCATCATCTGTTACCACTTCACCAAATAAATCTCACAAAAGAAATATTAAACAACTGAAATTCAAAAAAAGAAATGAGAATAATTCAAGACTACTCACGAGAAGTGATATGGTCCCCAGAATAAGTAGAGCAACAGCATACCAGTGCTCAGCGACCCATCGTCTGAACGTGGCAAGACTCTCATCCGAGAGTAACAATTTACGTAGAGTTGCCAGTGGCCCGCTGGGATCAACTTCCCTGCATTTCTGGAATACGTCGCAGTATCCGTTGTAATCATTGCAGGGTGTACCAGGTTTGGCGAATTTATCTGGGATATCGTAGGGAGGTGAATTCCAGTCGAACGACGAGCTGTTTTAATAATTCAGGGTAATCGATGAGTCAGAGTGGAAATCGGGGTCTGAGGCAATTAGAAAATTAATGGGCTTACAGGCATGGTTGATTTTCGCCAGGCAGACGACAGCACAGCTCGCATGCTTTTGTGGGTGGATCGTTGGGGCCTGGTATGCACTGACAAGATTCTAGACCGAAGGCCAAGCAAATACTTCCGGTGCATTCCTGGGAGCCAAAGGGAATTGATCAATGGGGTATTCTTAACATTTTCGGGGAATATCGGATGAAACGTCTTGTTAAACATGGGGACGTTGTTATTTCGTGAGTTATTTTGAGAGTTATATTCCACTGATTATCTACTGCGATTTTTGTGATGCATATTAATGTGCAGAATACTCCACGGTTTATGTGCACAGTGAGAAAAGAAATTATTTTTGCCAAATATTCATTCACTTGAGAGAAGCATTTATTTTTTCAAAATCGTAGGGGAGTCACTTTTGACTTTTTTAAAAATATTAGTGACGGGTTGAAATGTTGATGAAATTTAATCTTTTTTTTTTTCAATACAAAGAACAATTCTTTCCCTTTGTGATGAGCCTAAACTGAGTTCTATTGATACATTTGTTTCTGAGTTATGAATGATTTTAAAAACGTCTAAAGTGTCTATTTTATCCTACCCTATTTCTTCAATCGAGTCATTCCCAGGGGAGCTTGACTAGGCTTCAATTACAACAATCATGTTGCTCTAGAGGATGACTATGTTGCACATGACCTTGGAGGAGCTCCTCCGATGATTATTCATTTTTCCTAAATTTCTGATTTTCTGGAGGGCAGAATTTCGATCAATTTTTTAATGTTGATAATTATTGAAGAAGTTCACTCAAGGTTGTAACTAATATGATCATCTTCTAGAGCAATATAATTGACGTAATTGAAGCCTAATGGGGATTTCCTGAGAATGACTCAAGTAAATGGATATTTGGCAAAAATAATTTTTTTTCTCAGGGCGTTACAAATCTATATCTATCTGTTAATAGTATATAGAGAATATGTCAGTTTCAATCTTAAAATATAGTCATCCGAATGAAGATAATTCGCATGGAACTTGCTCAATGAATCTTCACTCAATTTCTTCAGTTCTAGACTGACCTCTGCTAAACTCTCTCAATATTGTCATTATATTTTACAGGCCTATATTTCTTCATAAACTATCAGCTTTGCAAATGTCTGTTACGGAATTGCTCTTGAAATTTCAAATGGAATTAATTAAAAAATACAGCTCTCAAATGAAATTAAAAATTCAGTGAAACAAATGTGACAATGTCTGTGAAAAATTTTCCATTGTCTTTTAAAATGACTCTTAAAAATTCAAATAAAAAATCTTGATCAACATCCAAGAATATATGCGAAAATTCCATATCTGGTCACGAATTACTTAAACCGTGGAATATTCAATGAAATTGATTTGGCCTGCAGTTGTAGCTTGAATGTCAAAAAAAAATCAAGAGAGAATGAAGTGACTACTAGTCAAAAATTTTCCATTGTCTTTTAAAATGACTCTTAAAAATTTAAATAAAAAATCTCGATCAACATCCAAGAATTCATGCTAAAATTCCATATCTGGTCACGAATCAGTTAAACCGTGGAATATTCAATGAAATTGATTTGGTCTGCAATTGTAGCTTGAATGTCCAAAAAATCCAGAGAGAATGAAGTGACTACTCACCCCCATGAAGCACACAAACTCCTCATTACAAATAGTCTTGTTAGGTTTATTGATGGAAGGAGGACAGTGTGGAGTCCTGCCATCGCAGAAGCTCGCGTCCCTGCAGCCATTGTCCTCCCTGCACTTGTCCCCAAACCTGAGTTTGCACTCATTGGTGCAGCATGGCCCCTGGCTAGGACTGCAAGTGGCCCTGGGGGTCAGTGTGCAGGGCCTTCCCTCAGCTGGTGGATACCTCCTCTGCGGAAAACAACAGGTATCCCTGCAGTCCTCCTCCCATCCGCAGTCGCATTCCTCCCCGTCCTCCACAACTCCATTGCCACACAGCGATGCCTGTGGCTCCGTAAAACAGCCCTTCGGTGATCTGGCTTTAGTGTTCAATACCGGATTTATAGCATTCAAACTGCACGGACTGAAGCGATTATTGTTGCGTTTATCTCCACTCGTGGCACGTGCAAACATTATAAAGTTACCGTCCTCACCGCCCGGTGTACACTGCTCGGGGTCGTGCTGAGAGAAGGAAAGAAGGACTGGGTTTAATTAAAAGTTAATTGATCAAAGTTTGTAAGAGCTTGGGCACTCACTGGTGATCCAAAATTATGGCCAATCTCGTGTGCCAGTGTCACATGGGAAACAGCAGGTGGCACGTGCTTTCCATAGTTCAGGAGCGTTACGATACCTGTGTTCAGGGATTTCATACTCCCACGGTAATGCTGGGGGATTTGGTTAATATTAGATTGTTTAGGGGTGAGTGGAATGGGTTGGGCGAGGCTAAAGGGTTTTCTCTGTCATTTCGATGATATTGCACCATAAAAGCTTTACAGCATTTATTATTGATTAGTAAAATCCTGGAAATTGTTTGGACATTAATTTAAATTTCATTCAGACCTCAATTTAATTTAAATGAAATTATCATTTTGAAAGATGATTTTTGGGTGGAATTGTTTATGAATTATTTATTCTAAAAAATTGTGATCTTCTGAAAATACAGGTTTTAAATATTTTGTGAATTTTTTTCAAGAAGTCGATTTTTTTTCTGGCGATTCCGGCGAAAGAAAAAAGGCAATGTAAACCGTTGAAAAAAAAATGAAATTTCATGGATTGTTGATTGAAAATTTTCAGGAGGGAGACATTGAATTTTACTTAGGGGAAAAATCGTGAAATTTCAAAGTTCACTGAAAATCCAATGGAATTCCTCATTTTTGAGCAGCCGGAAAACGAGGTTTTCTGAACTTTCTGAGTTTTCAATTAATTGAAACATTTTCACTTAGATTTCCCTGGTTTTTATGAATTCTCATGGAATGATTGCCCTGAAATTCATGGAAATTCCAGTCAAAAATTTTCACCACTCATAATGTGATTCTGTTATCGCAATGAAATCACTGAATGAGACAATTCCGAGAACCTCCTCCTCCTCCCAATTGCCCAATGAACATCGAGCCATTGCAATTTCATTAAAAAACTCACCCCATTCTTCTCACAAACGCCCCCAGCATTCTTCAAATCGCCAGTCCACGCGAGTCCCAGTGTCCCCATCTCAAAGTCCCGATAAGTGAACATGTACGCCAAACAGAAGGCATCGTAGTCCTCCTCTGTGAGAATGGCCAGAGCCCAATCACCAAAAAACAAAAACAGAAAGACCCCCAGAACTTGATCAACTCCTCCCTCGCAGTGCTATTGTCCCCGATAATTGATTGAAACCCCAGTAATTACCTGAGAAAAGTTCCAGGAACTTTTCAACCCCGTAATTCCCAGGGAACCGATAGTTGGGGTCCTTGAGTGCCTCGCCGTTGTGCACCTTGACGCGTTTTATCATGAAACTTATGTTATCGGGTCTGCCGTCTTGATTGAAGTCAGTGTGTTTGTAGATTGAGTTGACTCGCTGGACGTGTCGCGTCATGACTTCTATGCAGGCCTCCTCGGTGGCGTAGCGCGAGAAAAATTGATGATCCGCTTGGAGGTAGAGCATGCAGGTGGTCTTTCGGGGATCGACTGTGGCTCGTTTGTGGAGGTGTCTGGTTATTCGGTTTCTGTCGATTGTCAGCGCTGCGTAACTGCTCTTTTTCCCTGATTATATCAATTTTCATTCTTAAAAGAAGATGATAGTAGCAAAAAGGAGGGAAAAATAGTGTCGTTCAGTCAGACATTAATTTTCCACAGAGAATAACAATTTAACTTAATTTAAATCTGTTTACGAAATAGCAGAAGAAAAATCTCTGATATTAATGCCAAATTTCAAGTGAGAAAAGTTTTCAAACTAAGAATTGTTGATTTTTTAAATTGAGATTATTTAAATGAGATCAGGCGCATCTTTAATTGACTATTTGTTGATATCCTTCGAATAATCTAAAAGTTGTTGTGATAGTTCTGATATGTATTTTCCTTCAAATAAAAATCTGTTCACGTAATGTCAGACGAAAAATCTCTGAGAAATGTTCTTAAAATAAAAATTTTCAATTCTTTTGATTAAAAACACTTGAAGAAATCAGATTCCCCATTAAATGACTATTAATTCAACATCAATTGACTCAAAGTGTCAATATCCTTCGAATAACAGAGACATCGTAATTAACTTTGATATCGAATTCAAAACATCGCGATGTTCCAAACGACGCGACAAAAACGACAGAGAATAACAATTTAACTCAATATAAATCTGTTTACGAAATAGCAGAAGAAAAATCTCTGATATTAATGCCAAATTTCAAGTGAGAAAAGTTTTCAAACTAAGAATTGTTGATTTTTTAAATTGAGATTATTTAAATGAGATCAGGCGCATCTTTAATTGACTATTTGTTGATATCCTTCGAATAATCTAAAAGTTGTTTTGATAGTTCTGATATGTATTTTCCGTCAAATAAAAATCTGTTCACGTAATGTCAGACGAAAAATCTCTCAGAAATGTTTTTAAAATAAAAATTTTCAATTCTTTCGATTAAAAACACTTGAAAAAATCAGATTCCCCATTAAATGACTATTAATTCAACATCAATTGACTCAAAGTGTCAATATCCTTCGAATAACAGAGACATCGTAATTAACTTTGATATCGAATTCAAAACATCGCGATGTTCCAAACGACGCGACAAAAACGACAGAGAATAACAATTTAACTCAATATAAATCTGTTTACGAAATAGCAGAAGAAAAATCTCTGATATTAATGCCAAATTTCAAGTGAGAAAAGTTTTCAAACTAAGAATTGTTGATTTTTTAAATTGAGATTATTTAAATGAGATCAGGCGCATCTTTAATTGACTATTTGTTGATATCCTTCGAATAATCTAAAAGTTGTTTTGATAGTTCTGATATGTATTTTCCGTCAAATAAAAATCTGTTCACGTAATGTCAGACGAAAAATCTCTGAGAAATGTTCTTAAAATAAAAATTTTCAATTCTTTCGATTAAAAACACTTGAAGAAAACAGATTCCCCATTAAATGACTATTAATTCAACATCAATTGACTCAATATTGACTCAATTGTCAATATCCTTCGAATAACAGAGAAATCGTAATTAACATTGATATCGAATTCAAAACATCGCGATGTTCCAAGCGACGCGACAAAAATGAATGCATTAATTTTAGAAAATGGAAAGTCATCAGTCAAATCAACGATAATATGAAGTGTTATTTTTCCCAGTGCGCTATATTTTCATTGGCGACGACAGAAAATACGTAATGTAAAGTCCCAACTACCTTCCCTCGAGTAATAGCCCCCATAATTCCTGATTCTGTGGTCCTGTAGCTGCTCGAAATACGGCTCGAACGATCCCCCATCGTCATCCCCACGTGCTTGATGTTGATCTTCCCTCGAATGACCAAAGCTCATATTCCCGAGGTACAAGTTTTGGCTCGCACAACGCTTCGAGGACTTTGGATTGACGACGTCCGAGGCTCGATACGCTATCGTGTGGTAAGCTGGTGATGTATCGATCTCTTCGTCTTGTTCCACTCGATTGCCTGAACTTCTCGCCAGGTACCTACTCGTCGGCTCGAAATAGTACTCCTCGAGTTGGGTTGATACCGAGCCGTCGAACAGACCGTCGGAGGTAACGATTCCCTCCACCACGGCGTTCTCATCCTCTGGAGATTAGTCAGATTTTAATTGGATGCATTCGGAGATATTACGCATTTCAATCAAATAAAACTACATTTAAAGTAGCTCCACCCTTCGGCCGAGCTACGCTGTACTTTTGGATATTTTCAGTTTTTTAATTTTTCAACTAAATTGCATGGAAAAAATTTGAGAAAACTCATACCCAGTCAGTATTATCTAAATTAAATTTCGCAAAATACTGATATTTTTTCAAACGTTTCCCTCTTATAAATAAATAATAAAACTTTTTTGCAAAACGGTGGATTATTTTTTATGCGGTGTCAAAAAAATTCTTGATTTTTTCACATCTGATGAAAAAAAATTCAGAGTTTAATCTTTGATTACAATGGAAATGTTGATTTTTAAACACTTCTTCTTTGAAACGCCAAAACGATAATTGAATCGAGAAAAAAATTAGAAACCCGAATCTAATCGAGTTTTCTGCAATTTTTTTGCAGTTTTCAATAATATTTGAATTTACAGTAAGGGTACAGCTACTTTAAGGCTCGGGTAGATTATCTTTTGAACGTGATCTTGGTTGTTTTTTTATTTTGATAGTGAGATATGATTTCATTTCTAAATGAAACATTTGTTTGTATGCAAAAAGCTATTCAACTGGTGTAAATAAATATGTAAATGAACGTCAAGCTTAGGGGATTTTATGGATGGTATTAATGAGAATGGGTCTAAACGTCAAAGAGTTGTTGAAGTACCTTCGATCGTGCCGACGTAGGAGTGCAGAGTATCGAAGGGAATTGGCCCTTCGGTGCCCTCGAACACAGCGTCTTTGGCGAAGATCCTGGTGTCTCGTGTGAGGTGCATGGTAAATTTTCTGAGTGGAAACAAATATTCTTATTCCATTGGATCATTTTGATAAGTCGTCTTTCATTCATTAGGTTTTCGCACGCTGATGAATTATGAATTTAACAATGGAGTTGAATTTTCCTACATTCTGTCGAAACGTCTTTTAAACTCGCTCAAGTATCCCGGCAACATGAATTCTTTAAATTAATCTTTAAAGTCCTTGAAACTCAGTGGGAACCTGGGATAGCCATATTCATAAATCATAATTACCGTTAAATTTTGAGGCTGTGATTTAACAACACTCAACATCACTCTTAAATTTTTTATTATTTTAGTAATCATCAGTTTAAATATTCAGATTCTGAACTATTTTATTACCCAATAATTTCGGTAGGAAGATTGCCGATTATTTGGTCAATTGGTAATCCCTTTTAAGAAATTAAAATAATTTACGTAATGGAAAATTCACAGTCCCATATTATCACACATTGAATTCATCATCACTCGCAAATTAAAATTATTATTATCGTACTGTTTTTATATTCTGATGAGAATATTCAAACCTTTATCAATGTAAGTCGCAGGTTCCTTTAATATTGATGAAATTTAATATTAATGGCCGTCCCGGGTGGAAACAAATATTTGAATTCGATGGGACAGATAAGAATGAGCGAAAATTCAGTTGGATTATTTCTTTCATTAGATTGTAGCACTCTGTTGAATTGTGAATTCAAGAATACAGTTCAATTTTCCTACATTCTGTCGAAACGTCTTTTAAACTCGCTCAAATATCCAGGCAAAATTAATTCTTTAAATTAATCTTAAAAGTCCTTGAAACTGAGTGGGAACCTGGGATAGCCATATTCATAAATCATAATTACCGTTAAATTTTGAGGCTGTGATTTAACAACACTCAACATCACTCTTAAATTTTTTATTATTTTAGTAATCATCAGTTTAAATATTCAGATTCTGAACTATTTTATAACCCAATAATTTCGGTAGGAAGATTGCCGATTATTTGGTCAATTGGTAATACCTTTTAAGAAATTAAAATAATTTACGTAATGGAAAATTCACAGTCCCATATTATCACACATTGAATTCATCATCAATCGCAAATTAAAATTATTATTATCGTACTGTTTTTATATTCTGATGAGAATATTCAAACCTTTATCAATGTAAGTCGCAGGTTCCTTTAATATTGATGAAATTTAATATTAATGGCCGTCCCGGGTGGAAACAAATATTTGAATTCGATGGGACAGATAAGAATGAGCGAAAATTCAGTTGGATTATTTCTTTCATTAGATTGTAGCACTCTGTTGAATTGTGAATTCAAGAATACAGTTCAATTTTCCTACATTCTGTCGAAACGTCTTTTAAACTCGCTCAAATATCCAGGCAAAATTAATTCTTTAAATTAATCTTAAAAGTCCTTGAAACTGAGTGGGAACCTGGGATAGCCATATTCATAAATCATAATTACCGTTAAATTTTGAGGCTGTGATTTAACAACACTCAACATCACTCTTAAATTTTTTATTATTTTAGTAATCATCAGTTTAAATATTCAGATTCTGAACTATTTCATAACCCAATAATTTCGGTAGGAAGATTGCCGATTATTTGGTCAATTGGTAATACCTTTTAAGAAATTAAAATAATTTACGTAATGGAAAATTCACAGTCCCATATTATCACACATTGAATTCATCATCACTCGCAAATTAAAATTATTATTATCGTACTGTTTTTATATTCTGATGAGAATATTCAAACCTTTATCAATGTAAGTCGCAGGTTCCTTTAATATTGATGAAATTTAATATTAATGGCCGTCCCGGGTGGAAACAAATATTTGAATTCGATGGGACAGATAAGAATGAGCGAAAATTCAGTTGGATTATTTCTTTCATTAGATTGTAGCACTCTGTTGAATTGTGAATTCAAGAATACAGTTCAATTTTCCTACATTCTGTGGAAACGTCTTTTAAACTCTCTCGAGTATTCCGGGAAAATGAATTTTTTAAATTAATCTTCAAAGTCTTCGGAGCTAACTGTTCGAGTTCAATGAGTTTCACCTAATTTTAAAGCTCATAAAAGGTACTTTAGAATTTGTTCCAACTTTGGGAAATTCTATTCAGGGGATTTAAAGTTACTGAAGATTAAAAGAAGTTAATTTTACGCGCTCTTATTCCTCAAGTTCCGAACTTTATTTCGCGCTGTTTTGCGAATATTTTCGAGATGAATTTCAAGGGCTAGTGGAAAATGTCTCTTTTTCGAAAATGGATAGGATAAAGTGTGACGATAGCCATGAAAATCGGATGAGCACAAATTCCAAGGACATTTGCGTCAAAGAAGCCGTAGAACTATCGACAATGGCTTCATCCGTTTCATTTTTCCTATTTTTACGTTCACCTCCCACGTGACCCACATTATCACTTGAAACAATAGGAAATTCTCGTATACATGAAGAAGTATTATCGTTGAATTTGGTTAAAAGCCACTTGCGCGGAGTGCGCTGAGGCCAATGCATGCGATTCCTTTTGGAATTGCAAATTTCCGAGTGCCAGCATTTTATCCTTCAACCTAATCTCCACGTGACAATTCTCATCGATTACTTCTTAATGACTGATGAGAATTACGAGAAATTAATTGGTGTCTCGTAAAAATAACTCCTCAACAACATCCAGGGAATTATGAGTTTAATTTCAATGTTGAGAATCCAATTCGTTCAAATCAAATCAAATCGTTCATGAATTTTTTATTCGTTTTGGGTATTTAACAAAAATTGGGCATTTTATGTTGAGGGGCTGTTAAAGTCTCAACGAAAGCTTGAATTTATAAACTTGCAGGAAAAATGAACATTACGTTTAAGTGAATGTCCATTCGATCAAAGATACCGAACAATAATTCCCTGAATTTTTGCAATATTCAATACCTTTCATGGTCATTAAATATTTTCTGTTTTTGCGCGGGTCCCCGAATTTTTTTCTGGCCATTCGATTCACTATACTTTTGCACATTACCTTCTATATTTATTTCTATTGTTAGAGTCTTACAACAGGTGAATTATAAATTACATAAGGAAAAATTATTGCGATTAATTTTTTTTCAACATCAAAGAAGATAGTTTCATACGTTCTGCTATCGGCCAAAAAAATATAGAATTCCTTGAACTTGAAACAATAAGATTTGCTGAAAATGGCAAAACATTCTTAAGGATATATTACACCCTTTTCGCTAAAATTCACATTTTTTGAATTTTTCTGGCAAATTGTTGATCGGATTAACGTGAAAAAATATACCGTAATGATAAAAAAAATAAAAAAATATAAAAAACGATAGATAAATTTTTTCATTTTATCATTACTTAGTGCTGACTCACGAAATTCGTTGACTCACGAAATTTCATGATCGTGCAATTATTTTCCTGCGTTTTCCCTAAACTTTTCGGGGATTCACAAAACTTCAGAGAAAATGCGGTAAAATGATTGCACTCCCATGAAACTTCGTGAGTCAGTCAACAATGACAACCCCCAAAAAAGCCATATTATTTCGCGTCAACCCGACCAATAATTTCCCAGAAAACTAAAATAAAACGTGAATTTTGTCCGAAAGAGTGTCGCACATCGCTAAAACCCTGGCATTTCCAGTGTCACCGAAAAATGTTGCGAACACTCGCGCGTATGACTTTGAAGGAGCCCTGATAAGACCCACCTATCGAGCGCATGAAGGCTGAGCACAAGGGCCTGTTCCCTCTCCCCGTCGGCGCCTCTCCGGACCCTCCCCCTGTGCTCCCTGAGCGCGCTAGGGTCGTACCAAGCGGGCCCATAATGCCCAATGTACGTCCGTTTCACAATCCCTAGAATAAGAGAAAACAATAATTCACGGTGTTGTGCACACACCACAGACCCCATAACACCCAACGTAACATGGACTGACCTTCGTGCGGCGGAAGGGGGTGAAGTGGCCACGCGTCTACCAGTATGATACAGAGGATCGCGAGGGCCCATTGACTCGTTGGGACTGCGTACATCGCGATAAGTCCCCGGGGCCCCGCAAACCTCGTCCAGTGGCGTATCACGAGTGTACGGTGCCCCCAGATTCTAATGTCCAGTTGCACCACGATATTTCAGGCAGGTCCAGGCCCATATGTGTCGCATCGTTGATCAGTCGCATCACTGTTCCACAATCAGAGCAACAACAACTAAATAACTCCCTCCCCTCAACAACTATTATCAGTTAAAACTATATTTAACTTTGTTATGCACATCGCCTTATGCAATACGCAACTGCACGTGCCTTTCATCAATTTGTTACATAAATAAGCCACGATGATTTATCGAATTAAATGCAACACCTTGGATAACACTGGTTGAACACCATGAAACGAAAGGAACCGTTAACCGTCGGACACTTATTTTTTTAACCACTGAATTTCCATTAGCAAAGGGGTATACGCGTGAAAAAACGAGATGAATCATAACCGATTGGATAGATATGGCATCGCTGTGTAAAACCGGAATTGCTGAGGTAGGCGGTTGGTACAGGTAGACACAAAGCGATATGAAAAAACCAGCATTGATTGATGCAAAAGCGGATGTAACAGGGGAGGACAACAAAACAATTAATATTTTTTTGCGGAAATGGGGGGGGGAGGGGGAATACCACCTACCTGTTTGAGGCGCCCGCCGCCGAGGCTATTGTTACTGTCCTTAATTTTTTTTTCCACTCTCTCGTCCTAGAGTCTAATTTCATCTAACGTGTCTTTCGTCATCACTCGGCGGTGTTCACTTTAAATTAATTTCATTCAAGTCTTTCACGGGTTTTGTACACGGGACTCGGCCGTCACGTGGACTACTGCATGTGCAACGCGGCCAACCGAGTGGAACAATGCTCCGGTTAATCACTCGAGGATGAATTAATAAAAACAAACAATGGGATGCAGACGCTCGGAGTTGGGCGCAACGCGTCTCGTAGAGCTTCATCTACTTGTGTTTCTTCACTGTTTCTGTTTTGTAGTTTAACGGGTGAGGGGAGGCCACGGTGGGATAGGTGAACGGGTGGTGGAAACGGTTAACGAGGACTCATCCGAGGACAACGACTCCCTCCTGCGTGCCACCAGCGTCATCGCGGGGGCTTTCTCTTCTTTTAGCGCGGTGTCGGGGGGATTGCGCTGTCTCACTTGGGCGCCCGGTGGGTTTATCCACCTCGCGAGGTGGAGGGATAGGACTGTATGACGGCCTCGCGTTCGATCCGCCCCGACGACGGAATTCTGGGAAGGTGGGGGTTTCATCCCCTAGGGCTCGGCGGGGCGGGGACCCGGTGGAAATTTCTGCGGAGACTGCATGAGGAGTTACAGACGTTTCTTGACCTTTTTATTGGGGAGGTGATTGGTGGACTCGGGGGTGCGCATGGGTGATGGGGCGAATTTTCGGGGTGGGGGGAGGGGATTTTCCGGCCATAGGGGGAGGCTGTGCAGGTAGGGGCCTGGATTATCGCAGCCGCGGAGGTCCGGAGGGGTGAGCGCATTGTTAACATTTTTGGAGGAACACCAGATTTTTTTTAAGTGTCAAGATTATTTTACAAATGTCGGTATTTTTATAAATATTAAATTTCATACCGGAAAAAATCTGTCAATTTCTCTGCTCTAAACGAGTTGTTTTAAAGATATTGACAGAAGAGGGAATGAATGATGAATGCATTTTTCGCAAGATTTTTTTGCGAAAAACAAAAATATTTATTTCCTCATTTATTTACGGAATAATCTGCAGATTAATTTTTGAGCGAAATGCCGAAACGGTTCAAAAGACTTCCTTCCAAAATTTCTCAACTGAAAAAATCCTCTCCAATGTCATTTCAGGATTCCTGAAAATATTCACATAAATCGAAAATCCGTCGCACAAAAATTAAAAAAACCTCACACCTTCATCGATTAAAAAAATTCTCTGCAATATCATTTCAGAATTCCTCAGAATATTCACATAAATCGAAAATCCGTCGCACAAAAATTAAAAAAACCTCACACCTTCATCGATTAAAAAAATCCTCTGCAATCTCATTTCAGAATTCCTCAGAATATTCACATAAATCGAAAATCCGTTGCACAAAAATTAAAAAAACCTCACACCTTCATCGATTAAAAAAATCCTCTGCAATCTCATTTCAAAATTCCTGAAAATATTCACATAAATCGAAAATCCGTCGCACAAAAATTAAAAAAACCTCACACCTTCATCGATTAAAAAAATCCTCTGCAATCTCATTTCAAAATTCCTGAAAATATTCACATAAATCGAAAATCCGTCGCACAAAAATTAAAAAAACCTCACACCTTCATTGATTAAAAAAATCCTCTGCAATCTCATTTCAGAATTCCTGAAAATATTCACATAAATCGCAAAATCCGTCGCACAAAAATTTAAAAAAACCTCGCACCTTACTGACTAATCATTCTATTCCCCCAACTCGCGGGTTATCATCGTCATGCGGGCTTTTTAAATCCCTCGATTCTTCGCTCAGCTGTCGAAGTAGATGCCTGGATTATCGTCGTCAACATGTGCCAAGGGTATTCACGGAATTCCCACAGTTTTGGAGTTGACGCTCGAACCACTGGCGACGCTGCAGACTCCAAAAGCACTCTCCAAACGCCCCCCCCACCTCCCCCCAGTCTGTCGAAACACATCGGGCTGCAGCTTGACTCGCTTCAACCGAAAGTTGAGGTTTTCTTTTTGGAGCCCGTTATTTTTTCAACAGCACTGTTGAGTGATTTTGTTGGAGCTATTGTTGACGACTCGAGATATTTGTTTTCCATCGAGTGATCATGGCCGCCGGTGTCATTGGGGCATGCAGAGTCACGGGGCCGGTGATTGGAAAAACAAATCTGCCGATCCTGACGGCCACTCGGTACACATTATCACTCTTATCCTATTTTTATTACTTCTTATTTTTATTTTCCATGGGGATTGAATAACAGTCGTTCCCAGGATCGAATTATTTCGCAAGATGTTTTGACAATTGAATAGATTAGTCTGTTTATTTATTTTTGGAGAGATTTTTTATGAGAGGACTTGCAAGTGGCCATCGCTCGAGGGCCTCGAGCCAAATTAAGTTAAATTTGTTGTTCATGAAACAAATTGCACATGTGAGAGATCAATTTGCTGAAGGGGAAAATATGATAGAATTGATATTAAACAGTCTTGAAATATCCATCAGGAGAATTTTTTTTTATTACCACATTTTTTTCAACAATTCAAGGAGTTATTCACATTTTTTAAAAGTTTGGGGTTCATTTTCCCCCCATTCTTTTTTAATATTCATACTCATTTCGCAAGAATTTTTTGCAATTGAATAGATTAGTCTGTTTATTTATTTTTGAAGAGATTTTTATGAGGGCTTGCAAGTCAAGGGCCTCAAGACGAATTAAATTAAACGGGGTCTTCACTGAACAATATTGAGATGATGGATGTGCCTTAGTGAATTCACATATGAGATCAATTTCTCGAGGGGGAGAGCTTCGAACAATGGACATTTCGAAATATCCAAAAGGAGAAAATTGTATTTTCGAATATTATCACATTCACAATTCATTTATAAAAATTTATTCCCCATTTTTTGATACTTCTTGATGAAAAATTAAATTTAGACCTCAAAATTTTACGCGCAGCTCATGTTCAACAACTTCTACCGCAAAAGATTCCAACAAAGAAGCGTTGAAGCCCTGTGCCTTAAACCTGTTGCATGATTTGTTTGCTAAAAAAAATAAAATCCCAAAATTCGACTGAAGAATATTTTATAACTACGTATTTTTTTATTTGAAACTAGGGGGCTTAGCCCCCTGCTCGCTCCGCTCGCCAACCCGGGGGGGCTTCGCCCCCCCCCCCGGCCGTGTGACCGTACCCATAAACATCTTCCATATGAGTACCCCCTAATATAGTAATCCTCCATAAATATCGATATCCCCTTTATGACCACCCCCTCATATAGACATCCCTTATAAATATAGGCACCTCCTCATATAGGAACCCCCGTATAGGCACCCAGCGTCCCCTGAATTTGAGCGTCCCCTGAATTTTTCGCCTTTTTTAAAAATTTATATAGAGAGAAAAAAAAATGAAAAATTTAAAAAAAAAAATAAAAAAATAACCAAAAATAATAATGTCAATGTTAATGTTGTTGTTAATGTTGTTCATAATGTTTGATTTTTCATTAAATATTTTTTTAATGAAAAATCAAAATTAGTAACTTGTGAATTCTTTATTACTTATCGAAATAAAAAAATGCGTGTTTAATATTTTTCATTAGATCTTCATATCCAGAAATCGAAAAATGTCACGTCAATCCCTGAAGACAATCACGTTAAACCTTTCGAGAATTTCCATAAAAATTTTCAAGCAACGCCATTTTTTTTAACAATTCCATGAAATTGTTTATTTCATTTCGACAAAGGCCCCTGCAGAAATGTTCATGTTTTCTTAACAGTGTAAAATTCAATAATTTGATAGTTTTTCGTGAGCGTGAAAAAAGAGCGCGATTTTCCAAAGTGTTTTTGTGTTGATTACTCTCCAGATTTGTGAGTAAAACATCAGCATGTCAAGACAGCGAGGGCTGGCTGAGTAAACTCGGTGTCCGCAGGATGGAACCAACCAAGGAATCACACTCCCGTATGCTATCGGATAAAGAGGTCATTTACGCGTTACACACGCACAACATCCGGCCCGACTCATACGACAAATATATCAAGAATTAGTAATTACTAATTATCACTTATAATATCTTTGAATCTACAGTAATAATGGATATGAATTTTCTTACCTTCAACGTTTGTTGGTGATTGTTGGGTATTGCAGCAAAGAGAATGTCGATCTCATTCATTCCAAGAAGGGTGAGTTGAATCATGAACTGGTGGCTTCCTGGACCGTCGAGGTTGGCGATCTTGATCAGGCGATACATCTTTGGCAGTACACTGGGGGGTATGGCAAGATTGATCATGCACAGATGCATTTATCGAAGGATGAGGTACAATTACTCATTTCAAGGATCGTATTTTCTGAGATATTCAGAAAATAATGTGTCATTTTTTTCAGATTGAATATTCTGTGCAATTTTTTTCAAAATTTATGCGGGAATTTTGTTGAATTGATTTTGTCACGTATAAAATAATTTAAAGGACACACTAACAGAATTTTATTGCAAGATTCTACCTGTTTTTACGCCAATTGCTTTGAGAATTATACAACGCCCCCCCCCCCTCATTTTCAAATAGATATTTGCAGTTTAATTTTTTCTGTAAGAATTCTTGGGCATGAATTATCTAATTGTTTTCTCTTCGGATTTTATTGTGAGAAACATATAAAAATACAGCGGAAAAAACTTGGAAAATTTATGCCCACAAAATTCTGTAGAAAAATAAAAATTTGTTGATTTTTTTTCTAGCAAATATCTCATTGCAAAATGGCGAGGTAAAATGAAAAATAATGAATAGAATTTTTTAACAGAGTTCCAATGGAAATTCAAGAGAATTTGTTAGAGAAAGTCCTAACTCCATTAAATTCTTTTATGGGTGTGTTTATTGCGTAAATATTTTTGGAAAAATGGGTTCGAAAAGGAATATAAAGAGATCAGCAGCAAAAAAATGCTCAAAATATTCTCAGAACTAAAAGTGAGGCAATCTGCAATGTTCTCTCATAACATAATGTATTTTATTTTCGCTCGGTACATTGCAGTCTTATCAGCGATTACTCAAGGAGCGTGGCAATTATCTCCGCTCTCGACATCTCCAGTATCTCCTGGCATTTAGCTTCTGGCCGCAGATCGTTAAACGAGCAGGACCAAATATTTATGAAATACGTAGCTACAGACTCAGACCCGGCACCATGATCGAGTGGGGAAATAACTGGGCTAGAGCCATTAATCACAGGAGAAATAATGATGAGCCGTTTGCTGGGTACTTTTCGCAGATTGGGAGATTGTACAACGTTCATCATATCTGGTGTAAGTTGATGGTATTTCTCTGGTTTCAAAATTCACAGAAATTTCTTCCCAAGAGATCATTTTCGATAATTCATTGTCCCAAAGTGATTGCAAAGTTGAACGTTTAAGCCGTTTTGAAGATATCTTGGAGAATAATAAATTGAGCGGTAAAATAGAGAGAAGTTTTTTGTCAGAGATTTTGCCAATTAAAATTTTTTTGTAATGTCGTAAAAACTGATGCATGAAAAAATGTAGTAGGAAAATTCTATTTGTTTTATTATGCCTTTTTTACAGAAGATTATGTAATTTTATCGTGTTATTTTCCATAATGAAATCCAAGAAAAAAAAATTATGAAATTCATGTCCAAGAATTCTTATAGGAAAAATGCCAATAGAATAAATAATGATATAAAAAAATCAATATCGATAGACATTTCTCTATCAACAGATAAAATATCATTTTTTCAAAAATGGAGTTGGTAGTTGGGAATGTTCAATAATTGTTGATTGAATTGACGCAAAAAACCAAATAGAATTTTTCGTCAGTAGTTCAATAGAATTTCTTAAATACCTCTAGAAAAAAAAAAGATTTCTATCTTATAAATTATGGAAATTTACAAAAAAAGAGTCTAGTAAATTCACGAAGCAATGACGTTTAAATAATGATTTTTCATCAGGCTACAAGGACCTCCAATCAAGAAAAGAGACTCGCGAGAGTGCCTGGCGCTCCCCAGGTTGGGACGAGTGCGTCGCCTACACAGTTCCCCTCATCCGAGAGATGCACTGTCGCATCCTCCGGCCCACGGCCTTCTCCCCCACCCAGTAAACCCAAAACCAAAATTATGATTGAAGAAAGAAACACAAAGAAAGCGTCAATTTAATTTGTAAACTGCCACCAGGCATTTTTTTTTTCGAAGTCTACCTTCTCTTTTGTTGAAAACCTTTGGAAATTGATTTACGTTTATTTTATATATGTATAAATGGATAGAAATTGAATAATCTTGTATCATCGTTGTTGATAATAAAAGATATGTACGGGAAGACTTGTATAAAATATGTAATAAATATTGTTACTCATTCATTTGATTATCTTTTCGTTGCTCAAAACAGGATTCCCCAAATGCTCAGAGCCAATACAAACATTTCTGCTATAAGACTTCTTCCATATATTTATCTCTAATTAATTCAAAATGCAAAATAACATTTTCATGACGAGATTTTTCACTTTTTCTTATCATTGCGAATTCCACTTATTGCAAACAATTTCTTTATGCTCCTGTCATGCTGTTTGGTATGTAGCACGGTAATTATTTACCCCCGTGAGCGTGGATTGCCGAGTGTCCGGAATGTCCACGAATTCGGCTGATGAAATTAATCGTTCGTTAATTAAAACTATCTAGTAAGGGATGGATGTCTTGCAGATTTGAACATTTTTTGGTTTAAAACATCATTTTTCAAAATCCGATTTTCCATGTTTTTGTATTGCACACAATGTTTGAGGGCTCAATTATGCGTGAAGAGGTGGAACAATTTTATGCAGTTATTTAAATTCTGAAGCTTGAACTTTTCAGAGAATTTTATGAAAAATAGGTGACAACTGTAAATTTCAGTTCAATTATTCCACAAAAAAAAATAGGAAGCAAGAAAATTTGGGTAAATGTGTTCTTGAATTTTCAATCAATTAGTAAGTAACCGCATTTTTCACTAAATAATTAAGCTTCTATTGAAAAATCGACCCCAATTTCACTCTCCCGAGCATTACTAATCAACATTCCCCGAAATTTCAATTTTTTCCCAACAGTACAGACACATTTCTACGCCGACCTTCGTCTTCCATTAATCAACTATCTCTGCACAATGCAAAATATCAAAAATCGCAAAAACTTCCCCCAAAAACCCCAACCCTGCAGAACATCCACAAGAGGTAATTCTTGCCTACGCAACAGAATAAAAAGGGTACCCCCGCAAAAAAAAAATTCCCCCCTCTCACATGCGCTCTGAACTATTAACACCGACGAACAAGCGGCTCCGGGGAACGCCGAACAAGTAGCAAACGCGTCTCATAAAAAAGATTTCTCACTCTCTCTCTAAAACCCTCGAGGATAGCAAAGTGCAGTATTAATCATTAATCGTTCTATCGTTAGAATATTATTATTGTTTTTGCTGATAATATTATCATATTATTATCATATCGTTAATTACTTTTTGCTTTTTTATCTTTCACTTAATGGAACTGTATTTAATCTATTAATAGTTGATTGATATATACTCGCAGGAATTACTTATAATACAAACAAATGTCATTCTCGTGGTAATCAACGTAACTGGAGTTGACCAATTATTGTGGTCACTAGTTATTCTTCATAATTAAATCATTTTTTTTACCTAAAACGCTGTCTCTGGCCTCTCAAATCGTTTATCATCAATTGGTGAATTAATTAATCCCAACTTTTGCCTATAAAATAGTCGGTAGACACTATGTACACGACGCTTGACGACAACATTGAGATTCAGATGATTGTTATTATAATTATTATTTTCTTTTTTCTTTTAATTTTGTCAAGTAACATCACAGCATATTAAAAGAAAAAAAGGGAATTATTGAACAGAAGATTGAGTAATAAAAAAGAATTTTGTAGCCTAATGTGTTCGTTATTGAACACTCATTACAATTAAGCGTAAAAATTTTCATTCGTAAAATTACCGAGCCCACGACTTAGCGTATTGCACCTCAATGTAATTCCAATTGTTACGTGAATTATGTTTATAATTCATGGTGGCACAATGTGGGATTACAACAATACATCGATGAGTTCTCGCTTATGCTTAAGGTATTCAATGGAAATTTATGACAAAGTGGTGGTCAAAATTGGAAAATATCTTTCACATTTACGATTGTTACAGTAGTGAAGTGGTAAAGAGCGAGGATTTCATCTCCTGAGAGTTTTGATTCTTTTTTTCAACTAGTGATAATAGTTTTTTAATTATCATAGAATTGATTTTTCGGATAATTTTGAAAATACCCAGAGAATGCTGAGTTTTAGGGGGAAATGTCAAAAAAATCTCTGCACTAAAAAAATTCTTTAGCAAATCCACTTGTTCTGGAGACTCTTTTAGAATAATGGGCTTGGAATTTTTCATAATTTGTGACTCTTCTAATAATTCTGAGAATATCTCGAGAGCAGTGGATTTCAAAGGGAAAAGTCCTGAGAACTTTGAAATATTCGACGTGATGTTATTTCCCCCACCACTTCACTAGTGATTATTTTAGTTACAAGACTTTGTGCTGATGATCGAAAATTATGGGAACGAATGAGGTGGCCCAATCAACTGATTCTCGATTATTCGACTATGACATGAACACAAATTATACAAGAGGGTGATCTCGAAGCAGATGATGGCCAGATAATGGATCCCATTGTGGTCGTCGGAGTCTGTCTCTTCATTTCATCTCAATTTTGGATTCATTTCACTGTTTGTCGTGAGGAAGGAGCGGGCAATTTATTAAAAGGAAGGTAATTTGTTCTCAATGGAGGACTCGACAGGATACTACACACGTACACAATTACGCTAGCGTTCTCATACAGAGACATTTTTTTTTCTTCTCAATGAATAATGAATCTTGCGGTGAGTTTTGTCAATGTTAACTCCAGTGGTGAAATGGTAAAGAGCAGATTGTTTTGTAAATATGTTTGAACCAAGCTGTTCCGAGGAGAAATGTCAGGAAACCTTTTTGCAAGAAATGTATTTTGACATTTTTCCTGAACCCAGCAGTTGCCAAGATATTTGCCAAATTATTTCAAAAGTTTTTCAAGTGCAAGTTTCAAAAACATTTATTTTGCAAATATCCCTGAGACAAATGGTTCAAATTTTATTAAATACCTTTCTCACAGTTCATTAAATTCACCACAAAAAAGGTCATCTGAAATTTCTACCTCACCCCACAAATATTCACAGAAGAATCCCCCCCAAATGTATTTAAAATTTATCATCATTTTACCAATTAACTACTGACTCGAGTTTCTATATAAAAAAAATAAACTAAAGAAATAATAGTAATTAGTCCCACTGTACTATCGACTCATTGTAGTGCAAGAGTCGTTGTTGAACGTGTGGCCGTATTAGGTATATTGACGATTATTGTAATTAAAGACTACTTGGAGGAAATGACGTGGAGCTATTGCTGTGGGCTAGACTCAACATTGAACCACTCAGGCTCTCGTCGTCTGGGTAAGACTCTTTAGATGCTTCGGCAATCGCTAGAGCACTGGAACAACAACAAAAAATTACGAGAATTCATTGACAAATGAAAGTGACGAATTAACAATTCAAATTGAGAGTAAGTAGAAGAATTATAATTACCTAAATCCAATTCTCGCACTCTCCTCGTCAAATTGTTGTAACTCACGTTCCTGTCTCTCATGCAACAAACGTATCCTTTCGCTACGTTCTTGAAGGAATTCCTGAGTCTCTAGTTCCATTTTTTGTTCTAGGAGAGCTCGTCTCACTGACACACGATCCTCTAGTTCACGCCGCTCACGATTACGCTGGGCCTCAGCCTGCATTTTATTCTTTGACTGATATGCCATCAATATCTCTAGTTCATAATTGAGCCTCTCCTAATGAATGCAAAAAAAACATTGAAATTGATATATATTCGTATTGAAAAAACAAAAAATTCTGACGCAGATTTGAATAATGAATATGTAATATTAAGAGGTTTTACATTTCACAGAATTTTCCTTAAAAATTGCAGCAAAAATGTTCCCTAGAGTCACACTCATCGCCAAATGAATCGAAATTAAGTTCAACTGAATTACGAAATTATGCCCGTCAATTAAAATTCAAAATCTTATGGCAAAATCGATGAAAATGATAAATTCAATTATTCCATGAAAATAATTTGGTACTGAATATTCATTTTTGTACTGAAAATTGAGGTGTTGTTGTAAAACTCTCGTCTTCTTGCTACTCAAAAGGAATTTCCTTGAATTTTCAGTAAAAACGGAAATTTCTTTTTTCCTAACAGTCCAGGTATAATGATGAATCGTGTCAAAATATACATCAAAAGTTGACCCTTTCATGGGCTATTTTACTCTAGGACATCAATCAGTCTCTGACATGTGCTCATAATAAAATAAAACCTGGCAAAAAACGACTGAAAATTCGCGCAATAAAAGATTACCTTAAGATGATGGCATTCGACCTCCTGTGACTCGTCTAACCTGATGCTCTGCTTCTGCAGCATCTCCGCGATACTCTGCTCATACTGATCCCCAAGCAGCGCCAGCTTTCGCCTCTGCTCCTCCTTCAATTTTTTAATAACCGCCTTTTGTTCGTCCTTGGGCGTCGTCTGGAGTATCTGGGCCTTGAGTGCCTTGTACTGACGCGTCTGTATCTTGCACGTCTCCCTGAACTGCTTCCTAATCTGCATCTCCTTCTGCTTCAAACTCTTGGGCTGTTGCTTCAACTCAAGTGCATGCTTCTTCCGCAGATCACGTTCAGCCCGCTGCATGTACTCCTGCTGATTGCAAAGTTCAGTGGCATGTTGGCGCTGTATTTGCTCCTCTCTCAGTGAATGCACTGCTCTTTGTTGTCTATACTCTAATTCCTGGGTTTTCTCGTGGTGTCTCAGTAACATCGCGTGCGCCTGCTCCAACTGTTGTTGGCGTTTATTCAGTTCCTGTGATAACAGATTAGTTTAATTGATAATTGGAGTGATATTATTTGAGAAACGAGTGGGTGGAGAAGAATTCATGAAGAGTTTTTTCACATTTCAAATTCAATTAAATGAAATGGATAAATTCAAAATTAATCTACAGACGTTTTTTACAAAAAATTTCACAAATTACACAGAATGTTTTTTTGAAACAATTCTAAAGCTCAATAATTATCTAAATAAATCCATAAATCACGTGAGAAATTAAACATGTTCTAATATCAATTTTGGATTTTGCAAAAATATCTAAACAGGAAAGTAAAAATCAATGAAGTGAACGTTTAGAATCTTATTAATCTTCCGTCAAACCCCCACCAATGAGGCCCTAAATTTACCTCACGCAGAAGCTCCTGCTCGAGACTATGAAAAATGAGAAATTTTTTTCTCCGAAATTTTCGTATCTCCAAATCAAGATACTCCCGCTGTCCCCTAGCGAGTCGCTGCTCCTCCTGCGCCTCCATCTGACGAAGATTATCCTTCTGGCTCTGAAGTGTAGCATCCCTTTGACGTTTGGGTGTGACCTCATCCTGGGAGAGCTCCCTTTTCCACCTCTCCTTGTACGCCTTGTACTCTCGTTTCTGCTGGGTCTCCAGCGCCTTGCGATCTGCCTCCTGCCTGCTCATGATCTCCTTCTGGAGCTTCTTCTCGGCATTTTGATTCTGCTTTAACTTCCTCTCGAGCTCCTGCAGATGCCTGAGCTGGAGTTTCTCGAGTTCCTTGCTGAACTGCTGGAGGAGTGTCTCGTACTCCTTGTCGAGTAGTTGTTTGTGTGACTCCACTTCCATTTTACAGCGCTCCTCGAGCTTCACGAGGGCACCCTGGTGCTCCCTCCTCATCCTCTTGTAGCCAGACATCTGCTCGTGCATCTCCTCCTGCATGTGCTCCTTCTGCTGCTTAGTGACAATCGATGTTGTCCTTATTGTTGCAAAATTATTGGCACCGTGCTCGAGTAAATTGGCAGTGACCCCGGCTGATATCTTGTGACGATTCCTCACTGAGCCTGAGGAGTAGTCGTTTGCGTCGTTTACATTCGGCAGTGGTAGACTGTTGGTGGAGGAACTTTGGGAGCTCGCTGATACCCCCATCGAGTGGATCGAGTGCTCTGATGTTATGGAGTTGCTCTTGCTGCTGTCACCACCTGTCTGCTCGTCCGGAGTGTCGTCAGCATCTCCCACTTGGCTCTCGCTCTCGCATGCATCGATCATCAGGATTTTCTTCATTTTACGGTAGTTCAGGTTGTCCAGCTCACGAACTGCCCCTTTTGTACGCTGAATCAGGTCGATCAGGACTTGAGGGGAGCGCGTTCTCGTTACGAATCCATGCTGGAAGGGAAGATCATTTTAATCAGTTGGGGGAAGTTTCAGAGAGTTATGAGAGGGAATTATTTTACTAATTTATTGGGGGGTTTTTTTGTGGGGAGTTTCGGGAATTGCAAATGTGAATTTCTCGGAAACTACTGGGTTTAGATAAAACTTTGAACGAATTCAGTAGGGAATGGTAAGACGGTTCAAGTCGACTCATCTCCCAGTTGAGTTTTTGAGAAATATTTCCGAATCTAAGGGAGATAGCGAAATTTTCGGTATTACATTTGTTGGAGCTCTCAATCGGGTCTACAAAAAAGGTTATAATGATAATTTTGCTATCTCCATTAGATTTCGAGATATTCATTGAAAACTGGTCAATAGTCAAAATTCATTGAAAACATTGACTCACCGACAATAGTTTACCAGACGATGGTCTCTCATTGGGGCTCTTCGTCAAACAGGCTTCCACGAAATTCCCAAAAACATCAGACCAGTCTGGTGAATTTAACGTTGGCGTATCATTCTGGGCAATGTGATACAGTGCACTCATAGCATTCATGTTGAAATACGGTGGCTTCCTCTCCGCTGTGAATAAAAAAAGTCCCATTACTAATGAAAAGAAAAAAACAATTCCCCTAATCTCCCAGCGATAAGAAGCAGGAAGTTGAGAAGAATCAAAAGAAACTGGAAGAATCCAAGAATTCATGAAAAATAGAATGAAGATACACTGTTGGGAAAAAATAGACATTTTAGGGGCAGTTGGGTAGTATGAAATCTTGAAATTCCAAATGTTTGAGAAGCAGGAAGACAAGAATTCCTCAACTTACTTGAATTTTCAATCAAAACATGAATATTCGTACCAATTAACTATGAATTTTCAATTCATTAAAAACTGTGGAATTTATTCACCTGAATTTTCCCAATTTCTTTTAATTTTCAGGCAATAATTGAGCTGAAATTCACAATTTCAATGGATTTTTCCATGAAATTTTGAATTTCCAATGGCAAATTGAACTGAAATATCCAAAAATCGCCTAAGAGACGCTAAAAATTTTGAATAGTGCACTTTACCCAATTCTATACACGTGATTCCTAACGACCAGACGTCGACCTTGCCATCATACTGGCTCTCGTCCATGGCGAGAATGACCTCAGGTGCCATCCAGTACGGTGTCCCCACAAAACTGTTGGCCGGGCACTTTATACTGGCGGAGCCAAAGTCAGCGAGTTTGACAGTGCCATTTTCAGTCAACAGTATATTCCCAGCTTTGACATCACGATGTATTCTACCAAGAGAGTGGAGGTAATGCAAGCCACGCAGTACACCCTCACAAATTGCTGCTATTTCGTCCTCCTTTAATGGTCGTTTGTGTACTTCAATTATATCGGAGGCTGAGCCAACACAATACTCCATAACGAGCTGGAAAGTTGGTATTAAATAGTCAGTCAGGGTCTAACGGGAAATTAACGAGTCATTTTTATCGAGAGAAATTGATTGTATAATTGTCCAGAGATTAATTAAATTTTCACGAAGATGATTTCGACAGGAATTTATTTACAATTTTGAGTGAAAGGAGAAATTGGCAAAAACATTTTTTGAGGAAAAACTCCATTTTTTACGAGAAAAATTCTTTGACTTTGTTCTCAATTTATTAATTTCAGATATTCGCAAAATAGTCTGGAGCAAATAATCAAAAGATAATTATAAACAAATGCACTCTCACTCAGAATGTATATACGATATACGAAGGACATATATTGTTGTTTCTTGTTTTTTGTTCTTAGATTTAAAAAAAAAGTTGTGATACGTCTTCCAAGACACCAGTATGTAAAAGGCCTAATCGGCCATATATGGTATTTTAAATAAATAAATATAAACAAATGCACTCAAAACATCCTCCACACAAAATGAAATAGTAAAATAATAAAATAAGTCATTTGGTAGGAAATTGACACGCAATTTTTAGCTCGCGAAATTTATTACAAAATTCTCCAGAGAAAATTTCTTCAGTAATAAAAAAAAACTCTTGACTTTACTCTGAAGTCATGACTTTCCCAGATATTTGCAAAATAATCAGGGAACTAAAGTTTAACGACGTAACAAAAAAATATAAAAGAGAATGGGAAAATAAAATTAAAAAAGTAGAATAAAAACCGATAAATCTCACCCATGCTGTGTGATCCCTCAGATAGCACCCCTTATACTCAATAGTATTGGGGTGATTCAGCTGTCTCAGGAATCTTATCTCCTTGAGTATATCCTGCCACTTATCGACAGTCTGCTTCCCCAAATACGACATTTTCTTGATGGCAACGATTTCCTTGGTGAGTAGGCATCGTGCATAATAAACAGCCCCAAAGCTCCCATGTCCAATCTCCCTGAGATCCTCGAATATCTTCTCGGGATCATTCTTCTCAAACAGCTCGGCAATCTCAGGATCCTTGAGACTACCAGGCCTGGGTATAGCAGGCATTTTAGCTGTATCAGATTCACCCAAATGTCTGTTATCTTGTCCAAGCTTAATTGGCTCCACCCCACCACCGAGTGAATTCCTTTACTCTCTTCTCATGTGTTCTACTTTGGTTTCCCTGTCAGTCCATCATCCGGTCTGTCCTATTCCCGCGTCACTCTGGAATCCCTAGGAACATTTCCACCGAAATAATTACTCGGAGAGCTAAAATAAACCTCGCAGAGCTGAATTAGTCAATTTTTCGCTTGTTAAACGTGAAATTATCTGGATAAGGGTTGATCCTAGGAAAAAATGTGACAGAACATTTTTTGTAGCTGAGAAAATTTCCTGTAAAAAATGTTTTACCACATTTTCGTTTAAAATCACTCATTGCCAAGATAACCGCACAGTTATAAACAATAGTGAATGGGGCTTTGGAAAGAGGGTGATAACACAGTCCCCCTTAATCGTCAATAGCTCGAGAACCGCAGGGAGAAGTTCGCTGATTTTTTTTTCATTCTGAAGGTCTTTTTCTGGACTTTAAAATGACACCTGACTCGTCCCAATCGCGCCAATTGATCACGAAATACTGAGCTCTCGATGAGGTTTCACCAATTCACTACTAAATTCGACTCCCCCAACGAAATAGCAATTTTCGTTAAACTGTACAGTTTGGTCACGTCACTCCTAGGAATGTCGTGACACATATCCTGGAGTGACTGTGGTCAGAAAACATACAAGAGAGAGCGAAAATTGTGTGGAAAATGTAATCAGCTTGGTCACTAACGATTGCATCAATTAGAAATATTTCATTTCAGTGTTTAACTGAACTATTTTTCCGGATTAAAATCAAGGGAAAATGAATGAATAATTTAATTAATTCCTCTGCTCCAGATCTCATTAGCCCTTGAGAGACTTCAAATAAATTCCCGAGAAATGACTGGAACAAAAATTCCATAAACCCCATCAGAAATAACTGTATTTTCTCTAGTTTATTGATAAAAAAATCCAATTTATTGATAAATAAACAGGATTTCCAATAAATCATTCCACTTAGTGAAACGAAAAATCCAAAACCTTCACAAGAAAACTGCTCCAAACTCGCCAAAACGATAGAAAAAATCGATTTCTTAAAATTTCATCTTCTCCACCCCATCTAAAAATCCAATCCAATCTCTTTAATTATCCCAATCAAAATCCACCAAAAATACATAAATAATCGAATCCTGTCGCTCCAAAACCAATTCTCTTCACAGGGACTCCAAAAAATCTAAAACCTTTGCACTAAAACTGCTCCAAACTCCTCAAACTAATTTTCCGGTTCATCTCATAAATGTTCATGTTCATAAATCTTTAGTTAGGATTAAGAGACATTTTGCAGAAATAAAACCCAAAAACGATAAACAAATTCGATTTCCTTCAATTCCATTTCCTCCTGATTTCAAAAATCCCCGACAACAAGAAATTATCAAGCTCCTCCCCGTCTTCCTCTGTTATTCCAATCCCTTTAATTCCCTCAAGAAAAATCCCCCAAAACCAATTTTCTTCACAGACTCCAAAAAATCCAGAACCCTCACACCAAAACTGCTCCAAACTCCCCAAACACAATTTTTCTGTTCACCTCCACGTTCACAAATCTTCAGTTTGAATTAAGAGAAATCTTCGAGAAATAAAACCCAAAAACGATAAACAAATTCGATTTTCTTCAACCCACTCCCTCCGCCCCACATTCCTCCCATCTAAAAAATCCCAGACATCAAAAAATGATGAAGCCCTTCCCCACCTTCTCCAGTCACTCCGATCCCTCCAATTCCCCCAACAAAAATCCCCCAAAACTGCCCAAATAATCGAACCCCCTCGCTCCAAAACCAATTCTCTTCACAGACTCCAAAAAATCCAGAACCCTCACACCAAAACTGCTCCAAACTCCCCAAACACAATTTTTCAGTTCACCTCCACGTTCACAAGTCTTCAGTTTGGATTAAGAGAAATCTTCGAGAAATAAAACCCAAAAACAATAAACAAATTCGATTTTCTTCAACCCACTCCCTCCGCCCCACATTCCCCTCATCTAAAAAATCCCAGACATCAAAAAATGATGAAGCCCTTCCCCACCTTCTCCAGTCACTCCAATCCCTCCAATTCCCCCAACAAAAATCCCCCAAAACTGCCCAAATAATCGAACCCCCTCCCTCCAAAACCGACCCCCCCAGACTCCAAAAAATCCCCGACCCCCCCACCAAACCTCCTCCAACCTCCCCAAAACGGCGAACCACCCCCAGCCCCCTTAACCCCATCCAAAAACTCCCAGCCAAACTCAAAAACCAATCGACTCCTCTCCACCTTCCTCTGTTATTCCCTTCCCTTCAATTCTGCCAAATCCCCGACACTTGTGTGCAATAAACTCCATTCCCTCTCCCATCGCCAACCAAAAAATCCTCCACACTTCCCCCTCGCCTGCACCCCCTCCCCCGAATCAATAGCCCAATCAAGCCCCATCCCAATCCCAACATCACCTACTTGATAAATACCTCGGCAAATCCACTGAACTTGAAGTCAAACTCTTTTTTTCACCCAACTTATATTCACCTACAAAATGGCGATAACGTGAGCTGAGACATGCGCGCGCGGACTGTCTGGTCGGGATGATAGGTTCGGTCCTACCCTTTCACGGGCAAACAGAGGCAGAAAACACTGTCTCATCATTAATCCCTCGTCCCCCCCAATATTTCCATTTTCACGCGACACCGGGGGCAACAATTCGCCGTCATCTCGACCTTTGTCAAGCCCCTCTGGCAATTTTTCTCATGACCATTGACTGGAGGAAATTCTCTACTCTCACCGTATACGTATCTGTTATGCATGCACACGCCCTGACGAACGTGAACACAAACCCATGCACACACTCCCCAGCACAAACACCAGCACTTTGTTTCAATTCTCCCGGAGACAATTGTTGGGCGACGAGGAGCCGCGATCCGCGGAGATGATTGTTTGCAGCCGGATGCACAATATGGATTATGGAATGGGAATGGGGTATTTGTGTGCATATATCTAGGTTTGATACGTCATTTGGCCGACGAGAGGGACGAGACTTGGAGCTGTGATACCCGGTGGAGGAGTCGCCAGGGTGCGAGGGGTTGTGCTACCGGGTGGGTGTGGGGGGTGTTTATTTATTGAGAGGAATGTTCAAGACCTACCGACTGACTCACGACACTTGGGAACATATGCAAAAAATGTGTATTTTCGGTGGTTGCTGGGTGACAACGAGGGGGAGCCAGCGCTGCGGGAGCTGAGCTGCTGACACTTGCGGTGAGTGAGAGAAGAACAGTTTTTATTTTTTTCTTTCACTTAGGATCTGAGAAATCTAATCAAATCTCATTGTCGGAATTTTATTTCAATTTATTGCTTTTTTGTCACTCTTAATTCTTTTCTGGTTTTACGACTTTACGAAATAATAATGAAATAATAATAATAATCAAGTGTAATAATTATAAAACTGAAAAATCAATTATTTGAAATGATAATAATTCTTTTCAGTAGAAGAGTTATTATCATATCTGAATTGGAGAAGAAATATCTGAGGTTTTTGGGCAAACGTTTGAATTTCATGTCTTTTTACAAGATTTATTTACAGTATTGTCTTTTTTTTTTAATTTTATGTTTCCATTTTTCTTAGTTTATTCTTTTTTGGTTGTACGACTACGAAATAATAATGAAAGAATAATAATAATCAAGCGCAATAATTATAAAACTGAAAAATCAATTATTTGAAATGATGATAATTCTTTTCAGTAGAAGAATTATTATCATATCTGAATTGGAGAAGAAATATCTGAGGTTTTTGGGCAAACGTTTGAATTTCATGTCTTTTTACAAGATTTATTTACAGTATTGTCTTTTTTTTTTAATTTTATGTTTCCATTTTTCTTAGTTTATTCTTTTTTGGTTGTACGACTACGAAATAATAATGAAAGAATAATAATAATCAAGCGCAATAATTATAAAACTGAAAAATCAATTATTTGAAATGATGATAATTCTTTTCAGTAGAAGAATTATTATCATATCTGAATTGGAGAAGAAATATCTGAGGTTTTTGGGCAAACGTTTGAATTTCATGTCTTTTTACAAGATTTATTTACAGTATTGTCTTTTCCTTTTAATTTTATGTTTACTATTCATCAGTAATGATCTATAAATCAATCGAATTAGTTGAGGGCTATCCATCTTCACAATTGAAATTCAACTCATCCATTAATTTTTCGAATTTTCATTTAAAAAAATTTTAAATCAACTCAATAATGGCTCATAACAGTTTTTAAATATATTATATTATAAATGTTTAATTTGGTTTAGTTCAGTGTTTAATGTTGTTTAGTTTAGTTTTTAAATATATTATATTATCATATATATATTGGAAAAAAGCCCATGAAACTTGACAAAACAAAAATCAACAATTCATAAACAAAGCACCCATTTGGCATTCAGAATAAAAAAAACAATAAAAGATAAATTCAGTAGTGAAGCGGTAAACCGAGTCAAGTCGATTTGGACTATTAGCCAGTTTTTGCTGAATATCTCGGAATCTAAGAGAGATAGCAAAATTTTGCTCATTACTTTTTTTATAACGCTCTATTGGCTCTACAAAAAAGGTCGTGACAAAAATCTTTCTATCTCTTTTAGATTCCGAGATATTCGTCAAAAACTAGTCAATAGTAGAAATCGACTTAACCCGGTTTACCGCTTCGCTACTGAATTGCGGAATAAAAAAATTGAAAGTGCCTACCCACCCCCAAAAACCCATTAAAACGGCCCCATCATCCCAGTAAATTATCCAAAAATGTGTGACGATTTAGTAAAAACGAAAAATCCCAATCGAAAGACTGAAATTCGCAAAGTCCATGTCGTCCGCGTATCGGAGCTGGTCTACCGCTTCCTCCGAGAAGTCTCCAACTCGACCCATCGTAGAAAGCGCATAAGCGCAGTAGATAATTTCCGAAAGTTGAATCCAGCCTCGCACCGTCGAAACAGGCGACTCTGATCCCGCAAAAAAAATCCGGCGCTTTTTAAATTTCCAAAAATTCACAACAGGCGACCGCGGAGTCCCTTTAACTCCATGGGCACTCCCCTTTAACTCCCCTAACCTCGTTTTATGTAATATCACAACATATGATAATCACCTGAAGGTTTCGGTGCTCCAAAGAGAGTCCGAAAATCGGAGAAATCGAAGGCTCACTGGGAATTCGCGTTCATAACGCGAGGGAGTACGTGGGGATAATCACGTGGATGTTGTGGGGGTGGATAATTAATATCTTTCATTAGCCGAACGAGTGCTGATTGGGATGGCTGCTATTTCTTCCTTCAGTGCTTTGCAAATTGCACGTAAGTGAAATTAAAGCGAAATAAAAAAAAAAACGAATGGGATTTTTTGAATTTAACACTTTACTCCGTTGAACAGAGAAGAAAACTGTCCTGTCCTTGGCTCCAATCGCCCTCCAGCACTGTCAGTACTCCTCCGATGTGCCTCGAATAATAAAAAATCCGACGACAACATCGCTGAAGAGAGGAACAGGTGGAAGAAGTTCGTTCAATGGAATCGTCTGCACAGTCTTCGGTAACACTGGCTTCGTGGGGCGTTATGTTTGCAATCGACTGGGCAAAATTGGCACCCAGGTATGACAGACATTATAATCATTCAATTTTACCCAATTCGGTTATTTATTTCCGTGAGTTTATTTTTGTTTACCCGACGTTTTAAGAACAACTGCAGAAATTACTCTACATGTTTTGAATTAATCTGTTTTAGAATTGATAATGTTAGATGAATTTTATGTAGTAGATTGAAGAATATTTTTGAGTCTACTTTCAGGGAAAATAGTATGTCTCAGACTTAATTAAGAAATGGACACTTGAATTATTTTTTAATGTTACTGACTTATTGAATGATCAATGAAATGGATTTATATACAATTATTATTTAATTATTATTATTAGTATTTTATTATCATAAGTTAATTATTCTATATAAATCCATTCCATTTTAATTTCCTAGAATTTTCCCCCAGGGGAAGTACAATTCTCTCCCTGTATCGACTAAACTGATCTCAATTGATAAATTTGTTTCTGAATTATAAACATCCACAAAAGATGTTAAAATTGTCCATTTTCCTCCACCTGCCTTTCGGGAATTATAATTTGAGAACCTTGAATCATTTTTTTTAGCTGTTCTACTACTAGAAATTTTTATCCCTGTTCCCCATTTTATAGTCTTTTCCATTTATGGGGTTTCGTTGTGAGACAGTTATCACTTGAATAAATAAATAAATAAGTAAGAATTATTTATTATCTTCATGTTACATCTCCTACGAGAAGATGTCTTGTCGTCAATTTCGTTAAATTCACTCCAATTTTCAAGTTGAGTTCAATTCGAAGTGGTAAAACGGTTTAAGTCGACTTACCTCCCAGTTGAGTTTTTAATGAATATTTCGGAATCTAAGGAAGATAGCGGAATTTTCGTAATTACATTTGTTGTAGCCCTCAATCGGCTCTACAAAAAAGGTTATAACAACAATTTTGGTATTTCCTTTAGATTCCGAGATATTCATTGAAAATCGGTCAAAAGTGAAAATTGACTTGTTCCATTTTACCACTTCGCTACTGAATTAAATTTTGTCAACAGCTAATTTTGCCTTACCGAGGTGAGCATTATAGCTCCATGCGCCTGAAGCTCGTTGGGGACCTCGGGCAAGTCCTGTTCCATCCGTTCCAACTCACCGACGAGGATTCAATCAGAAAGTGCATCAAGTACTCGAACGTTGTTATCAACCTGATTGGACGTGACTGGCAGACGAAGAACTTCACGTTTGATGACGTTCACGTTCATGGGGCGAGGCGACTCGCCAGGTTGGCGAAGGAGGCTGGGGTCGAGAGGTTCATTCATTTGTCAACTCTCAGTTGCAGCCCAGATCCAAAGGTGAATTCATTAAAAACACTGTGGAACGATTTTTTCATCGAATATTTTCGTTGATGTCGGAAATTAACGTTTTATTATTATCTATTTGATCTTATTTGGTTTGCTTGGCCTTTCCACAGCCCATCCTCCTGCCGAAGGGCTCAGGGTTCTACAGATCGAAGTGGCGCGGTGAACAAGCGGTGAAGGAGGAATTCCCAGAGGCTACAATCGTCAGACCTGCGACAATCTACGGTCAGGAGGACAGGTGGATCAATGTTTACTGTCGGTTCTGGAGAAGGCACTTGAGGTAAGTACTTCAGGCTTTTTATGCTCCTGAATTTTTTAATGTTGGGACACGCGTGAAGAAATTTGTCATAAAGAATTCCATGACCTACAGAAAAAATTTTGTATTTTTTTTCTAGATCTTCAGGTGAGTGAGTAGATTATTTTATGAATACTTAAAGAACAAAGATGTTTATTTGGTTTTATTGATATGCATTGGAACCTTTGGTTCATTCTGCGATTTTACATGTGTGTAAGTGGAGATTACAAAAAGAAAATTTCAAAAAATACAGAAAACAACAAAAAAAAGAAAGTAATAAAATAATAATAATAATAACAGGATGTTCATTTGTTTACAACATAAAAAAGCCTCTAAATTTTTTTTTAGTTCAGTTTTTTTTCAATTTAAAAATTTTTTTTTGTCTCATAAGGGAACATTGATGTTTTCCTCAAATGCTCTATTTTGAATTTTTCAAAAATACTTTAAAATTCAACGTCGATTTATTCAATGGATTTTTCTAATGCCTTTATTTTGTCACTTGAATCGTTGCTTAGGGGTACTGCCCTGTGGGAAAAAGGTGAAAAAACAGAGAAGCAGCCGATTTGGGTTGGTGATGTGGCTGGTGGAATCACTGCCCTAGTGAGGGATCCATCGACTGCTGGAAAAACTTATCAATTTGCTGGGTAATCACCTCTATTCTTCCCTCTGTGACACCACTAATCATTCGAATAATTCAACATTTCGTTATTTACAGTCCTCAACGATACAAGCTTGGAGACCTCGTTGATTGGATGAACTACTTTATCAGGAAGGAAGCGAAAGACTATGGGTACAGGAGATTGGACCTCAAGAACTGTCCCTTCTTCAAATTAAAAGTCAGTCTGGTCGAGTCCATCAGCCCAGGGTATCCACTCGGAAATCTCCATTGGGATGGCCTTGAGAAGGTACTAAAGTTATTAAATCAATCAATAATTGCAACGATTCAGCTTTGAAGGGAATCGAACACTATTATTGAATAAAACGGAGATGAAGTAAAAATCCAGTCATCTAAAAAATTAAAGTAAAATTGGAGTATCTAATGCAATAGACAATTAATCTTGAAATAAATTTTTTATTCCTGAAGAAACAAAAAAAAATATTGTTGAATGGATTTCATTCATTTCCTCAGGAATAAATGAAATTTAGTAAAACGAAAATGAAACAAAAATCTAATCATCAAAAAATTGAAATAAAATTAAAATAGCAAATCCAATAGACAATTAATGTTCACATAATCTTTTTATTCCTGAGGGAATGAAAAAAAGTTATTATCGAATTTATTTCATTCATTCCCACGGGAATGAATGAATAAATAATTGAATCAATTCAACTTTGAAGCTGAAAAACAAAGTAAAATCGAAGTATCAAATTGGATAAGGAATTAATGTTGAAATAAATTTTCTATTCCCCCAGGAGCACACGTCTGACATTCTCGTCCCAGAGCTCCCAACCCTCGAGGACATTGGCGTCTACCCCTGCACGATGGAGTCCCGAATTGCCTGGGAATTGAGACCGTTCAAACTCGGGGCTCACTACATGGAGAGAGTCGGTGAATTCCCAGACCCCGAGCCACCCAAGCCCATCGCCATGAGCCCTGCATAAAAAATCAATCGTAATAATTCAATAGAGTAATAAATTTATGAATCATCGTGATTGTAGTCAGAATAAAGGTCGATCCGTACGTCTTTGGGTGGTTGTTACAACTGATACTTTATTATTACTCTTTGTTTAAGAATGAGCATGATTTAAAGTCATCACGAAAATTTGTATCGACACTTGTGATCGGAGTTTATGTAATATATGAGCAAGTGGCGAAGATTCGTGCCCATTTATTTATTTCCTATCCCCAATTTTATGAGCTTCACTTTTATTGGACTCCCAAGAGCCCTTGAACTCTTTATTTTGAACTCAACATCAATTTCAGTTGCACTTTCAATCATCAAATTAGTCAATTAAATTGCGTAAAAAAATTGAAAAAATCATGAATATTCAGCGTCATTCAAATTACGTTTTCCACAAAATTATTATTTTTTAAACATTCGTTGTTTATAAATAATTCATTAAAACGGTTTAAACTTTCGGAAACCTTGTTTTCTAGGCATGAAATAGATTTCTAGTAAAGTTCTGAATATGAATAAATTTTTTACGATTCCGAACAAATGATTTTTGTGATGGAAAATTGATTGTTTAAACATTATTCATAGAAAATGCTTGTAATTTCTTAAATTATTTCATCAATCTTTCTCCAAAGGTAAAGGTAAACTTTCTCATTTTTTTCAGATTTTTAAAATATTCTCTAACGATTCAACATCGGAATTCAAATTCAGACCACAAAGTTCAAATAATAAAATCATTGTAAAATGTCAGGAAACTTCGGGTGAAATGAGGTTCAAATGAAAGCTCTGATTTTCAACTAAAAAAGTAGAAAAGCATTTCACTGGAGAAAAAATAGCCGAAGTACCTGGAAACCATTAAACTCGTTTAAAATTATTGATAAACTACTAATTACCCACTATTTCCTCCTATTCCCCTCTTACCGACGACATTATCGATCAATTAACAAATCAGTATCTCTACTTAATTAATAAATAACATGTTCCTAAGATTATCAATTGATAATTGACAATATTTCACTCTCATTTCCACTTTCCCCGAAGATAAGTGCAAAAAGCCTCTCTCCTTCGCTCAAACAGCTAATCTCATCCCCCTCCCCAATAAAAAAAATCCCGTACCCAAGTTAATACATTATTCCTGGAGTAGCTGTCACGACAATAAGATAAAGAATAAAACCGAGTAATCAGTGACGCGCGAAGCGTTCAGCCCTTGACAAATATACGATCTCCTAAACTCAAGATCTTCAGACAACTACCGTGCGTATATTTGCACTCGGATAATTGTCAAGTTGTTATCAGGCTTCCCCCCATCTCGAGTGCGCAAGTATAAATCGAGTAAATGCGGGAGTCACTGTTAAAAGAACCTCCGCACATTCAAAACTCAATTCCCTCGGTCGAGTGCCGTAAAATTCCCAGCAATCAGTATTTTACAATTAATAGCCCTCAAAACGTCGAAAATAATGTGCATTCTCTTCATTTATCGAAACCCCAGCGCGACTGGATCGGATTATCGTTTGATTGTTGCAACAAATAGAGACGAGAATTATCATCGACCGACGAGAGCTGCATATTACTGGGAAAATCATCCAGATTGTTTAGGAGGTAATTTCGTAAAAAGTTAATCAACAAGTAACGAAAGATATCGTTTTATTCTCTTGGTTAAGGAAATATTTAAATTCACCACAACAGACTGTTTATAAACGTAGAAAATATTTATATAAGAGAAAAGTCGTTAAGTTCTGGATTTTTAATTAATTAAACAAATTCCAGTTTTGTTTTTGGGGATAACTTTTAGTATTTTTGTTCCTTGGAACCCCCAGTTTTAAGGTTAAACGGGTGATTATTATATTAGCGAGAGGGGGAATTGGTTCGTACTAATTAAGCGGAGACTGCTATGACTTTTAAAAGTCGCGGGCGATGGATTGAAATTTCTCATGCATCGAAGATCAATTATATATGTCTAAAAATGAATAATTAGTGCAAAAACTTAATTATTTATTAAGTGTATTGTTCGTTTGCCCCGCAGATGCTTAAACTGTTAAAAATAGTTCAATTTTTGAGCTGCAGAAATTTTTTTTTCAAAATTTTCGAAAAAATGTGTGCAATAACATTTACTAATTTTTTTTTTTAATTCAACTCCTACACAGGTAATTTCGTTTTGTTTAGTATAAAAATTTGCGCCATTCCTGTAAAATAGGCAAAAAAATTGTCCTTAAAATATTTTAAATAGATTATCGATTCTTTCAGAAACATTTTTTGGGCTATTTCACATGAATGGTGCAATTTTTTATTTAAAAAAAAACGAAATTAGCTGTGTAGGAGTTGGATTTCAAAAAAATAATTCATAAATGTTATAGTACACATTTTTTCAAAAATTTTGAAAAAAAATCTGTAATTAAAAAATTGGAGGCCCTGGACTGGATTTTTAACATTTTAAGCATCTGTGGGGTAAACGAACAATAAATAATAAATAAGTTTTTTGCACCAATTATTTATTTTTAGCCATAGGGGAGGGTCGGGCAAAATGGGACGTATTGAGATTTTTTCCAATTGTCAATATCTTCATTTATAAAAATCAGTAGCGAAGTGGTAAAACGGTATAAGTCAATTTTGACTATTGAACAGTTTTTAATCAATATCTCGAAATCTAAGGGAGATAGCAAAATTGTTGTTATAACTTTTTTTGTAGCGCCGATTGAGAGCTACAACAAATGTAATTACGAAAATTTTGCCATCTCCGTTAGATTCGGAAATATTTCTCAAAAACTCAATTGGGAGATAAGTGGACTTAAACCGTTTACCATTTCCCTACCGAAATGAAGATATTGACAATTAAAGAAGATCACGAGACGTCCTATTTTGCTCGACTCTCCCCTATATAATCGATCTTCAATGTATGAAAAATCTCATTTCTCAATAGCCTGCGACTTTAAACTCATAGTAATTTTCCCTAAATCGAATTTTCGTTTGATTAAGGGACTGACGAGGAACCGACGAAGGAGGGAGGCACTTGGCTGGCGATTTCTACGAAAGGCCGCGGCGGGGTACTTCTAAATCTCTCCGAGCCACCCACTGAAAATCCTCGGGATGGGCCAGACACCCCGAAGAAGGGCCGCGGGTTCCTGGTGACGAACTACGTCGTGTCCAGGGAGACTACAGAGAATTACTTAAGTACTTTGTATGAGGAGAACAGGAAGTTCGATACGTACAATCCGTACACGTTGGTTCTTCTTGATTTGAAGTAGGTGGTGAACAAAAATAGTCGATTGTAGTTGTATTGTTGGAGTGGAGTGGTTAATAGTCTTTATTTCGTTATTTTTTGCAAACGAAGGAGTGCAGAGGAATTTTTGAGAACATCTTCGAGAGAGTTCCACGAGTTACAAAAAAATCTTTCGGAATTTTTTGATGAAATCTTGTGGTTTCAGAGATATTTGCAAGATAAATTGAATGAAATTGTTAGGTCAATCCTGATTTATCGATAATTATTTTTGAAGATTTTTAAATTAGAAAAAAATATATTTGAAGATATTTTGTCCATGAAATTTTCTATAAAAAAAATCAGAGACTTCTCCCTAAACTAAATCTATTTCAAAATGTTTCTAGAATAAAGTATTCCATAGAGATTCGTAGACTATAACAATAATAATACTTTCTTAATATAATAATAATAATATTTTTCGTACATAAATTTCTTTTTCTGCGCATCAAATCATATTTTTCAAAAAAACTGGAACTGAAGAAAGAAAGAAAACAAAATAAAAGAAACAGAGACATCATAAACTATTTTATGAACATCTCAAACTCTATTAGATTTAGAGATATTTCTTTTTCTGTCTCAACTGAAATCAATAAATTGAAAATCATATTGTTCACTCCTTCACATCAATAAAGAAACCATCAATAATTTGCCCCTAATTTTTCTTTCCAGAACAGCTGAAGTGAGTTTCTTAAGCAGTTCTAGAAACAGCAAAGGGCCAGAACTATCAGTAACCGACACGATCCTGGGTTTTGGTAACACATCGGTGGAGACTCCTTACAAAAAAGTGACAAATGGAAAGGAGCAATTTAAGCAAATCGTCACCGACTCCAAAAGCACTCACGAGAACGTGCTCATCGAGAAGCTCATCCACTTCCTCAAATCGAACGAGCAGTGAGTAGAAGCCAAATATAATGAGATAAGAAAAATAGAAGAATAATTAGGGCTATTTCCCCCGAATTCAGGCATTTGCCTGACGATGTAATGGAGGAGATCCACCAGGAGGAGAGCAAAGCCCTCAGTTCGATATTTGTGCACGCAGGGGAGCGAAATTATGGCACGAGAACACACACTGTGATACTCGTTGACGCCTCAGACAGAGTTACATTCGTCGAAGAAACCATGAACGAGGATAAAACGTGGAGTCGTCAGCGTTTCGTCACATCTCTCGAGTGAAATTATTCAATCAAATCGTCAATTAACGAAGTATTGAAACTGGAAATTTCCATGGAGATCGCGCGTATCTCTATTTGAATATTTTCATAATTACAGACTGCTCATGTGATATAGCAACGCAAATTTTTTCATTTCAATTTTTTCATGCGTCTGTAAATAATTCCAAGTTCAATTGTAATTAAACTCGACCAAAACCTCAACGATTTTTCCCTTCAACATGTGAATATTCTCAAATTTATACTCAAAGTTAATGAACACCAAAAAAAAATTTAAAAAATTGCCGGATATTTAGCTATCAATAGACCCATCATCTCTAGTATCGTTGGTATCATCGTCTTCTCCAAGGATATCAGACTCTGACTCATCTGCACTCGAAACATTGTTATCAGTGCTGATATCTGGAATGGTGGGCTCCTCGGAGGTTGTTGAATTCTGTAACAGAACAAATCTCAAATAATAATTTTGCGCATATTTTCTCAATTTCTTATTCTTATCCATCATTTCATTATCTACTTCATCATTTTATCATCATTTTTTAGCTAAATATTCCCTTATTCATGCAACAACTCATCTTTTTCTCCTAAACAGCGTTATTTAGCACAAAGTTTCAATTCAGAACGTTGAAGAATGAATGAACAAATTTTTTATTTAAAAAAAATCTACACAAACCTGCGAGAGTATCTCCTGTCCGTCCAAATTCTTATTAACAAGATTCCCCATCCAGAAAGCAGTGGAACTATTATTGACAACAAGCATCCCCTTGACACTGTACACGAGCTGCTCGAGAATGCTCTTGGCAGCAGGAATGAGTTTAGTGAGAGCCATGTCCTTCCTCTCAGTGCTATGACAGCACACAGCATTGAGATACCTCGTCCCCATCTGCATCATCTTGAGAATGCCAGTGACCTCCTCAGGCTGGTACCTCAGATTGTGCTCCAGCGTGTGCATTCCCACATTGAGAAGCATCTTCAGGAGATTGGGCATGAGCTTGAGGTAACTCAACAGAGTTCCCCTAGTGGGGATGGTCTTGCAGACTTTCACTAACAGCTGCACATTCTTCCCAACGGCCTTCCAGACCTGGAGTTTTTGTCCTTCCCCCTGTGCAGCTGCCAACGAGACCTTCGCCCCTCTCAAGAGCCCGTCCAGGAGCTTTTGGAAGAGATAATGGAAGTTGCCTCTGTTTATCGTTGGGAGTTTCGTTAGTTTATCAGTCGTTCTCTCCATCGTCTCCACCTAAACAACAAAATATTAATCCAAAATTAACAAACAATATCACTGTTAAAAACACTTCTTGGAAATTTTTAACACATTAGTTTCACTGAAATTTCAAGGGCTTTCGTAATTGAAAATTAGAAATTTTATAGAAGAATGAATGAAGACTGTAAATTTTAGTTCAATTATTCTTTCAAAGTCCACAGAAATCAGGAAAATTCAGGTGAATTTATCCCCTTCATTATTTTTTTCCCTAAATCGTATTTAGTATCACTCTCCTGAAAATTACTAGTCAACAGTTCACAAAGTTCAATTTTTTTCTTACAGCTTAATAAAATAATATAATCATTCCAATGAAATTCATCCTCCAATAACATAACAAATTTAAATCACGGCGAAAAAAAGAGGATTTGAGGAAGAAAAATGAAGAAAAACCTAAAAAGCCAAGCGAGGACAATAAAAATTTGAATCAATCATTGCCTCACCTCTTCGGGCAGCCACTCAAGAACCTCAGAGACCGTCCTCAAAGAATTCGACTCGTGATCCATCCAGTTCTTGAGCAACCCAGTAACCGCCGCCTTGTAGAGACTCCCCAGATGCTTGTCGTCAGGCCACTCCAGACACAAAAACGCATAAGCCATCTTGGCTTGTTTGTCCTTCTGCTCCTTAGTGAACGTCTCCGAGTGTTTCATCAGGGTCTTGCACATGTTGACAAGAGCGTGAGCCACGGGGATCTGCGTGGCGACATCAGCCAAGGACTCAAAGTACTCATAAGCCGCGGCCACCAGCTCCCTAGAGTACTTGAGACTCCTGTTAGCCTCATCACTCTGACTGGCGAGAACCCTGAGCCCGGCCCTGAGGAGTCCCCAGTGTGTGGCGGAGTCGAAGCCCTTCCAGTTGAAGATCTTGGAGACCAACGAGAGAATCAGCCAGACCGCCTGTTTGTGCTGACTGTCATCATCAGTCCTCAACTGGCTCACCAGATGATTCAGCTTGGCCATGATCTTGGGGAGCAGTTCCACGAGCTCCCTGATGAACGCCTGATTGGCAATGCTGTCGTCGTCCAGCATCGACGACAACTCCTTGACGATGAAGCAGACGTGACCTGGAGACAACTCGTTGCTGATCTCAGTGTCCAAGAAGTGGACGATAGTAGCGTCGAGTCTCCTGAAGTACATGGGGTTCTTGATGGTCATGAGGGAGCCATTCTCCCAGGCCTCCCACTCCGGAATTCCCCCAGTGGCTGTTGTATTCTTGTCAGAATCCTTCTTCTTCCCAGACTTTTTCGCCATCTTGAAGGAATTTAATAAATTTAAATTATAATGGTATGGAGAACGTTGGAACCATTGATGGATTAAAGATTGAGTGATTTGTGTTAAGGATAGTCCATTTTATTATTTAAACTTTGCAGGTATTAAATTGAATCTCGATATTGCACCTTAGAAAACATTTTAAAAATATGAAAAACATTAGAAAGTTTCCTGTTGGAGAAACATTGATGAAATAATTTGAAAAATGCAGTTTTCGAAAATTACGAGCGTTTTCTATAAATAATTTATAAACAATCAATTCTTCACTGTAAAAATCATTTTTTCGGAATCGTAAAAAATTTATTCATATGCAGAATTTTCCTAAAAACCGATTTCAGCCCAAAAAAAAGGTTTTCGAAAGTACAAACAATTTCAATTATTTATTTATAAACAACGAATGTTCAAGAACATTATAATTCTACGTAAAATGTAATTGGAATGACGCTCAATATTTCCTCACGTAATTTAATTGACAAATTTGATGATCGAAAATGGTTGAATCTATAGTGTGGTCTGTACCAATCTGTAAAACATACTTAGAAATCCTTAAGAGGGCAGGTCACCGTTTCCTGAAAATCTACAAATTTCCTGCTCAAAGTTATTAATTTTGTTGGCACCCCACGCACATTGATTTTAATTACCGCCTCCTGAAGTTTAATGTGCTTCGATTAATCAAAACATCGATAACTTTCTGCAGGAAATTTGTTCCAAAATTTGGAGAATTAGTGACATTCTGTTACCCCTTTAGCTATAAACATACAAGGTATACCAGATAAAATAAAGTCAAACCTTTTTCTCGACTCGATTGAACGCAGGCGGGGGAAACTTGTGGAAGTAGCAAGGTGGTGGCTGGTACCTGGGCTCTGCCAGTGAGAGTAGATTACTGAGCTCCCCCTGCAGGAACATGAGATTATCGAGCCTCTGTACCACCTGCTTCTTCATCAACGACCCCTCCTCAGTGATGTAAGCACTGATCAATTCCCTGTACCAGTTGATGCAGTAGAACATAAGATCCAAGGTCCTGGTGTCCGGCATGTCCATGTCCCTGGGCATCATGATCCCGGTCCCCAGGACAGCGCTGACCTCATCCAGATCGTGATTCTCGCTGATGTGAACATATCCAATCCTCACAAGTCGAAACAGCGAAGGAACAATGGCCCCATATTTGCTGTCTCCAAAGTGGATGAACATGTCAGGCCCCAAGTTACCATCCTGATTAGTATTCAAGCAGAAACAGGGGACTAAATCCCCTCGATAGGTCTCCCTCTCAGTCATATAACCGGTGACGAGGGTGTCCTCGCAGGCAGTGATGAGCCCCCTGACAAAATCGGAGTTAATGCCTCTGTCATTAGCAATGACCTGGCCCATCTTATCGTAGAAGAGGGCTTTGCCCCTGGGGCAGTCCCTCGTGCTGACCTCCAGCTTCTTGAGGATCTCTCCAGCCAGACTGACAGACTCCTCGTTCTTCACCAGATGCTTCATCGCCATAACCGCCCCCACGACCCCCTTACACTTGACCACAGCGTCAGTATTCGACAGCTGTTTCTGAAGCAGAATGAAGAGATCATCCCTGAGGGCCTCCGAGGAAGAGTTCGAGCTGTCGCAGAGGGCGTAGAGCAGGTCATTCATGGTTCCCACCTCCTCGAGATCGAACTGATCGATCTTCTCCATGAGCACCGTGAGCTCGTTGCAGTGCCTCTGGAGCTGATCCTTCTCATCAGCAGTTTCCGTCATCTTGCAGAGGACCGAGAGTGCATGCTTGGCAGTGTGATCGTTGTTCCCCATCAGCAGTATCAATTTATTGATTATCTCCGTCTGCATGAGGAAGACCTTGCTGTGAGCCACGAACTGGTGCCTGAACCACTCCACAGCGAAGTTGACGAGGCTCTGGTCCTCGGACTTGAGAAGACAACTGGAGAGGCTCAAAGCTGTCGACTGGAAGTCCTTCGCCACCTGTTCATAATCGTGATAGAACGAGTACAGAAGACTCGCCCTGTAGTACCCACTCTTCACGTGCTTCCTGAAGACATTCTCAGCGAATTTCCTCTTCAGGGTGTTCCTGCAGAGCACCAGCATCATAATCAGGTCCAGGACCTTCGGCTTCTCGTTGGTGACTTCCGAGACAATGTTGAGAGCCGCCTTGGGCGCTGTCTTCGTCATGATGAACGTCATTTTAAGAGTGTTAACAATCATCATTTGACTCGTGAAGCACTCCTCAGTGTTCGTGTTCTCGTCGGGATGGAGTTCCAGGTCCCTCACGACCCTGAGGACCTTCTGGTAGACCTCGACACTGGGGCACTCGTACAAGCAGAACTTCACCATCGAGGGAATCTCGGAAATTTCCGTGCTCTCCTGCATAATCAGGAGGACTTTATTCCTCAACTCCTCCAGGTACTCCTTGCCGAGGGTCAGCCCAGTGATGCACCCCAGGATGACCCCCTTGAGGCCGCTGTCAGTCTCCATGAGTTTGCAGAGCATGTCAGCAATCCCCTGATGATGAGAATCAGTGACGATATCAGGGAGAAAAGCAATCAGCTCCCTCTGGAACCAGCCTGGGGCGGACTCCAGGAGCTCCTCCAGACTGGACGTCATGGCGTCAGCATCGGCCACGATCTCCAGGAACCTCAGCTGCGAGAGGAGAACAGAGGCCCAGGGGACGTCGTCCAGGGAGTCAGCAACAACAACCTCCTCATTCAGACGTCGTAACAGAGAGCTGAGGACCTCGGTCTGGATCAGGGGGACTTGGAGAAGAATCCTGGCGAGGGATGCGTTGTTCACCGAGGCCAGCCTCTCCTGGTCCATCACCGTGGGGTTCAGGTACTTCTTGATGTTGCCGACTTCCTCCAGACTCTTCTCCCAGTCGACAATCACCCTCGCCTTCGTGAATTCCCCGCTGGAGAGGACCTCCTGGATCTTCTTGACGACTCCAGCTGGGTTCACTGATATCGTGTACTGATCGTCGTTCTCCAGGGAGACTCTGATCCCACACTGGTCCAGGAACTTCTCCAGGAGGGTCTTCTCCTTCTGGATGGGGCCCTCGTCGTCGGAGTCGTCTGATAGGAGAATCCTCGAGGCTCGGGGCTTCGGATTGGACGTCCGATTCTCTTTATCACTCTCTGGAGGGGATGGACGTTTCAACGACCTGGGGTCGCGACTCCTGGAGGGCGAGGGCTTCTCGGGGGACCTCTGGGGGAGCCTCAACGACTTCGATGGGGTGAGACGTCTACTGGAGATCTGGGAGAACACCTGACTCGGTTTTTCTCGAGGCTGTGACACCTGGGGGATCTCCCTCTGCTTCTCTCGAGGCTGTGACACCTGGGGGATCTCCCTCTGCCTCTCTCGAGGCTGCGACACCTGGGGGACCTCCCTCGGCTTCTCTCGAGCCTGCGACGTGACCCTCCCAAGTCTGGAACTGGAACCCTCACGTTGGGACCACTTCTCCAGTCTCGGGATCTTCGAGGGGGAATTTTTGGAGTCACCCGTTGCCCTCGGACGCTTCTGACTCCCCGTGGGCTCCTCGTCAGTGGACGTTGGCGTCTGCGTTCGTTTCCTGAGGAGCTCCAAACTCGACTGCCTCTGCGAGCTCGTCCGGTGCGACGAACTGAACATGTCCTCGGATTCTGCGGGCTCCGGACCTGCGGAACTCGATGGGGCCTGCAGGTTCTGGTGGAGACCTCGGTTCGACTTGAACTTTCGGCGATCCATTCTCCTGATCATTCAATCTTCCTCTTTATCTCTTGAATTTTCCCTGCACTTCTTATTACTCTTTATTCCATCTCCAGGGATTTCTAGGATTGCAGCAACTGCCGAAGAACTTTTTAGCTCAACAAAATACTCTTTTGCCTTCTTTTTTTTTATTTCTCATTCCGCTCCTGGTGAATTTATCCTCTCAATCTTGCAGCAACAACTGTCAAAAACTTGTTATTCGATCTTCGTTGTTGTTATGATTTTTTTTCTTTATTTGTTATGCCCTTTCTGGTGAGTTTATCCACTCAATCTCGGCAGCAACACCCGCGAAAATACTTTGCAATTATTCGGAGCCGTTTGATTCAACGAACACCGACAGCTCGCGAAATTGTAAATACTGCGAACTTGTTCCGACTCGTCTCTCCCGAGATTTGCACAGTGAATTGTTACCGGCAGAGGGTAAGAGAGGAGAGTCACCTCTCGGTGATGTCACAGAGCCCCCCCACTCGGCCCCGAGATTCTGTGGAAATGGCACCGGAACGGTGAGGGGGGCACACACGCCGGTGGACAGTGCACAGGCTCCCGGGTACAGTGTCGACACTGTGCACAATATTCTTTTTTTACCTCCAAAAATAATAAACCAGTGCCAAAAACACGTTATTCGGAGCGGGATCAGTGAGTCGAGGGGTCATTCTCGTGCGAATTAATCTCGAACAGTAAAGGGCGGCTGAGGATGAGCAAACGGGGGTGAAATAGCCGTCGGAGGTGTGGAAATGCTCCTGAGAAGGGGCTAGTGCTTGGGGGGATGGGCTTGTTTAGTGCCGAGTGAACAGAGCATTTTCGATTTAGTGTGCAGAGAGGTGAGGAAAAAAGTGCTGGAGAAATAGTGGTGGTGTGACGGAGGACGAGGAAAGGGACGAAAGGAAATATCCGCACACGCCCGGCTGTCACGATTCAGAACGTCGGGTTTTTCAGAGGACGCCATGTTACGAAGCCGTATGCTCATGGCGAGAATACCATTGATTTTGATTCTTCACTTCGTTGTTGTTGTCGTTGCCAGTGATAATGAGACAGGTGAGATACGGGGGGTCATTGATTTATTCGGGAGGAGGAGATGGGGGGTCGCCCGGCTGAGGCTCGGCGTTGTCGTTACTACGACGTTTGTCATCGTAGGTGTCATCTAGAGTGGGCACTCCGGGGGGGTTTATCGCCTTTGCTTGGGTGTTTGTTTACTAATGGGGGGAGCATTCCGATGTATAATTGTCATTGCACATCGGCGAATGCTCCGGGGCGTGGGAGCTTGGGGAGGACTCGGGGATGGGATTGTCTTGGTGATTGCCGGGGGGAAGGGTTCGGGGGAATTTATGAAGAGATTTTTTGGAAATTTTGGGGACAGAGATCCCTGGGGGGTTTAGGTAAAGCGGAAGCTGAAACTAGCGGAGGATTCGACAGCAGAAGATTCCGTAGGCAAATCTAGGGGTGTAGAAATGTTTTTAAGTAATGTACAAACTCTTTCGCGCTTAAAAAACGTTTGTAGGGGAGGTTGGGGTAAAATGGACACTTTTGACTTTTTTTCAAATGGTAATGAGGGGTTGAAATGTTGATGAAATTTGAGATTTTTTTTTTCAATACAAAGAACAATTCTTTCCCTTTGTGATGAGCCTAAACTGAGCTCAATTGATGAATTTGTTTCTGAGTTATAAATAATTTAGAAAAAGTCTAAAGTGTCCATTTTACACCAGCCTCCCCTACATATGATCATTTGACTCTCCTGCACTCAAATATCCCCTAAATTGAATTTTCCGATGACGAATATTCTGGTAGCTTCAGCTTCATGGTTAAACTGCTGGTGTTGAAGATATTTTTGAGATTTTTTCGTGAATACGAAATGAAATTTGAGATTTTTTTTTTTCAATACAAAGAACAATTATTTCCCTTTGTGATGAGCCTAAACTGAGCTCAATTGATAAATTTGTTTCTGAGTTATGAATAATTTAGAAAAAGTCTAAAGTGTGCATTTTACCCCAGCCTCCCCTACATATGATCATTTGACTCTCCTGCACTCAAATATCCCCTAAATTGAATTTTCCGATGACGAATATTCTGGTAGCTTCAGCTTCATGGTTAAACTGCTGGTGTTGAAGATATTTTTGAGATTTTTTCGTGAATACGAAATGAAATTTGAGATTTTTTTTTCAATACAAAGAACAATTATTTCCCTTTGTGATGAGCCTAAACTGAGCTCAATTGATAAATTTGTTTCTGAGTTATGAATAATTTAGAAAAAGTCTAAAGTGTCCATTTTACACCAGCCTCCCCTACATATGATCATTTGACTCTCCTGCACTCAAATATCCCCTAAATTGAATTTTCCGATGACGAATATTCTGGTAGCTTCAGCTTCATGGTTAAACTGCTGGTGTTGAAGATATTTTTGAGATTTTTTCGTGAATACGAAATGAAATTTGAGATTTTTTTTTTCAATACAAAGAACAATTATTTCCCTTTGTGATGAGCCTAAACTGAGCTCAATTGATAAATTCGTTTCTGAGTTATGAATAATTTAGAAAAAGTCTAAAGTGTCCATTTTACCCCAGCCTCCCCTACATATGATCATTTGACTCTCCTGCACTCAAATATCCCCTAAATTGAATTTTCCGATGACGAATATTCTGGTAGCTTCAGCTTCATGGTTAAACTGCTGGTGTTGAAGATATTTTTGCGATTTTTTCGTGAATACCTTTGGGACGAAGAAATATTTCTACAGCGAAATGTCAATGCTTGTACAGAATGAAAAAGGTTTTATTTTTTTTTAGCTTAATCTTCTTGTTTCAGAGATATTTGCAAAGTCATCTGTAGTTGTGATGAATAGAATTCATTCTAGAAGGAAATATGAAAATTCCCCGTCATTCCCCGTTGAAATGTGTCACATAAGGCTCTGTACAAATGACAATTTTAATTTTTTTCTCTACAAAAATCAATGTGGTAAATCGCGTTGGGACTTTCGGAACAACTTTCTAATTTATTGAAAGAATATATTCTCAAAATTTCAACCCTGTAGCACACTTCCTTCTACTCCCATCTGACTACTGCGGAAGTACCTTAATCTTCTTGTTTCACAAATACTTTCGAAGTCATCTGTAGTTGTGATAGAATTAATTCCAGGAGAGAGTGTCAAGAAATTTGTGTTGTAAACGACTTTATGGGCCACAAAAAAGGTTTCTTCACTGTTTCCAATGCCCAGATCTGCGACCTTCCTTGTGTAGTTTAGAGGGAAACATTAACACTCGAAGAAAATTTCCTCACAACTCCCCCTAAGAATAATTAATCTTAAATTTCATTACTGAGTAGTTTAATCTGATTCCATTGAATTCATTCAATTAAACCCATTGAATTGCAGTCACAGAAACAACTGAGACTGTCACCTTCCCGGTCATTCCCCTCGCCACCCTGGAGATAGAGACCTCCCAGAAGATCGATGGGATAGAGGCTAATAGCACCCCCTCATTCACCTGTAAACTCAGTGAGCCAGGTCAGATCTACTGGGTCAAGGACGATAAGAACCTAACGACGATCAAAATGTCCGAGACACAGGCCAGGTTCGACCTGACATTAGCGAGTTTCGAGGACAGGGGGAACTACACGTGCATGGCTATTACGAACGGCCACGAGAAGCTGCAGAAGACCATTGACGTTCGTGTCATAGGGCTCGGTAGCATAGAGCCATCAGACCCAGTCTACATAAAATCGGAGAAGCCAGTGAACCTGACCTGCCACATCCACGGCTCCCCCCTCTCCAACTTCACATGGCTCAAGGGCAACAACTCTGAGAGCATCGAGACCCTGCGAGACCTAACAACAGTCACCCAGATAAACGAGACCTACCACATAATGACCCTCTCCTTCGAGAGTGTCTTGCGAAAGGACAACGGCACCTACACATGCATGGCAAACGACTACCGAGGTACAGTAACGAGCCTGCGCCACCTCTTCGTCATCGACAAGCCCCAGGTGAACATAGACTTCATCAAGGCAGTGGGTGCTGATAAAATCTTCCTCAACTGGACAGTGAACGACGGCAACAAGCCCATCCAAAATTATCAGATGAGCTTCCAGAAGAACGGCCAAGAGGGGCGAGTATTCTACAGCCAATCCGTAGGGGGTGAAAACACAAACTTCGTACTCAAGGGTTTCGAGAAGTCCACAGAGTACCAGATAAGCATCTCCGCGAAGAACGAAGTGGGAGAGTCCCAGGTGTATCACGACAACAGGTGGATTAAAACCCTGGACTCTGACCCCATATTCGTGCCAAATGTCTCGGTGAAGGGCTTCACCGAGAGCTCCATCACAGTGGGCTGGACAATGCCACCTCCAGCCCTTCGGGAGCACGTTCACTACTACACCCTGATGATGATCCACGACGTTCAAACTAAGGAGGCAGTCCATCCGGCCTCGGAATTCAACGACTACGTCTTCGTGGACCTGAATCCAGCCACAACTTATCTATTCAAGATATCCGCATGCAGTTACTACACGAAGCAGTGTGGCAACTGGAGTGCTGAGGTCAATGGAACGACCATGGATGGGGTCTGCAGCCCACCGGAGAACCTCACGGTCACGTGTAAATTCGATAATATCAGTAGAACGAGTTTTGTTTCAGTCAGTTGGTCTCCACCGGCTATTCCCAACGGCCAAATCACCAGGTATTGTGGTTATTTTAAACAGATTTTTTTTAATTTCTTTATTTACAGCATTTAGAGGGAGAGGCTTCAGTCATTACTGCAGAATTTACACTTCCTGATAAAACGAGGGTATTTAACTTTAATTTTTGAAACAAGGGCATCTCAGAATTTCCTGTAAAACTAGCCTGTCTGAATTTTCCGGGGAAAACTCGTCTAACGCAAACGAAATCAGAAAAAAAATATTTCGTGAACGCCGATTAGTGTTTAACCGATTTAGTCGATATGTTGAGGAATTTATGCCAGAGAATTAATAAAATGAATGAGATGTATTTTGTTGTTTGGGGTTTTCATGTTGTCTGAATTTTGAGAAAGATCGTAGTGTTCATGAGGCGCTTTCATTGAAGCCTCAGTTTTGAAATGCCAAAAAACCCAATAATTTTTCTGAAAAAAGCCAATATCCGTTTTCACCAGATACGGTGTCGAGCTAACCGGAGTCTCCCACTACAAAAACGAGAGAGGAAAGCTTCACGAGGAGCGCTGGGGGCGTGTGGACCACAACGCCAGGGAAATAGACCGAACATTCGAGTTCAAGAGAGTCCCAGCAAACATGAACTACACAGTGAGGATCTACGGTGTAACGAGACTGAGGAGTCCTGGAAAGCCAGCCACAGGCAACTGCACGATGCCAATCAGCATCCCCGACAAAGAGAGCTTGAACCTGAGGACCTGGAGGAAGATCCAGAACGAGGGGAGGCAGCTGTTCAAGCTGTACCTGCCCAGGATCTCCGAGAGGAACGGGCCCATCTGCTGCTACAGGGTCTTCTTGGTGAGGTTGGGGCCGGGACAGACCACGGGCAATCTGCCAGCCCCTGAGGATCTGGTCCTTTTTACATTCCATTATGCTCACCAATCCCCAGTTGGTGGGGCTTATCTGGCTGAAATGTTCGACAGCAATAATTTGCAGTCGGAGATTTTCCTCGGGGATGGGCGGGTTGCCTTCAATGGGTCCTCGAGTTGTGACAGGTGCATTGGGCTGAGGCCTAAACCCTTTCCCACTCTTCATCTCCTGCCGGATGTCCAGGGCCCAGTGAGCTCGACGTCAACGACTGCCTCTAGTGTTGAAACCACTTCAACCGCTGCCACTACCACTGCTCCGGGATCCACCACTGCTTTTGTAACCACAACTGCTGTTCCTGTAACTTCTGGGAATGCAACGACCCCTGGGGCGAGACGCAGACGCGATAACTCAGCCAATATGATTGCCATGGAGGGACAACTGGAGGAGCTCTATCCACCTGTCGATGGATACATCGATGAGGGCTCCAATTACACTGGCTTTGTCGAAGTTGTTGTGTTTGGTGGGGGACAGGTGCTCCCTGCCTACAGTGGCTACCTCAATCCTCTGTTTGGGGGAATGGAACCCAGTGTCATTGCTGTGGCTGATAATGGAACTCTGGGGGTCGTGCTGCAGATCTCTGTGGCACTGATTCTTATCATTATCATTCTGCTTGTGGCACTCTGTGTGCTGCATCGGTACACCAAGAGGGCCGAACAGGGGGGAGAGGAGAACATCAATTTGAGGAATAGTTTCAGGTGAGTAATCGGAATTTGATGGGGTTTGCGGGAGGAGGGGAATGCCGGGGGGAATTGATTACTGAGGTTAAGGTGATACAAACAAACATAGTTTTTTAAGCATTGATGAGTCTTTGGATAACGCAGGTACATTATAGTTTCACTGAAATTTCAAGGTATTTCGTTACAGAAAGTCTAAGTTTTAGAGAAAAATGGAAATCGTACGTTTCAGTTCATTTATTCTATGAGAATTAATAGAAATCGGGAAAAATGAGGTAGATCTATTCTTGAATTTTTAATTGATCATTTTAGGAGCGAAGTGGTAAAACGGTTTAAGTCGACTTATCTCAGTTGAGTTTTTGAGGAATATTTCGGACTCTAAGCGAGATAGCGAAATTTTCGTAATTACATTTGTTGTAGCTCTCAATCGGCTCTACGAAAAAGGTTACAACAAAAATTTTGCTATCTCCCTTAGATTTCGAGATATTCATTGAAAACTGGTCAATAGTCAAAACTGACTTGCACCGGTTTACTGATTTGTTCGTAATAAATTTGTTCATATTCTGAATTTTATCAGAAATCAACTTCATGCCTAAAAAACAAGATTTCTGACAGCTTAAACAATTTCAGTTATTTATTTATGAACAACCAATGTTTAAAGAAATAATAATTCTGTGCAAAATATAATTTTCTCACGCAATTTAATTGACAAATTTGGTGATTGAAAATGAGTCGTTTGTACCAAGCTGTAAAAGATACTTGGATATCCTTAAAAAATCTTCTCTAATGGATGCCTATTACCGGCAGGCATCTCTGCAGAAGTTTGCGCGGTCGTCACCAGGTAGTAGCCGCCAGTCCCCCGGACATGCCGCCAATTCCCAAAGCGGAGCTCCTCCAAGCCTACCTCGAGCGTCACCGCGACTCTGACTACGGTTTCCAGCACGAGTTCGAGCTCCTTCCGGACCGCTTCACCGACCGCACGACCCGCGCCTCCGAGGCCCGCGAGAACCTCTACAAGAACCGGTACCCTGACATCAAGTGCTACGACCAGACCCGAGTCAGGCTGTCTCAAATTGACGGAATCGCCGGCTCCGACTACATAAACTCCAACTTTGTTCTCGGTTACAAGGAGCGGAAGAAGTTCATCTGCGCCCAGGGCCCCATGGAGAACACCGTCTGCGACTACTGGAGGATGATCTGGGAGCAGCACCTGGAGCTTGTCTTGATGCTGACGAACCTCGAGGAGTATTCCAAGACGAAATGCGCCAAGTACTGGCCGGACAAGGAGGAGACCAAGAATTTTGGGGATATAACGGTGGAGCACGTCGGCCAAAAGGCATTTTCAGATTATGTTATCAGAGAATTGAAGATGACGAAGACAGGTATGCAATGGAATTTATTCATTAAGCAAAAGGGTTATTCAACAAATTTAATTTTGTCATTTCACTGGGTTATGGTAATTCAAATGGAAAATTAACATTTCAAATTAAAATTAGGGTCAGAAGAAGAGTGTGAAATAAGGGTCAAAGGGTCAGAGTATTTTACAACTATTAATGCTTTGCTCCTTGCGTTTACAATTGAATTATACATAAAATTATTCTTTGAACTAGATTTTTATTTTTTATAATTGAGTTGTACTTACATTTTTTCGAAAGTACTTCCTCAAATTAGTTATTCTAAAATCAACAACAAAGCGCATCCTCTTAGAAAAAAGAGCAGAATCCCATGATAAATTTGGGTAGCTGCGAAGACAGGAATGAAACTTTTATTCATAAAATAAATCGGTTGTAGGATTATTCAACGAATTGAATTTTCGCAATTTCTCTGGATTATAAAATTCCAAATGGACTTCTGGCAATGGAAAATCACGACTAAGAATTAAGATAAGGGCCACAAAAATAGTGTAATTATAACAATAAAAAAACGTTCCGTCCTTTTTTTATTAAGAGCCAAAACATAAGACTCAGAATATTTCACAACTATTAATTCTTTGCTCATTGCATTTACAATTAAATTATGCACCAAATTAAACTTTGAACTGTAGTTTCATTTTTTAAAAATACTTCTTCAAATTATTTATTCAAAAATCATCAACAAAGCTCATTCTCTTAAAAAAAATACCAGAACCTCACGATGAATTCCTATAGACCTTACCTGACAAATTATTTGAATTCGTTGCTCTCACTCATTACTAGTATTGTTCCTCTATTTTTCGATTGCAATTTAAATTGTCACAGGTGAGAGGGACGCAAGAACAATAATCCAGTACCACTTCCTCGTCTGGAAGGACTTTATGGCCCCCGAGCATCCCCACGCAATTCTGAAATTCATAAAGCGAGTGAATATAGCTTACTCCCTGGAGAAAGGTCCCATTCTGGTGCACTGCAGCGCCGGAGTAGGAAGGACTGGAACCCTGGTGGCCCTTGACTCACTCCTCCAACAGCTGGCCGACGAGGGCCAGGTCTCCATATTCAACACAGTCTGCGACCTCCGACACCAGAGGAACTTCCTCGTGCAGTCGTTGAAGCAGTACATATTCATCTATCGATCGTTGATGGAGATGGCGACGTATGGCGACACCGAGATCCCTGTCAAGGAGCTCAAGGCACACGTGGAGAAGCTCAGACAGAGGGACAATGGCAAGGAGAAGTGCCGAATGGAGGACGAGTATGACGTAAGTATCCAATGATTTATCTTCCTCATGGTTCTGGGATGCTTTTCACTCACACTGGCCAACGGTTTTTGTAGGAGCTTGTTTTAAATTCACAGAAAATCAGTTCTGTGTTGGAGGAACGTAAGTCGTTTTCAGTGGGCGGCGCCGAGGAGAATAGGGTGAAAAATAGGAGTGAGTTGGTGATACCTTATGATAGGAATAGGGTTATTCTTACACCGGTGCCTGGAAGAGAGCATTCAACTTATATCAATGCTTCGTTCATCGAGGGATACGATAATTCAGAGTCGTTTATCATTACGCAAGATCCTTTGGACACTACTATTGCCGATTTCTGGAGGATGATATCCGAGCAGAGCATTGCTACTATCGTCATGCTGTCCGATGTGAGTGGAATTGTGGAATTTATTATCAACTTTTCGTTGTTTGTGGAAAATCAATGGAATCCGCAGATTTACGTTCAATTATTCTGAGAAAATTATTAAGTTAATTATTCATTTGAATTCATTATTAATTGGGTGTCATTTGGCACTCAATGAAAATTCGAGTAAGTTGAGGAATTTCTGTCCTCCTACTGCTCAAAGATTTGGAATTTCATAGAATTTGCAGTGAAATCTTATTTATAAAATCTATTTCATTATTTTTTTTCTCCCTAAATCAAATCCAATATCACTCTCATAATTACAAGTCAACTAATTACTAATAATTACTAGAATTGCTTGAAATTTAAATTTTTTTTCAATAGTGTAAAATATTGAAGTTCATTCAGCTTTTGTGACTCATTTTATCTTGGAAAGAGAATATTTGGGTGAGACAGAGGGGAAGGGGGTCACATTCATGATAATCCAAAGCTCCATTTAATCGATTTTTTACCTTTATTTTAAAAAAAATAAAAAATAAAAATATTTAAAAATCACGTGAGTAACGAAGTGTCAAATATACGATTTAATGTCCACCTTTTGGGGGAATGCATTTAAAAAAATATTGGCATTTCTTTCAGTTGAATGAAGGCCCCAGGAAATGCCCCAGATACTGGCCCGAAGACGAGGCTGTGTACGAACACATAAGGGTGAGATACATCCAGAGTGAAAGTTGTCCGTACTATACAAGGCGCGAGCTGTGCGTTGCAAATACGAAGACAGATGAGACAGTTGTTGTAACGCAGTACCAGTATCACGGCTGGCCGACGGTCGAGGGCGAAGTGCCCGAGGTGACACGAGGTGTCATTGAACTTGTCGATCAGACACTGGTGACTGACGGCGAGTGCTGTGGCCCCTTGGTTGTTCACTGCAATTGCGGATCTGACAGGAGTTCTATGTTTGTCGCCCTCAGTATACTCGTTCAACAGTTGAGGACTGAAAAACGAGTCGATATCTTCACTGTTACGAAGAAACTCAGGTCACAGAGACATGGGATGATCAGTACTTTTGTGAGTATCTGGGGGATGAGAACTTTTTGGAAATTTAGTCGTTGAATTAAATACTGCGAAGTCAATTTTTTTAGTTTCTTTTGAATAAAGTGGGAAAGTCCATGGTATTTTTATTTTTTTGGAAGAAAAAGAAATGGAGAAAACGAGAGGAAAGAAAATCACAATTTTATGAGAACATTCACAGGAACTGTAAATTTTAGCTCAATTATTACTTGAAAATTGATAGAAATTTTGAAAATTCAGGTAAATGGACTCTTGGATTTTTAGTTAAATTAAAATTCAACATAATTTGAGTTGAATTCTCATCTTCTTTCTACTTGAAATTTTCAATGATATCTCCATCAATTTTCATCACTAAGAAGAACGAAATTACTATTACATTATTCATGAAAATAATAAAAAGTTTTGTTCCATCATTGAATCATTTTCAAATTTTTGTAAATAAAATCAATGCAATATTAGTTTTGATTATCAGAAAGAAACGCCTTTTAAAATTGTTTGAATCCATGATTTTTTTTCGTATTGTTTCAGCCCCAATACGAGTTTCTCCACCGAGCAGTAATGAACTACGCAGATCTCCACAATCTCGCTGACGACGAGCCAGAATCATAATGAAGGATATCGAACATACCCTAAAGACTGACCATTCGTTTGTTCCGTAAGTCGTTTTTAATTTCCCCTAACGAATTAGTGATGAAAACACCCTGAAGTTCACTTGTAAAATCAGTCAACTGGAGCATCCAAAGAAATTCAATTGTTCCATAGTCGGTTGAAGACTTTTTATACCTTATAAATTTCCAAAAGAATAATATAATACCGAGTATGTTCGCTCGATTTTTTTCACAAACGATGTAAACTACTTGATGTAGTTGCGTCGATGGACCTCGTCAGAGTGGATGAGAGTCTCAAAAAAATTTTTTTAATCCCACGAGAATATATCATAATTGTCTCGAGAGAATTGTCGTTGCTGCGTGATGGCAGGATCGATGAATGTTTAAAAAAAAGGTCGACTGTCGTGTGTTTGTATCACTTAGGAGTAAGTGCGTCCTGGTGGCATGAAGAGAGGATGAATAAGAAGCTTGGCATTATTCTTTGCGAATAATTATTTGAGGACGTCAGTCTGAATTTTCATTAGAACCTCGATGATTTCAGCACGACTCTTTGTTGAATAAAACTGTAGTGAAGGCGATGAAAAGAGGTGATCCCAGAAAATTCTGATACTGAGAGCAACACATCGGGGAACATTTTTCAAAAGCCCATTGACATCTGCAGTATTTTTTATTCAGTCAGATGTGTACCCTCTGGGGTCTTTACATTTTTTTTCCCACTCTTTATTAACTATGAAGGCACTTCATCCAATTCACTTACAGTAGGAACGCATTTTGTAACAACTATGACTCTCATCTTTGCCTCTCTACTCTATATTTGGGTTTCGATGCCACTCCATACTTTTTTCTATTATCCTGTCCCTCTCCTCTTGCTCTCGTAGACGCCGATTCGTTTTATCGAGTAAAATCCAATCCTCAGCGGTTGCTGGAGAAATTATCACTCTCCTGTTCCACCTCATCTCTCTTCTTTAAGGTCTTAAGGTATATCCCAAGACAGTCGGACCCAAAAGTTAGTCCCTATGGATTCCCGACAGGAATTATAAATAACTTAATTTATTGCATTCTCATAAGTTACTGAGTTTTTCCATTCTCATGTGTTGTTGATGCAGGCAACAATAACTGTTTGAGTCAAATAAGAAATTATTAGGTGGGGTAGTTATTTTTAAAGGACTTTTAGTGGCAAAAACTATCATTCGTGAGTGAAAAATGAATTTGATTGTAATCAATGGACAGTACCATCGCTGTCTTCAACTTGTTATCATATTTCCGGGTAAAAGATGAAATTTATGGTGAGAAAACTGGATATTCTTGGGGGAAATCCAGCCTGAGAACCCTCGAAAATTTATTATCACACCTGTTATTTGATAATTTTTTAAATCAATAAGAAATGCTTTCACGAAATTTCCATTTTTTAGAGTTCACTATGTAGTGCAAAATTAATAACTATGGAGTGCAAAATTTTACAAAAAAATTGGCAGTATTTGGAATTTATCAATCTATCATGGATGAGTTTTTTAAGAACATCGCAAGAACCGTTTTCTCATAAGATGGAAATATCGAGTTTGGGGGGAGCCATAACTAATGTGGACAATCTCCAGAAAAATGTGTTTTCGAGGGATACACCTTAAAATCGGAGATGTTTATGCGAATTCACCCCGACGAAACCCAGACTCAGCTCGTGTTCTCCACTCTTTCGACTGATTTTTCTCGGATGACGATATTCGTCGGACTCTTTGAAAATTCAACTATTATTCTCATAAACTGGAGTTAACTCTTTTCATCATCTTCACTACATAATAATTATTGCCATAAATAAAACCCATTTAAACTTTTTTACTCCCCAAACAACTAATTTCGATTATAGAATTGTGTAAATAATATAAATATTACGAGAAAAAATATATATACATAATTATAAAATTTCGCGGCTGCATGCTACATTTTATTAGTTATTGACATGTATGTGTGTGATTAAGGCATGCGTGCGTGCGGCGCAGTTAACCCATGCTCTCAACGATTGATTCATTATTTCGGTAGTTGAGTTGGTCAACTATTCCATTGAAACGTTAAATAATCGTTCATCTCAGATTTTCTCTTGATATTTTTCCTGACATCATCTGTTCTCGAAGGAATTTCTCAATTGGCGTGACACTTTTTTGCTGAATAAAATTATGGAATGCGAAAAATATTGGATACCTATTTTTTTCTGTCCTGAAGAATAATGGAAAATCAATTTTTCATGATTCATCGGAATAAAAAAATACGTGTCTAATACTTTGCCTTCAATTCCAACCAAATCGAGACAGATGTATAAAAAATGAACCGTTCATCTCTGATCCCTCTTGATATTTCTCCTGAACTCATCTGTTCTCGAGAAAATTCCTCAATTGGCATGACATTCTGTTGAATAAAATGAAGGAATATGAAAAATATTGGATACGTATTTTTTTTTCTCTTGAAAAATGATTAAAAATAAACGTCTCATGACTTATCGCAATAAAAAAATACCTGTCTAATATTTTCCCTTTAATTTTAACGAAGTCAAGACAGAGATGTACGAAAAATGAACCGTTCTACCACTGAATTACTAATTTTTCTTCGTAAAGACCATTAACTGGAAAAAAATTGATGAAAATATTTCATAAAACTCAGATAAGACTGATAGCATCGAGGGCCAAGAGCCCCTCGCCATCGGATTGAATTGCGCATTCATTTTTTTACCAATGAAAAGAATAAAAAAAATTATTTAATAAATAATTAGGTTTTCATCCCCTCCGGAAGCGGTGAAGCACAGAGACTTTATTTTCTCTACAAACCCATATTTTAGAGGGATGAATAAATAATTAATCGTAAAATTTTTGATACGAAAAGAATAACGAAGGGACTCGATTGTAGTTGAACCGAAATCTCGTTTTGTCTTGTCTATTTTCCCCCATTTTATCTCATCGATGAATCCTCGACTTTCAATTTATTTATTTTCTAGTCAATCTTTAGCTCCAGCACGCGCGCTGCTGAGAATAAAAAAAGAAAAACCGTTGGATATTTCCTAGAGCGACAATCACACGATTCCACTTGCTCGCGTACAGTTTCGTTCCCTTAATTTCCCCCAGAAATTCCACCAGTGGAAGCTCTGAATAGAGATTAACAAAAGTTAAAATAGCGTAAAAATGCTTCTCCATTCCATTCTCGTTGCCTATTAATCCTGATTTTCATCTCCTATTTTCCGAAGTACATTTTCGATGAATGTAAAGAACTATCATTTGCCATGTGAGGAAAATTCAGTCTAATGCTGTATTTATACTGTTCGTGCTATTGTTGCAGGCGATGGTTAATCGGTTAATTCATTGTAAACGTGAACACTGTGGGAGTGTTATTGTTTCACTCTGTTATTTGCGATGTTAATTTGCGAAATAACGTACTCTCGATTCACGTAGTCGCTTGAATTGTAACTATTAATGCTGTCGACATTTCCGAGTGGAGGTTTGATCTTTTCTCATATTTTTTTGAGTGCCATAAGGTGAATTTAATTTATAACATTCAATAACAGATTATTTATCATTTATTTTGATTGACAATTTGCGAATGAAATACGAGAAAATCAGTTTCAGGTAAATCCACTATAATAATTGCAAAATTGATATATTTACGTTTCAATTAAATTCATCAACATTTTTCAATGAATCCTCGATAATTGAACGCATTTCCCCCAACTGTTCGGCTCCAAAAAAATTGATAAACTCTAAATTTCCACTCGGTGTGCCATCTAATTGGTCACTTGTAAATGAAAAAAGATGAACGCTTTTCTCTGGTTCTAATTACGATAGCATAAATAAAAAAAATGTGAGTAAGAATGATGAATGAAGGATAAAGTAAGGCTCTAAAACGAATGTACAATAATCAGTATTTAAGCTTCAGATAATTCGTTAACCGTCGCAACAGACAGGTGAACAACACTGTAAAGGCCATTTAATCGAGATTGAATCGTTTATATTTCGTTCGTGTAGCAGTATTAAGGTGGAAAAACTAAAAGAATTCATGTAATTCGACGACACTGTCCTAGATTAACAATTCTTCATTTGTACGTACGTTTTCAATGATCAAACAGTGCCAGTTTCGTTGGATTGTTTTGTTGGATATTATTTCAATCAAGTGAACACGACAGAAACAAAAATGAGATGAAGAGCTCTACCTCAACGTGTAGCTATCAGTAAAATAAGGCAAAGTCTTGGTGACTCTCAGGATCCTGTATTTTGTTCGTCTTTTCAAAAGGAGTTTAACGAGATCTGACTATCGCACAAAATGTAGTTTTGACGTACTTACCAAATGAAGAAAACAATTAGTTTGTGGAATGTGCAGAGATAATTGATAAGTACCATTGGATATTATTAACACAGAATTAAATTACTGAATTGAGAATGATATTTTTAGTAATTAACGTACAATCCGTTAAATCTGGACGAATTCTCGATTCAACAATTTTCTTCTCACTTCATCACCGATAAAATCAACAACGATTACATTATAATCACCCCAGAAACAATTAATTTCGATGTCTGTCACATGTTGGACGAGTCTGAAATCTCCAAAAGTGAGTGAAAGAAAGGAAAAATAAGAGAGAATTCAAATGAAACGACGAAACAATTATAATTTCACAATATTGTTGTCGCGTGTGAATGCTGGAGAGTTTTGTAAAGTGAATCTTTTTTTTTTTTTTGAAAATGAGAACTAAGATGAAATGAATATTAACTACAAATAAATAAACGAAATAAATAAATTCGCAGAGATAAATCGATGAATTGTCTTAAATTTTCAGTCTCACTGGGGTTTAGCTCCACTAACGTCACTGGGCGTTGTGACGTATCTTGTTTCGTTTTCTCACGGATGTACCTTGACGTGGTCTAGTTTTAATTCCTATGATTGTTTCTGGGTAGTGCTTCTTGGGTCGTATTGTCGTTGTTTTGTTGTATGACTCGATGGCATCGCTCACCGTTTTGGTAAGATCGAGCAATTCATCGTGAACGAAACGTGACTTGAAGTCGGGAAATAGACGTGGCATTATTAGTACACCTAGCATGAACACCAGTGCCATACCGACAAAACCACTTATTGCCATGAAGAGGGGATTCATGACCATCTGCTTCTGGGACTCGTGGAATGGATTTGTTGACTCCATCTGTAAGTCCTGTTAATACATTTTTAAATTAGTGGAGAGAATGGAATTTAATTGTGGAATTTTCTGTGGTACAGCCCAGAAAATTTTAATGACTGACATTTACACTGGGATTTTAGTAAATATCGGAATTAAAAAATTACCTGTTTTGCTAATTTTTTCATACTTTACTGAGAAAGATAATGAAAACTGTAAACTTTTTTTTTTATTATTGTAATCCCTGCCCCTCCCTTGCTAAGAGGGAACACTCAAGAGCAATAAACGAAATAATAATATAATAATATAAAACTGTAAACTTTAATTCAATTATTCAGTGAAAATTAGATCGAGTTGGGAAATTTTCGTCTTATTTTCACATGGAATTATTTAAATACTATTTGACAGTTGAAATTTCTCCGCATTTTCAATTTTTCTTTATTTTCAAAGAAAAAGCCTTTCGTTTACTGAGAACAGAGAATTTGTGGAACATTTTCACTGAAATTTTGGCATTGAAAAATAACATTTCGTTGATTTTTTTCATAATTTGATGAGAAAAAAATTAAACTGTCAACTTCAGTTCAATTATTCTATTGCAACTATTCTTTAATTGCTGCTGAGCCTTGAAATTTCAGTAATTTCTTCAATCATTTTTTAACATATTTCCTTCTTCTAATAATTACGCAATTATCTTGGCAATCAAGTATTTCATAAAAAGTTTTGCTTTCTCGTTCTCTTCTGGAGTCAGTCCGAGTCGAGATAATTGGGCAATTAGCCACACGATGCACAGAGTTTCTTTACTCAATCCTTGAATTGGGGTTTTATGGGCAGTAATACCACGTGCGACTTCGGACTTGACAAGTTTTACAGTAAAAATTTACATAGAGTATTCAAACTGCTCAACGATGGGATAGAAGGCGACCATGAATTTCACGTCTTGACATTTAGTGTTCCTTTCGCATACATCTGGATGAATTACGTTGCAGATATTCTTCTTTAGGTCAGTTACTTTGAAACATTCAGAAGAATCATTTTTTTTAATTAATAAAATGTATTCGGCACATGGAGAAGACAAATGACAACGGGATTTCACGAAACGAAATGGGTAACTCGTAGATTATATGAATGATTCATGATTCATGATTCATTTTAAATGATTCATTTCGATTTTTTTAAATTCTACACTGATATAAAGGGGTCGCTATTTGATTCGATCCATATTATTTTATATGAATGAAAGGAAAAAAACAAAACAACGGGAAATAAATCATTTGAATGATTTTATTTATTTATTTCGATTTTTTTTAATTCTGCACTGATATAAAGGGGTCGTTATTTGATTCGATCCATATTATTTTATATGAATGAAAGGAAAAAAACAAAACAACGGGAAATAAATCATTTGAATGATTTTATTTATTTATTTCGATTTTTTTTAATTCTGCACTGATATAAAGGGGTCGTTATTTGATTCGATCCATATTATTTTATATGAATGAAAGGAAAAAAACAAAACAACGGGAAATAAATCATTTGAATGATTTTAAATGATTCATTTCGATTTTTTTTAATTCTGCACTGATATAAAGGGGTCGCTATTTGATTCGATCCATATTATTTTATATGAATGAACGAAAAAAATCAAAACAACGGGAAATAAATCATTTGAATGATTTTAAATGATTCATTTCGATTTTTTTTAATTCTGCACTAATATAAAGGGGTCGTTATTTGATTCGATCCATATTATTTTGTATGAATGAACGAAAAAAATCAAAACAACGGGAAATAAATCATTTGAACGATTTTAAATGATTCATTTCGATTTTTTTAAATTCTGCATTGATATAAAGAGATCGCTATTTGATTCGATCCATATTATTTTATATGAATGAACGAAAAAAATCAAAACAACGGGAAATAAATCATTTGAACGATTTTAAATGATTCATTTCGATTTTTTAAAATTCTGCATTGATATAAAGAGATCGCTATTTGATTCGATCCATATTTTATATGAATGAATGAAAAAAATCAAAACAACGGGATTTCCACAGGAAGAAACGGTCAACTGTATGGATTATCCTCGTGCGCCCAATATTTCCACCTCATAAATTCTAAAATCCTCGAATCACTCCCTCCCCCAATAAAAGTAAAAAAAACTCATACCGGTGCACCAAATCCATTGTGATTCCTTACGTCACTCATGAACGACTTCAGCGGATAGAAGTAGTACGCATAAGTTGGTCTAACATTTCCGTCTTGATTATTACTATTTCCCAGCGGTAGTTGTCCACCAGCTAAAACATTCTTCAGGCTGTCCACGCTTATTGAGTTCCCGGACTCCATTGCCTGTTTGTAAATGGCATTAAGCTCACTCTTGGTGAACGGCGAGGCACCCTGACCCCTCACCGGTACCTGGAACAATCCCGAAGGGGAATTTTCCCCGAGTCGTGTCTCAAAGAATTCCGGGTGATGATGCGATGGAGTTTAGAGTAGCTCTACCCTTCGGCCGGGCTACGCTGTACTTTTGAATATTTTCAGTTTTTCAATTTTTCAACTAAATTGCATGGAAGAAATTTGAAAAAATTCATACCCAGTCAGTATTATCTAAATTAAATTTCGCAAAATATTGATATTTTTTCAAACATTTCCCTCTTATAAATAAATAAAAAAACTTGTTTGCAAAACGGTGGATTATTTTTTATGAGGTGTCAAAAAAATTCTTGATTTTTTCACATCTAATGGAAAAAAATTCAGATTTTAATCTTTGATTACAATGGAAATGTTGATTTTCACATAAGACACCGGGTTAAATCCTGATTTTTAAACATTTCTTCTTTGAAAAACCAAAACGGTAATTAAATTGAACAAAAAATTAGAATTCCGAATCTAATCGAGTTTTCTGCAATTTTTTTGCAGTTTTCAATAATCTTTGAATTTACCGTACGGGTAGAGCTACTTTAAATCAAATGCGTTCAATTTGAATTCGCACATTACAGGTGGACAAAAGGGCCTAATTTGAGAGGAAAGCGTGAAGAGTTTAAAGGCGTAGAAAATTAGGATGATTGAGCCGTTGCAATGCTCAAATACAGCTTTCATATTAATACAAAAAAAATCGTGAGTCATGTTGAGAATCAACTTATTTTATGCCGTCATCGACGGAACTAATAGATCGTTTCAGTTCAGAGCCACTAGATTTTTTAGCACTTCTAGAGAAATTTGGCCATGATTAATCACTTTTGATAACTGAAATGAATTTTTTTATGGTAAAATTTGACTCAGTTTTACACCATTTTCTTCACTCTGGAAATTTTAATCGAGTTACAGTCGTCATACTGAAATTTTGAGGGATTTCGAAATTGAAAATTTAAGATTTGATGAAAGAATTTCAGGAAACTTTGAATTTTAGAACAGAAATTCCGTGAAAATCATGAAAATTGAAATGTAATTTAATTTCTGATAGAACGTTCTGTTGAAAAATGAAAAATTTCATTAAATGAAATTTCGTTGATAATAACAACAAATCATTAATAATAACATTCAGCCGACTTTTCATTATTTTTGTATACTTTATGAAAATCTCCATCAAGCAACAATTCCACTGAAGTCTTGAAGGATTTCGTCACTGAAAAAATGTTCAATTCGTTGGATAAATCAATGGAAATCTGGAAAATGTAGGTAAATACATTCTTGAATTAATTTTGGACAGAAAGTTCATGTTTTGATTGAAAATCCAAGTAAATGGGGAATCCTCGTCTTCCTGCTGTTAAAAATTGCGAAATTTCATTGAATTTCCATTCAAATTTCCTGACTTTCCTCTGAATCGTCTGAACGAAAATGAAATGAATCTGAATTTAATTTTCGTTCTCCTGAAAATTACCACTAAACTCTCCCCGAAATTCTCATTTTTCCTAACCGCCCATGACTTTCGAAATCTCGAAATGTTCTCTCGAATCAATTTCCTTGAAAATTCAGCGTCAACCGCAGATCGCATCACCACGAGAATCCGCATTCTCCGCAAAACCTCAACCCCAATCTCCCAATCATACCTGATAATACTGAGCGCTGCCAGAGGCACTCGCAGGCTCCTGAACACCCTGCATCCCCTGGCGCTGAAACCTCAGAGCATTAGCATTCGTGTTTAGCAGACGTTTACCCGCCAACAACTGCTTATTACTCCCTAAATACACTGGGACTGTGGGCATTGCGTCTTTCATCTGCTGCAGCTCAATCATCGCCTTCCTCAGGTATTCCTCACTGGACTCCGTGCTCACTCCACTATGAGGATGCACTTGGCTCGTCATCAGGGCCAGTTGCACCGCGAAAACACTCCACTTGACGCACATTATTAATCTACATTCGCCTCTTGATTGCAATAATTGTGATAAAAAATAATGGACAGAGCGACGAACGTTTTCCAGAGTCGAACGACGCATTAACTAACGAATTACTCTGGTATTACCAATATCCGACGCCAATATTTACATTTTAATTCATTTTTTAAACAAATTCACATGGAAAACCAAGACTGCAATGAAAATATTTGAAAATGTCCTGTTCACGTGACTTGAACCGCATCCTTCAGTCGCTACCAGAGACGTTTGATCACAGGATTCTGTATAATTTTTATTTTCAAATAAAAATGAATGGGGAATTATCACGGAAGTGCCGGCATATCGCAGGACTGCGTATATGTGAACGGTGGTGAAGCCCCCGATAAACTGGTTACTTCAAAGAGAGGCCAATTGAACGTGTTCCCCACCACTGGAGACGCATTGCCGATCTCGTTCGCCGCATGTGCCTCACATAATTAAAATATGTCCAGTGATAAAAATAATAGCTATGATTCTCGAGCACGGCGCCTCCATGCAGCCAGGGATAGCCAAGTTTGTAATATTTTATTACGGTTAATATTGTAGCCCTTAATTAGATAACATCACTCTTGAAATTTTTTGGGTACTTAGGTATCATCAATTCAAATATTCAAATTTTCAACTATTTTATCAATCAGTAATTTGAAGTAGGAAGATTGACGATTACTTGTGTAATCGAAAAGAAAGAAATTTGAATTCAGTAGGGAAGTGGTAAATCGGTATAAGTCGATTTTGACTATTGCCAAGTTTTCAATGAATATCTCAAAATCTAAGGGAAATAGCAAAATTTTTGTCATAACCTTTTTTGTAGAGCAAATTGAGAGCTACAAAAAAGGAAATCACAAAAATTTCGCTATTTCTCTTAGATTCCAAGATATTTATTGAAAACTGGCCAATAGTCAAAGTCAAGACTTTCCGCCCTTCGGAGCAACTTTCCACCCTAGGGCGGGAAGTACTCACTTTCCTCCCGCTCATCAGGGAGCAAAATACGAACTTTCCTTTGCAGTCGTGTTAAAATAGTATATTGTGCATCAAGGGCGGAAAGTCATGTTTTCCCGCCCGAGGTGCACATGCTATTTTTTAACACGCCTGCAAAGGAAAGTTCATATTTTGCTCTTTGATGAGCGGGAGGAAAGTGACTACTTTCTGCCCTAGGGTGGAAAGTTGCTCTCAAGGGCGGAAAGTCTCTCTAAATTCTAATTCTCTTAGAATTTTTTTTTGTATTTTCATCATTTTTTATTTAGACTAATAGTGAAAAATAAATAATTAACTGAAAGAATTAATTAGTCTTGACTTTCCGCCCGAGAGAGTAACTTTCCACCCTAGGGCGCAAAGTACTCGCTTTCCTCCCGCTCATCAGGGAGCAAAATACGAACTTTCCTTTGCAGGGGTGTTAAAAAAAAATTTTATAACAAACGGAAGAGCGTTCCGTAATTTTTAACTGAATGTCCTGTGAAAAATTCCGTGACAGTTCCACAAAAATTTCCTACAATCACATTTTGCTCCGGAATTACGGAAAAGATACGTAATTTTTTTATTGAATATTTCTCTCCGTGTAGAGTAAATATCGATGGAGTGAGGGAGATTATAAGGCGCATCACGCACTCGGGGATATTTTTTATTTTTATTTATCCTGCATTTCGTGGATTTTTTAATCTGTCGTACGCAACGGGTTGAGCATGTTTCGAGGTATAATGGATTAGATGTACTGGGAAGGTAACGGTGAAGGGGTACCCGAAAACGGGATTGGAATTCAGGACGATCGAGGACGATGTAAAGGGAATAAAAAATCGCGTGGTACAGTGAACTCGTTTTCTGGGGAGGGGGTTGATTTTTTTTCGCTTGGGTTTGGCGGAGTGAGTTTGCGGGAGGGGGAGGGGGAGGTGTGATGAAAGGGGAGTCGAGGAATCGTTATCGTTATGGGGAATTGATGGGGGTTTTGTGGATGCTTCAGCTTCTGGTTTTATTTCAGGAGGAGAAAGGGGAAAAGGTAAGTGGAGGTATTCGAGGGAGTTCATGTGGAGAATTTCTATGTGCACTGCTTGAAATTGCCCTTTAAATTTCCAGTCTTAACTATTGTTTAAAATATTATTAGTTAGAGTTGCTGGCAAAAATGTCAAGATTCATGAAATAATATTGAAATTTTTAACAACGATTAATTCACACGAATATGATTATTGCGATTTTAATTGCAGTTGCAATTATTCTGAATTTTTCATTAATAAAAAATTGAATTGTGGTGTTCAATTTTCGCAATGAATTTGAGCATTCAAGGTGTTAATTATCAATGATCATCTAAGATGAGTAAAAAATTCAGTAGAAAATTCTGTCTCAAATTGAATTCGATGTCATAATTTTGAGAATTGAAATGCAGCTATTGGAGTAGTGTAGAGACTTTTAGAGACTCTGGAGAAGGTTCAATATTGCAATAGGGGAGGCTGGGGTAAAACGGACACTTTTGACTTTTTTTTAAATGTTAATGAGGGGTTGAAATTTTGATACAATTTAATAATTTTTTTTTTTCAATTCAAAGAACAACTCTTTCCCTTTGTGACGAGCCTAAACTGAGCTCAATTGATAAATTTGTTTCTCAGTTATAAATAATTTTAAAAAAGTCCAAGGTGTCCATTTTACCCCACCCTCCCCTATATTTCGCCAAATTTCTCTAAATGATCTAGATAATTATGAAACTTGAAGATTTGAAACTCTTACAAATCCCATAAATTTTTTCACCCATTTGTATTCAATAAAAAAAATCAATAAATCAGGATTTTTCTAATTCTCCTGAAAATCTGTCTCATTAAATCTCTTCTTCTCATCGTCACACAAAAAAACTAATTAAAAGAATAAATTTCGTAAAAAAACTCATTTCATACAAAAACTCAGCCCAATTGATAAATTTGTTTCACAGTTATAAATAATTAAAAAAATCTCTAAACTATCTATTTGACCCCACCCTCCCCTACATTTCGCCAAATTTCTCTAAATGATCTAGACAATTATGAAACTTCAAGATTTGAAACTTACAAATTCCATAAAGTTTTTCACCCATTTGTATTCAATAAAAAAAATCAATAAATCAGGATTTTTCTAATTCTCCTGAAAATCTGTCTCATCAAATCTCTTCTTCTCATCGTCACACAAAAAAAATAATTAAAAGAATAAATTTCGTAAAAAACTAATTTCATAAAAAAACTCAGCCCAATTGATAAATTTGTTTCACAGTTATAAATAATTTAAAAAATCTCTAAACTATCCATTTACCCCCCCCCCCCCCCCCCCCCNTCAATTGATAAATTTGTTTCTCAGTTATAAATAATTTTAAAAAAGTCCAAGGTGTCCATTTTACCCCACCCTCCCCTATATTTCGCCAAATTTCTCTAAATGATCTAGATAATTATGAAACTTGAAGATTTGAAACTCTTACAAATCCCATAAATTTTTTCACCCATTTGTATTCAATAAAAAAAATCAATAAATCAGGATTTTTCTAATTCTCCTGAAAATCTGTCTCATTAAATCTCTTCTTCTCATCGTCACACAAAAAAACTAATTAAAAGAATAAATTTCGTAAAAAAACTCATTTCATACAAAAACTCAGCCCAATTGATAAATTTGTTTCACAGTTATAAATAATTAAAAAAATCTCTAAACTATCTATTTGACCCCACCCTCCCCTACATTTCGCCAAATTTCTCTAAATGATCTAGACAATTATGAAACTTCAAGATTTGAAACTTACAAATTCCATAAAGTTTTTCACCCATTTGTATTCAATAAAAAAAATCAATAAATCAGGATTTTTCTAATTCTCCTGAAAATCTGTCTCATCAAATCTCTTCTTCTCATCGTCACACAAAAAAAATAATTAAAAGAATAAATTTCGTAAAAAACTAATTTCATAAAAAAACTCAGCCCAATTGATAAATTTGTTTCACAGTTATAAATAATTAAAAAAATCTCTAAACTATCTATTTGACCCCACCCTCCCCTATATTCCGCCAAATTTCTCTAAATGATCTAGACAATTATGAAACTTCAAGATTTGAAACTCTTACAAATCCCATAAATTTTTTCACCCATTTGTATTTAATAAAAAAATTCAATAAACCAGGATTTTTCCAATTCCCTCGAAAATCTGTCTCATAAAATCTCTTCTTCTCATCGTCACACAAAAAACTAATTAAAAGACTAAATTTCATAAAAAACTAATCGAATTCCGCAAATGCGCGGGGATTCCCCCTCTTAATTTTTAACTCCGCGAGCGATCAGTCGTTCCTCCACATTACGATAAAAATGAAAGTCTGGCCGAGTGCTCCAATTAAAAAACATCAGCAATCACCGCGAATCAATGGCCCCTCCCGGCGCGTAATGACCCCCACAAACTAATTCGTAATTCCCTCAAACTGCCAATCCCCATCTAATCTACGATTCCGCCAAGACATTGACTTCCTCTCCCACTTCCCCGGGATGTTTCCAATTTTTTTAACGGTCCCCACTGAAAGCCAATGAGGCCTCCAGAGCCACCGGAACCGTCTCCATTCGTTCCGTCCGTAAAATATAATTTACTTATTAATAATAACGAGCTCCGCAAACGGGGAATTGCGGTTCGTTTCAGACTGTTGCATCTGTCCGCATTAAGTCAGTGTTATGACCCGTTAGAACGGATGATAGGGAATAGTCAACGATTATTTATGCACTAGTGACACTCTGAAATTTTATTCCCATCGGGTTTTTCTTCCTCGTGTTTACGGAAGTTTGAGAGATATTTCGTCACATTTCCAGGAGTTTACACGCATGTGAGGTGATGAGTGGTTGTGTGGCTCACTAGGGATCAATGGAGGAAGCCGGACGCACTCACGTGTCACTCGGAGCCTATCACTGACAATTGTTCAACGTTTTCTGCTGTTGATAGATAGATAATCATCATGGTATGAATTTTAAACTATTCTGCGTTGAACTCTCGGGGATTTTTCACTGGTTTTTCTCACGGAAAGTTCGAGCTCGGGGAATTGCGAAGGAAATGGAGATTCTAACCTCAACACAACAATCCAGATGTTTTTTTTAACTCGTTTTTTACTGTAATCAAATCAATTCATTATGTTTAAGGCGGGTTGGGGTTAAACGTACACTTTTGAATTTTTTTAATGTTAATGAGGGGTTGAAATGTTGATTAAATTTCATAATTATTTTTTTCAATACAGAGAACAATTCTTTCCCTTTGTGACGAGCCTGAACTGAGCTCAATTGATCAATTTGTTTCTGAGTTATGAATAATTTAAAAAAGTCTAGTGTCCATTTTACCCCACCCTCCCCTATTTTGTTTTTCAAGAGGGCAATTGTAGTAGCGAATTAAAATTGGGGATGTTGCGGTAAAAGGGACACTTGAGGTTTTTTTCAGTGGTTTTTCTTGAAGTTCAGTTTAGAGTCATCGCAAAGGGGGAGAATGGTTTTTTCCAGGAAATAAAAATGGGCTAATTTCCTTCATAATTCACTGAGTCATTGATATTTCAAAAAAGCAAGAGTTCATCTTGCCCAACCATTCTCTAAATAACATTTGAAATTTAAGGATGTTCGACACCCTTTTAGCCAAAATTGACGTTGTTTTCATTTTTCTGGCAAATTATCGATGGGAGTGACGTGAAAAATTATAACGATTTTGTGGTTTGTCATTCTTTAATGGCTCACGAAGTTGCGTAGTGGTGCGATAATTTTTATGCGTTTTTTCTAGTTTTGTGATGCTTTTTAAAAGTTTAGAGAAAACGCAGGAAAATGTTCGCACCACCTTAAAATTTCGTCAGTCATTAAATAATGACAAAACGCAAAAACGTTATATTTTTTCACGTCAATTCCATCATAAGTTTGCCAGAAAAATTGAAAAAACGTGAATTTTGGCAGAAAGGGTGTAGAACATCCTTAACAATGCCAATAACTAGGAATCTGAAAAATACTTGTGGCATTGTAATACATATTTTCGTTTTTTATTTCATTTTTGGTTGTGGCGATTAATTGTTGGGACAGGGTTCTGAGAGAAAGGGGACCTACAAGGTGGAGTACCTCCAGAAGATCGAGCGAGAGGTGCAGGAGAAGTGGGAGGCTAAGAGGGTTCACGAGGAGGATGCACCCAGCGCACCCAGGAAATCCGGGAATGAAAAGTTCATGGCTACTTTTCCATTTCCTTACATGAATGGACGACTTCATCTCGGACACACGTTTTCGTTGTCGAAATGCGAAGTAATTCAAGCTTTTTTCCTAGTTCTGACCCAATCTCATGTTGATTTTGAGAACCCTCTCGTTATTTCACCTGTTTTTTCATTGAAATTGTTTTCTAAATTTGGAGTTGTGCATCAGACCTCATTCGAGCCTCACGATTCCCCATATTTTCGTAAGAATTTCGTTACTCCAACTTTCGATTCTTCATTACACACCCTCAGGAAACTTTAAAATAACCAAAAAATTCAAAGTCGACTTTGAGAAGAAGATTTAGAAAATGATTGAAGAATTACAATCTGAAGATTACGATTTTTCATAAATAATTAATAAACATTCGATTTTGCACCGTAAAAATAATTTTTCCACAAGTTTAAACAGTTTCTGCGTAGCACAACTACTGAGAATTTTCTTCAATACCTGGACAATATTATTGACCTTATTTTTTTTATTGTAAGCATTTAACCCTTACGGTTTATTCTGCAGTAAGAATACAATGATTTTGTGTAAATTTACCCAAATGATAATTCCTTACATACATATTCAGTTAAACACAGAACTAGACTAGCCTAGATTTAGAGGGGTTACAAAAGTTGATATTTCTTGTCTGTAACTCAATACATTTATAGCATTATTAACATATGTTAATGGAGTCAATCGTACAAAAACATTACAATCGTACAAAAAACGTGTTTTCTATCTTTAGAATTGTGTTTTCTCCTGCAATTATTATTTTTTATAGATTAAACTACTTCATTGACTCAACAATGCGATAATCGACTCGATAAAGTAATTGCATAGATAGAAATTAATAATTGTAGAAGAAAACAATTCTAACATTTGATTTAGACAAAGGGGTTCCGTCTCCCCTTAACCCCTGGATATCCCTTTCAGTTCGCAGTCCGTTACAACCGCCTTCTCGGCAAGAAGGTCCTCTTCCCCTTCGGCCTGCACTGCACGGGAATGCCCATAAAAGCCTGCGCAGACAAGCTGAAACGCGAGCTGGAGCTGTACGGTTACCCCCCGCAATTCCCCCAGGACGTGGAGACCTCGGAGGGCATTCCCGACGACATAATAATGAAGGACAAATCGAAGGGGAAAAAGAGCAAAGCAGTCGCCAAGTCCTCCTCGGCGAAGTACCAGTGGCAGATAATGCAGTCCCTGGGTCTGCAGGACGCGGAGATCCGCAACTTCGCTGATGCCGCGTACTGGCTCGAGTACTTCCCTCCCCTGGCCGTCCAGGACCTCAAGTCCATCGGTCTCCACGTCGACTGGCGCCGCACGTTCATCACCACCGACGCCAACCCCTTCTTCGATTCCTTCGTGAAGTGGCAGTTTCGCCACCTGAAAGCCAGGAACAAAGTGAAGTATGGAAAGCGCTACACGATCTTCTCCCCGAGGGACAATCAGCCCTGCATGGACCACGACAGATCGTCGGGGGAAGGCGTCGGCCCTCAGGAGTACACCCTCATCAAGATGAGGGTCCTCGAACCCTTCCCTGGGAAACTAGCCACTTTGGAGGGGAAAAAGGTCTCTCTAGTCGCTGCAACCCTCCGCCCTGAAACGATGTACGGCCAGACTAATTGCTGGGTCCACCCGGACCTCCACTACATCGCTTACACCCTTGCTAATGGTGAGGTGTTCATATCGACGAGGAGGGCTGCTCGAAACATGTCTTATCAAGGATTCACGAAGACTGAAGGTTTTGTTTTTTTTTTTGGAGATTATTAAGATCCCATGGCTCCACAACACAAACAAAAATAGCACGAACAAAAATCTCACACACAAAAATATAAATATAAATGACTGAGACAAGAATTGCTCGGAATAATAATATACATTTGAGTTTTATTTTATTACATTGCATCTACTTCATTTTTTATTTATCTTCATAATCAAATTATTAGAAATTCACGAGTAGAACGATATATAATCAACGTAGTTTTTTACACTCTAATCACATATTCAAACAATTATCATCACAAATTTTCTCAATAACACATAAATAATTAATATATTGAGACACTAACATTCTTTCATTTTTTATTCTGGTAACTGAAAGATATTGGAGATCACGAGAAAGTGGAGAAAAAAATTACTTGAGGAATTCTTAATTGCATCTTTAGTTCACCCAAAATATGAATAAAAAAATATAGACGACGATTATTATTGTGTGTATGTAAAATGGTTATATTTTTGTGTGTATGTAAAATACACACAAAAATATAAATATAAATGACTCAGACAAGAATTGCTCGGAATAATAATATACATTTGAGTTTTATTTTATTACATTGCATCTACTTCATTTTTAATTTATCTTCATAATCAAATTATAAGAAATTCACGAGCAGAACGATATATAATCAACGTAGTTTTTTACACTCTAATCACATATTCAAACAATTATCATCACAAATTTTCTCAATAACACATAAATAATTAATATATTGAGACACTAATATTCTTTCATTTTTTATTCTGGTAACTGAAAGATATTGGAGATCACGAGAAAGTGGAGAAAAAAATTACTTGAGGAATTCTTAATTGCATCTTTAGTTCACCCAAAATATGAATAAAAAAATATAGACGACGATTATTATTGTGTGTATGTAAAATGGTTATATTTTTGTGTGTATGTAAAATACACACAAAAATATAAAGATAAATGACTCAGACAAGAATTGCTCGGAATAATAATATACATTTGAGTTTTATTTTATTACATTGCATCTACTTCATTTTTAATTTATCTTCATAATCAAATTATAAGAAATTCACGAGCAGAACGATATATAATCAACGTAGTTTTTTACACTCTAATCACATATTCAAACAATTATCATCACCAATTTTCTCAGTAACACATAAATAATTAATATATTGAGACACTAATATTCTTTCATTTTTTATTCTGATAACTGAAAGATATTGGAGATCACGAGAAAGTGGAGAAAAAAATTATTTGAGGAATTCTTAATTGCATCTTTAGTTCACCCAAAATATGAATAAAAAAATATTGACGACCACGTGGATTTCGTTATCTAGAGTTTATTGAATTTGAAAGGGGCGTTAAAGGAAATACAAAAAGAGTTGTTAAATCAGGGAGAGAGAACGAACGGAAAGGAGTTAATGATGTTTACTTATGGGAGATGTATTTACAGATAAAAATTAAATCAATCAATACTAATGAACATTCGTTTTCAAAATACAGTTCCCTAACAGTCTTGACATTTTCATCCACTCAAAGAACAATAATAATTGTACTTCAGTGTTTAAGATTAATACCTCGAATAAATGAATGAAATGAACATGATGAGGAATTACAGTTTTCGATGTTGTATACCTTAATAAATATTTGTGACACGAAATGTGAATGATGACATAATTACAGGTCAAGTAGACGTGGTGGTTGAACTGAGAGGCCAAGAGATCCTGGGACTGCCCCTCAGTGCCCCCCTGACGATTCACAAAGTCATCTACACCCTCCCAATGCTGACGATAAAGGAGGACAAGGGAACTGGCATCGTCACCTCAGTCCCCAGTGACTCCCCCGACGACTACGCAGCCCTAGTCGACCTCAAGAAGAAGCAGCCCTTCAGGGAAAAGTACGGAATAAGGGACGAGATGGTCCTCCCCTACGACCCTATCCCCATCCTCAATATCCCAGAGTTCGGAGATCTCTCCGCAGTGACGGTCTACAATCAGCTGAAGATCCAGTCGCAGAACGACAGGGCCAAGCTGCTAGAGGCCAAGGAGATGGTGTACCTCAAGGGTTTCTACGACGGAGTTCTCCTCGTTGGTGAGCACAAGGGGAAGAAGATCCAGGACGTCAAGAAGCTGATCCAGAAGGAGATCATTGACGAGCAGGGGGCTGTCATCTACTACGAGCCAGAGAAGACCATCATCTCGAGGTCGAATGACGAGTGCGTGGTGGCTCTCTGCAACCAGTGGTACCTGAATTATGGCGAGGAGGCCTGGAAGAAGGAGGCGGAGAAGTGTCTGGCCAGTCTCGAGACCTTCCACGACGAAGTGAGGAGGGGCTTCCATGCCACCCTCGACTGGCTGCACGAGTACGCTTGCTCCAGGACTTATGGCTTGGGGACCAAACTACCCTGGGACGACAACTGGCTCATAGAGTCTCTGTCGGACTCCACTATTTACATGGCGTATTACACGATTGCTCATCTTCTGCAAGGTAATTTAGCCCCACGGGGAAAATAAAATTCCTTTTTCTTTAATTCTTTGTTTGTAAACAGGGGAGGGTGGGATAACATGGACGCTTTTGACTTTTTTCAAAATATTTATAATTCATACACGTTTTTAGCAATCGAGCTCAGTCTAGGCTCATCACAAGGGGGAAGAATTTCCCTCTTTATTGACAAAAAAAAAGATTCAATTTCATCAACAATTCAGTAAGTCAGTAGTATTTGAAAGAAAGTGAAAAGTGTCCATTTTACCCCATTGTCCCCTAAATAATTGGGATTGGTTAAACTTTTGAAAATCTAATTTTTTAGGCATGAAACCGATTTCTGGTTTAATTCTGAATATGAATAAATTTTCGACATTTCCGAGCAAATGATTTTCATAGTGAAAAACTGATGAAGCTGAAACTAGCAGAATATTCGTCAGCGGAAAATTCAATTGAGGGGATATTTAAGTGTAGGAGAGTCAAATAATCATATGTACATGTGTTTTTTAAGGGCGAAAGCGTTTGTACATTACTTAAAAACATTTGTACACTCCTAGACTCGCCTAAGAGTTCATGAAAAACTCCTGAAAAAAAGTTTTTTTATAAATTAGTTATAGAAAATGCTCGTAATTTGTAAAAATTGCAATTTCCCAGTTATTTTATCATTCTTTCCACGAAAGTAAACTTTATAATTTTTTTCGATATCGAGATGCAAATTCAGACCTACAAATTTTAAACAATAAAATCATTGTAAAATGCCCGGAAACATAGGGTCAAATGGGCCGCAAATGGAAGCTTTGATTTCACTGAAGCAATTTACTGAAGAAAAAACAGCCAAAGTGCTTGGATATCCTCAACAGCCGAAAATAATGTTTGAAAGAATGGGTCATCCCAAAGAATTCTTTGATTTTGCAAATTAATTTTTCTCTGAAAAACATTCCATCCCTTAAACTCTAAACTCTTCAAAAAAATGATAAAAAATTCGGATAAATGTCATGATTAATGATCCAATTCGAGTATAAAAAATCATGAGTTATACCTGACCTCATTAAAACAATGAACATTAAAATGGAAAGGTCTACTCTAATCATCACCTCACTTTTGCCTCCTCCAGGTGGAACCTTCAAGGGGGACAAGGGAAACATTCTCAACATAAAACCCGAGGAGATGACCCCGGAAGTCTGGGACTACCTCTTCTTCAAGGACGCCAAGTTCCCCGAGACCTCCATCAAGAAGGAATCACTGGACTTGATGAGGAGGGAGTTCCACTTCTGGTACCCGGTGGATCTCAGGGTCTCCGGGAAGGACCTGATCCAGAATCACCTGACGTATTACATTTACAATCACACTGCCATTTGGCCGAAGGAGCCTGAGCTGTGGCCCCAGGGGATCAGGGCAAATGGCCACCTGATGCTGAACTCTGCGAAGATGTCGAAGTCTGACGGCAACTTCCTGACCCTTTCTGAGGCTGTGGGCAAGTTCTCGGCGGACGGGATGAGACTGTGTCTGGCTGACGCTGGGGACTCGGTGGAGGACGCCAACTTCGTTGAGACAATGGCAGACGCTGGGATCCTTCGTCTGTTCACGTTTATTGAGTGGGTCAAGGAGGTCCTGGGGAGCGAGGGGAACTTCAGGAAGGGCGAGCCCAAGACTGTCAATGACAAAGTGTTCGTTAGTGAGATGAATTTGAAGATCAAGGAGACTGGGGAGAACTTTGGCAAGATGCTGTTCAAGGAGGCTTTGAGGACTGGCTTCTTCGAGCTTCAGGCTGCTAGGGACAAGTATCTCCAGCTGAGTGCCCTTGATGGGGTCCATTGGGGACTCGTTATGAAGTATATTGAACTCCAGACGGTTCTACTGGCGCCGATTTGTCCCCATGTTTGTGAGTACGTGAGGGAGATCGTGGGACTGGGGAGTGTGCTGGAGGCCAGGTGGCCTGAAGTTGGACACATTGATGAGGTGAGATGTCAACGGGAGAGTATTTGTATTTATCAGGTGGGGTAGTTATTTTTAAAGGACTTTTCAGTGAAAAAAGCATCCATTTCCTGGAAACTATCAAGTTTTAGTAGAACTAATCAATGAAGTTTGAAGGGTTTTGTTCGTGTCCTAGATAATACTTCACTCTCTAAAGACATTTTTTTTTTTAAATCATAGAAGGTTTATTCGAAATGTAAAGTCGAAAATTATATAATTATTTAGTCCTTCGTTGCTCACGATTTAATTTGGAGTTCACCATATTTTTAACATTGATTTAACATTAATCTCTTCTCCCTTGTTCCCCTTTTCGATCGATTTCAATACCAAGTTTTTAAATTTGTTGATAATTGTATTGATGTTTTCAATTTATTTCTCTTCATCATTAATTTTGTTTTTATTTTGCATTTGGGGCTTTTTTGAAACAAATAATTTACAGTTATCTGTAATTGTACTATTTGAAATAATTTTTTTTCTTCACCAGGTGCTCATCAAGTCCTCTCAGTACCTAATGGACGCCGCGCACTCCTTCCGAATCCTCCTGAAAAATCATTTCACTGTGAAAAAGCCTGGAAAGGGAAAAACCGAAGTAGCTCCCGTTGAAAAACCGAATTTCGGGACAATCTGGGTGGCCAAGTCGTTCCCCACGTGGCAGAGTATTGTCCTAACCACGATGAAGGACCTCTGGGAGAAGAATGGAAAAGCCATGCCTGAGAATAAAGTCATTGCTGCTCAGCTGGGGACCAAGGGGGAACTGAAGAAGTACATAAAGAGGGTGATGCCCTTCGTGCAGACGACGAGGGAGAAGATGGATACCCTGGGGATTGCTGCTCTCAACCTCACGCTGGACTTCGATGAGGCGGAGGTGCTCAAGGGGAGCCTGGAGTACCTGAAGAGCACTCTCGATCTGGACGAGGTGGAGGTCAAGTTCACGGAGGAGGCGCCTGAGAAGACCAGGGAGGAGTGCTGTCCTGGGGCTCCCTACATGAGCTTTGCCAGCACTCCGGGGGTTTTCGTCACTGCTGCCAATCCCCAGAAGTGCAGTGGGATGTTCAGTATGACTGTGAAAATTGCGGAGGGAAATACTGGGGCTGATGTGGCGAGGAAAATCGTCAAGGATAATAGGAGCATCAAAGGTGAATATTAGGGGAATAATTCTGATCAATACAGTAGATATTGTCATTGAATTTCGTTTAATATTGAATTGTTGGAATTTAAGTGAATAGGAAATGGTCATTATTAGAGGAGTTAACTCAAAAAAAAATGTGAAAAATATTTTTTAAATCATGGGTGCAAGATGTCCATAAATTAATCCACTCTGTGACGAAATTAATTGGGATTAGGGGTAATTATTGAATTGTTTTGTGAAGAACATGAGAGAATTCCGAGATTTTCTGTTAAAAAATGCTATCAAATTTGGCTGAAACCATGTTGTCCTTCATTTTATTAGAATTTGGAATTTAAAAAATTTATTCAATTGAAAAAACGAATAATAAGTTAAAATAGGATAAGGATTTTTTTAAGTGAATACTATAAACAGGTGGACAGATGATGAAAATTTATTCACTCTTCCAGATCCGTCCTCAGTTCTTCTCTACCGTTTCGAGGATCCAGTCCTCGGCCCCAGGACAATTCCCACAAGCCGGGACATTCTGAAAGGAAAAGTCTTGATCCCCTCAGACGCAGTATTCTCCATAAATACTGACACAAACGCTATCACTCTGAAAGTAGGAGAATCCTCCTACGAGGTCGGGAGTGATATTTTGTATTACGTCAAGGAAAACACAAACTAGTGACTCATTTCATCGTTTCACAGCAAATAACATCGTCATCGTTAATGAAATTAAACTATTTATTTTCGAAAAATACAAAATGATGCTGATAAATACGATAAACAGAGTATCAATTATAGTCGTAATTATCACTTGATATAACCATCATCTTCATAATCATCTTAACCTGAAGGTAAGTCAAAACATGAACTTTAGCCCGATTTTTTACTGATGGAATAAGAGGTCTATCGGAATTCTCGGATAAAAATTGAGTGAAAGACCTTAAAATACTGGAGTAATAATTATCATTATCTCTTAACCATAGAAGTAGCAGTCATTTTTGATAGAATTACGAAACCGTTCAATTCCAAAAAGCTAAAATGAAAATGCCCACTGTCCAGGAAATATCTTCGCCTTATTAAACCTCTTAAACTTTCAGAGAGAAATTTTCCTCTCCCGAGAATGATTGAGCAGTAATTTTTGATAGAATTACCAAACCGTCTGAACCCCTCACGTCGGGGTCGATTCCGTGCATCGACCCATGAAAACATGAATGACTCTCTTCAAAATTGATTATGTCCAAAACTGGAATTTAACTCAACCAAATAAATAACAACGAAAAAAGGAATACTGCACCTTCAATTACATATTGCCTTCATAATGTTCCGTCGATTAGAAGTGATTATATTTAACTTGTATCGAGCGTACTCCACGCTTGGAAAGAAAAGGGTCCCGTCCGTGAGGGGTTCATTCCTCAAAATAACAATGCCAAAGCCAAAATGAAAATGCTCACTGTCCAGGACACATCTTCGCCCTCTCAAACCTCCTGAACATTCAGAGCGACGTTTCCCTCTCCTGCGAGCGCCACGTCTCCACCTGTCCCCTGATCTTGGCAATCTCCAAGGCACTGACCCTGCAACAGCCCCCAATGAACTGCACCCCATGGTCCAGCCACTGATGCACGTACTTCTCGATCTCCACCCTGGCCTCCTCCTTCCACCCCTTCTCAGGCACATAGACCTCCCCACTGTTGGGATAGACGATCAAAGGCACGTGTTTGCCCTCGGGGGTGTCCCTGAGGCTCTCCAGATAATCGGTGACAAAGTGAGGATTCACGCAGTTGATGCCAACAGCGAGGAACTGCCCGGGGTGAGCGTTCCTCCAGCAGTTGAGGGCCACCTCCCTGAACTCAGAGCCATCAACAAGTGTCTTGCCATCGTTTGAGCAGGAGAAGGAGAGCCAGGCCTTCGTGCCAGGGAACTCCTTCATCAGCTCGACGAGAGCTTCGGCCTCCTCGGCGCAGGGGATCGTTTCGATCGCCAGAAGATCGACTCCGGCTTTGATCAGGGTCTCGATCCTCGGCCTGTGCCAGTCCTTGAGGAAATCCTTCGACACGGACTTCCCGTAGGAGCCGGTGTATTCACTCGCGTCGTGCAGAGTCGCCCCGTAAGGGCCGCAGGAGCCGGCGATCAACGGGCACCTGGGGTAATATGACAAATCAGCGCATAAATGTTATTGGTTAAAATTCGTGGCTTTTAAAAAGGAACGGAGACGGCTATTGATGAGAAGAGATCGAGCAAAGTGGCTGATTTTTTTAATGGCTCATTGAATTCAGAATCGAAGTGGTAAATCGATATAAGTCGATTTTGACTATTGGCCAGTTTTCAATAAATATCTCGGAATCTAAGGGAAACAGCGAAATTGTTGCAATTTCCTTTTTTGTAACTCTCAATTTGCTCTACAAAAAAAGTTGTGACAAAAATTTCGCTATTTCCCTTAGATTTTAAGATATTCATTGAAAACTGGGCAATAGTCAAAATCAACTTATAACGGTTCACCACTTCATTACTGAATTTCAAATTGAATGGGATTTTTTTTTCGTAACAAGTGCCATGCTTTCCCTGTGTAGCGAATGCAGACTGAATTAAATTGGTGGATTTGTCATTGGGCTGTGAACATGGAAAGAATATTAAAAATGTATATTATGCCCCATTCTCTCCCATTTAATGAAAAATGAGGGAATAATAAGAAATCATAAAGGAAGAGTAACGCGTCGAATTGAGACATTAATAGTGGAATGATTCGCGGCATTTAAAACCGAATGAAGACGTTTGTTGATTGAAGGAGAGACAGGGCAAAGTGGACATTGATTGGTTTTTAATGTTAATGACTCATTGAATTTCAAATGAATAATTTATCTGAACGTTTTTTTCGTGTCAACATTTCAACCCCTCATTAACATTTTAAAAAAAGTCAAAAGTGTTCGTTTTACCCCAAACTCCTCTATTTCAATACAAAGAACAGCTCTTTCTCTTTGTGACGAGGCTAAACTGAGCTCAATTGATCAATTTATTTCTGAGTTATGAATAATTAAAAAAGTCTAGTGTCCATTTTACCCCATCCTCCCCTGTATTATAATAGAACGAAAAATCAATTTGACATTGCCCAACTCTTTCTCTTTGTGACGAGGCTAAACTGAGCTCAATTGATCAATTTATTTCTGAGTTATGAATAATTAAAAAAGTCTAGTGTCCATTTTACCCCATCCTCCCCTGTATTATAATAGAACGAAAAATCGATTTGACATTGCCCAACTCTTTCTCTTTGTGACGAGGCTAAACTGAGCTCAATTGATCAATTTATTTCTGAGTTATGAATAATTAAAAAAGTCTAGTGTCCATTTTACCCCATCCTCCCCTGTATTATAATAGAACGAAAAATCGATTTGACATTGCCCAACTCTTTCTCTTTGTGACGAGGCTAAACTGAGCTCAATTGATCAATTTATTTCTGAGTTATGAATAATTAAAAAAGTCTAGTGTCCATTTTACCCCATCCTCCCCTGTATTATAATAGAACGAAAAATCGATTTGACATTGCTTTAAGTGGGAGACGACAATGGGCCTTTCTCATGCTTCCACATGAACCCTTCACATTATTCTTTTCTCCAGGAAAAGCATTGTGATCAACCGTTCCTGGTACTGTCGTAACTGTTCCTGCACCGAGTGTTTTTGTGTTCGAGTAATCTGTCTTGAGTTCGTGTGTTCAATGACGTGTGATCGCACCTGTTCACAGCCTCTTCATTGCCCTCGATTTCTTCCTTGTATATCTTCACGGCTTGAGCGGCCAGGTCCACAGCCTTTCGAATGAACTCTAGGCTGTCGGCCTCGCTCATCCCCAGGTACTTGCTGAAGCCGTCCACCGACGCCTGGTACGTATTCGTCTCGATTATGTCACTTCCTGCACGGAGAAAGTCCATATGAGCCGATGACACGGCGTCCGGGTTGGTCACCAGGAAACGCGCGGTCCACAGTGGGTCACCGTCCGCACTCTTCCCCACGTGGCTCGATACTTGAGTGGAAAAACTACCGTCCAATACTGTGACCTTTGTCATTGCGGACTTTTCGGTGATTGCGGGGTCTCAATGACGATTGTTCAAGCTGATGCAATTGTTCGAGGGGAGACACCGCGTTCAGACGGCGAAGAAATGAAAACAAATGATAACGTGGATAATTATACAGGAGAGGGAGAGGGGATGCGCCGTCTGCTGGAGGATTGCTGCAACGATTTGAACGCGATTTTCTGGTGGATATTGTGGGGTAGGTAAATAAGAGAGTTTTATCCTGTTCTAAAAAGAACAGACACTTAATATCGATAACTATCGATATCTCGCAAGTCTGTCACGCTTATTCTTCATTGGCTCCAGTCGTCTGAGGCGGAAAATTTAATTCGTGATTAATTTCATTTTGAGATTTTCAATTATGATTGTTACAATTACAGCGCGCGGTCGGGCTCGTTTCATTTAAAAGGGGGATTTATTTGATGACAGGGAGAGAGTGTGACAGAAGACTCCAGCGTAATCAATACATTATTCAATTGTCCCTCCATTCGCACTTCAGGGGGAGGGAAGGGGTTATTCTTCATTCCAAGCATTTCGTAATAATATTTTATAGAGAAAAGTTGTAAACTGTTTTTTATAACATCTTCTTGTGATTTTTTTCATGATAATTTTTGGGAATGAGGACTCTAAGGGCTTTTCTCCGCTGTTTCTTTCGTTTCTTATTACAAAATTCAAGACACCTAATTTTGGAAATTTATGTGCGCGCAGTCGTAAGACAAATCACGACAGAATTCGAACAGAAAGTCAATTAGATTTTACGTGTTCACTATCCAGTCATAACATTCGTTCTTGATGAATGAAGAAATTTAATTCGTTATCTTTTTTTTCACGTCCTCAATCACTTAAATTGAGCGATAGCAAACTGCAAGAACGAAGGGGATGTCATTCATTGATAATTGTAGTAAAAACAAAACTCGTCTTCACTTCATCGATCCGCGTCTGCATTTCCGCGATAAGAAAACAGAAATAAATTTCCGAAATTATCCGAACAAGTCTTTATTTCCGAAATGTACAATTACTTTAACCAAAAATTCTCCGCAAAAACTCAATAAAAAATGAGCCTCAACATAACTAGAATTTCCATTATCATCAACAACACTCGTGGTCCCTCTTCTTCTTGCCCACCCACTTGTCCACCTCCCCCTTGATCTTGGTGAAATTTAACTCATCATCTTTTTTTTCACGTCTTCAATCACCCAAATTAAGCGATAGCAAACTGCAAGAACGAAGGGGATGTCATTCATTGATAATTGTAGTAAAAACAAAACTCGTCTTCACTTCATCGATCCGCGTCTGCATTTCCGCGATAAGAAAACAGAAATAAATTTCCGAAATTATCCGAACAAGTCTTTATTTCCAAAATGTACAATTACTTTAACCAAAAGTTCTCCGCAAAAACTCAATAAAAAATTAGCCTCAACATAACTCTAGAATGTCCATTATCATCAACAACACTCGCGGTCCCTCTTCTTCTTGCCGACCCACCTCCCCACCTCCCTCTTGATCTTGGTGACATCCTTGGCATAGGTCCTGCAGCAGCCCCCGACATACCTAACACCCAGATCCAGCCACTGATGAATGAAGTTCTCCAACTGGGGTTCACTCCCGTACTTCTTCCAGCCGTCAGCGACGGTATAGGTCTCCCCGCTGTTGGGATAGAGGACGAGGGGCAGGAAGTGCCGGCCGTCGGCGTTGATTCCCTCGAAGAAAGATGCAGCGAGCCGTGGGGCAATGCAGTTGATTCCAACGGCGACGATTTGCCCGGGGATGGCACTCCTGTAGGAAGCGAGGGCCGTTCGCCTGAAGTCGCTGCCGTCAACGATGCTCTTGCCGTCAGTGCGACAGGAGAACGTGAGCCATGCTTTGGTGCTCGGATACTCCTTCAGCAATTCCACAAGGGCTTCCGCCTCGACGGCGCAGGGAATGGTCTCCAGCGCGAGAAGATCAACTCCACTGTTGATGAGGGCCTCGATCCTGGGCCTGTGCCACTCCTTGAGGAAGGCCCTCGTCACACTCCCTGCGTAGGACCCAGTGTACTCAGACCCATCGTGGAGGGAGGCCCCGTAGGGCCCACAGGACCCAGCAATCAGCGGACGATCCTCACCCCCCAAGCCCCTCCTCTCCTTCAGGTAGATCTTCACCGCCTCGTCCGCAAGGTCCACCGCCTTGTGAATTAAGTGGAGACTCTCCGACTCGGTCATGTTCAGGTGCTCCGCGTAGCCCTCGATCGACGCCTGGTACGTATTCGTGAGGATGATCTCCGCCCCGGCACGCAGGAAGTCCAGATGGGTCGCCATAACCGCCTCCGGATGGGTCGCCAAAAAGCGCGCGGTCCACAGGGGATCCCCGTCAATCTTGTCACCCACATGGGTCGACAATTGCGTGGAAAAACCACCGTCGATTATTGAAATCTTAGCGTCACTCATTGTTCTCGGACTGTTGCTTTTGCAATATCTAGGAGACAACTGGTGTGACCCCTGAGGAAGAGCTGTCGAGAGACTGGGACATTGCTGATGCCAAAGTCCAGAGTCACGTTGTACGCAGTACTGGGGAGTTTTTCGAAAGATAGAGGAAGATAATTGTGGTGCGCTATAGTCAGTGGGTGAACATGCATTCGCGGAATGAGTGTTGAACTGCTGATTAGGCGGTGCTGTGTTGTGAGGAGATTTTTTTTGCATTACCTCTGACAGTTTTGCGGAGATTCTCGCGGTGGAGGGGGATGAACGTCTCGCGAGGGAACTCAGAATTTATAATTCGGTATTTTCTTTGGTTTTCTTATCGCCTAATTTTTTATACTGATTTGTTTTGTTCGTTTTCGTTATTTCAGCCGACTTCAAGCGATTCTACTTTTCATTTCCTGATGCAGTGATGATTTGTTTCTCGAGGGGAGCTGCATTACGATGGGGGAATGTCCATGGTGCTGTAAAGATCTACTACTGCTCAAGCACTTTTTTTAATTACAACTAATTAAATGGGGACGTCCGCGTGAAGAGGGACCACTTTGTCGATTCTAGTTTCCGAGATATTCACGTTTTTGTCTCAGCAACTCCCATCTACACTCATGTTAAAGTGTTTTTTTCATCTGGCGACGTCATTTTTCACCCTATGAGGATCATTTTGGGCCCAAAATGGGCGGAATGTTGTAAATATTATCAGAGTATACCTAACTCCATATCGACAAAGTGGTCCCTTTTCGTGCGGACGTCCACAAATCAAGCATTTGTGTTCTATCAGACTCGACGTCCCGAGCAACCTGTCCTTGACGTCTCAAGGACGTTACCTGAGGTATCATTTAAACCTCTGTTCCTTGGCTAGGAACTATTCACAGAGAATTCCTCACGACTGGATCAACTCAATTAATTGTCAAAGGGAGAAAGGGGCGATTTATTATTCTTTCAACTCCATCATCCAGACAGAGATAGATAAAACAAATCACTCTCTCACCCATAACAACAACCCAAGGGAACCGTTCGAACTTCATTCCTCTCATTCTCATTCGAGGGGAGGGGAAGTGGATAATTTGATTAACTCTATCGCAACAATGTATTGGTGTGACCGAAAGTGAAGATAAATTATGAAGAAATGTCGACATTGTATTACATCAGGAATGCGCTGCATGGAATATCTTCAATTGCTGAGATTAAGTCCGTTACTCGATCATTCTCCTCGTATGTCACATAATTTGTGAGGAGATGAGGAGCGAGAGTATCGAAGCGGTGTGGGGGTCACGATATGTAGATCATTTCGTCAGTATCAAGTCTGCAGCAGAATAAGGAGAAATAAACAAACCTCTAAACAAGTCTGAGAGATTGTTATGGAATAGGTGTCAATGGGCGTCAGGACAAAACCAAAAGTTGGTTTTTCATTTTAATAATGAGTTCAGTTACGAAAAATGACGAGATTAGATTAGATAACGAGTTTATTGTTTAGGAATTTAAACAAAATAATGGTAAAATGGCAGTAAGACATAGTAAGAGGAGAATTATCGGTGCATAATTACATGAGATAAGCCTAGTAAGAAATAATTTTGAGTACAGTGCAGCTTGATAACAAAGTAGAAAAATAGAAAACAGTAGCCAAGACTGAACATTTCTATAGCCATCAGGAAATGATTGGAAAACAACTGCAGTAAGAAATTAAAAGGGAGCGCAATTCAGGCATTGAGCGTACAGCAAAGAACAAAGGAAAACGAAAACAATTTAATTCAACCCCGCGATTCTTCATCCAATAGCCATTGTCTCAGCTGGCTCTTGAAGGAGGCAGGCGACGATAGCTCCCTGATGGGCACAGGGGAGACGAGGTGAGATTCTAACCCACGATCTTCCACCAACTCGCTCTTCTAACCAATTGAGCTATGAGAATTCACTGCATTTGTCTTTTATTCTTCTATCCTTTTCATTTGTAGTCATTGCCTCCTTAAAGTGAGCCCCTGGATCTCATGAATTTCTTTATTCTTCAATGGAATTGAGGGCATAATACGGAATTAGGGCAATTTCATATCTGCATAATAGTCAGAGAGAGAGAGAGAGAGAGAGAGAGAGAGAGAGAGAGAGAGAGAGATCTCAATATATTTATTTGAAAAAATATATCAAACCGAAAAAAAACGTTTTTTTCGATGATATGGGTTTGGGAAATGAGAACAATCGTAAAAACATCATATCTTTTGGTTCTCTATTTAATTATAGAAAGTGAAAAAGAAAATATAATTTCATTGTAACTTCTTGTTGGCTTGGAATATTAATATTGCAATGATGTAGAGCCAGGCAAAAAGGTGTAAATCTATGTACAATTGTTAAAATTACCATGATTAATGTGGTAACAACGTGTATAAATATTTATCACAATTTCACTTCGTTCGGGACAGCAAATCATCAACGAAAAATACTCGATCTAACACTGTCTGTTATAAAACAAATCCATTTGTTGAATACCCTACGAGGGTATTACATTGGACGTAGATTGAGTGCGTGAAAATTTTTTAGAAAATGAAAAAAAAACACAATGATCAGGGCAAACTAAATTCGTATAAATATCGTTAAAATTTTCCTCTTGTATAGGTAGAGTTTAGGTCCTTCCTTTGGTTCACAATTTTTATATTCATAAATTATCAATCAGTAGACCACTGTTAGAGCCACACAGGGGAAAAACTAATCACTGGACCCGGAGTGATTACGTCCAACTCCAATTCTTAATCTAAATTTCTTCAAGACTTCTAGTTTACGAGAATCATCTTCAACTTGTGCGTTAACGACAATTAATCTATTCATCGAAGGCTCCCCAAGGGAAACCACTCGATAGTTTCCTTAGTTAAATCCAAGTGCGAGAGGGGCAGACGTATTCCACCTAGGAATTCATTCTCCTGCAGTGTGTCGTGATTCCAAATCGTCGCCTCTAGGGCTCGATCCTGGATCACCTCCAAAGGCATTCTGTACTCCAACTGCGTGCAGAAAGAGAAAGGGGAGAAATGAGGAAAAATTGCCGAAACGAGGAAAATTGAAGGAATTTGAAGAAGGGAAAATGATCAGGGGCTCTCACCATTTCCATGAATGACGGGTGACAGTTTTTCTTGACGACTTTTGTCTTCCGTTTCGTTGCCTTGGTGGGGTCGGGCTTGAGGTAAACTTTGACGTATGTGTTGGGCTCTTGAGCATTGGCAACCTTTGGCAAACCTCGGGCATGGTGTATCATCACTGATAATGTACCACGAGTATAATGGAGGGATATTTTTATTTGACCACATTGAACGTTGTCTCGTATCTTTTTCTCTGCCCACCAGTTTCCGACTGAAGAAAAAGCAATTCCATAAGCATTTAATTATATCAAATTTGACGATTACATTGTACAAATTCATTGAGGCAAATTCATTAATTTTAATTTTAATTTAATCGATTGATTAATTCGTTTATTCATTGCATTTTGAAAATAATTACTGCTGTTTAATATTTCCTTTTGTGAATGAGGGGAATTTTTCTCATTTTTTGAATAGCAGACAAAATATCTGAAATTGGATAACTGCAATGATATAAAATTACCTTTAACTTTTCTCAAGTGAATATCAGCATTTTGTTGATCCCTCAAAAGTGGATGGAAGAAAGTGTAAACAAGATCACTCTGGGATATTTCAGGTGCCATTTTAAACAGACTGAGCAGAAATTTCTCGATATCAGCGCGTCTCTTGTCAGCAACTTGTTTGATATTCGATCGTCCCACACTCATGCCACTCGGTAAACTGGAAATTCCAAACAACCGAAGAAAGCATTAGTTAAACCTCGAAATTGTGGATATCCATTAAGCCCACTTAGTAATAAACATAAATAGTATCGGTGGGTCAACAGACGTGTCGTCGTAATCTTCGGCACATCCAAGTACACGAGATAGCAAACTCTATAAATTTTACGATAGCACGGGCGAGTGCGTGAGTCAGCTGTGGTAATGTCATTGTATCAATTCAATGTGTTATTAACGGATTTTGTGATAAAGGAATAGATAAATCCAATTGGCCTCCATTTTTCTACCGCATCACATCGAATCGCTCTGCGTTGAGGTAAAGATCGATCGAACTCTCTTCTGTGTTAATTCATTTTTGAGAATCAATGGAAACAATGTCCAATTGTTTTCGTATCTATTAGATTTCAATTCTCTTGACTAGGGTAAACTGCCCAGTAGATGGACACCTAAGGAACCGCCCAGTAGATGGACGTTTGTTTTTTAGCAATTGAAAAAAAAATTGATCGAAAAAAAATCGTCACTCGGGGGTTAAGAATAACAACAGTTAGTGAAAATTCAAAGCAACAATTCACATTTCAGTATTCTTTTGCGTAATTTCCTATCCAAAAGTAGCTCGTTCATCTATAGGGCAGTGTCCATCTACTGGGTAGCTTACCCTAGTATATGAACTAAGACTTGTGGTATTCGGAAGAAAAAAATGGACACGAAAAATTAATTGCAATCATTTTTGTATAAATTTAATATTCATCTGGGAATCAAAAGGCTTGGGCTGTTCATCATATTATTTGCCATTGTATTTTTATATTATGAGATCATCATCTGCTCATTATTGAATTGAATGGGTGCGAGAAATTGACGCAACTGAGGAATTAATCGAGCCAGATGTCAAAGGAATTGTGGAGAAATCAGTGCATAACATTAATTATATTATAACAATTAACATTTGGTTTGAGTCTATAATCGTAGAGATCAGGATTACGCGGCCATCGCCCGAGGGCCTTCAGCCAGGGAATGTTGAATGTGGAGTGGATCTTTCAGTTGAAAATTCCGTGGAATATTCGGTTTGAAAATTGTGTTGAATTTTCAGTTGAATATTATGTGGAAAATTGTGATGAAAATCAGCATTACATCAATTCTGAAATTAATTTCTAGTGGAAAAATGGGATTGAAATGGTTTCGTGCCCAAATGGCCCTGGATGAACCGAGGACGTTGAATCCAACGGGTGCGCCAGGTTTCTACCGAACGATATCGAATTTCGATGCTAGTATTTGGCCACCACCACCGACGATGGTGCAGAAGCCACGGCCGGTTGCTAAACCTGTGTCACCACCCCACGTCCCGACTCTCCAGTCCCCCCAGAATTCAATGCCAACGCTCGATGCAGAAGATCTATCTTCAGAATATAAACGAGACAGTGGATTGAGCGAGGGGGAGCACGAGGGGGCCTTTAAATTACCGAGGGCTTCCGTGGATATTCTGAGGGAGAAACATACTGAGGATGTCAAGAAGGCGGGGATCAAGAAGAAGAAGGGAAATGCACCGAAACCTTATGAATCGGTGGGAAATTCTAGTGCTAGAGAAGTTGTGATTTAATTCATAGAGACAATTTCATTGGATTCTCTATGTGTAATAAGTAATGTACTGGATAAGAATATTGGAGTGTTTTTTTTTTCAATTTCAATTGGAATGAATGCAAAAAATATAAATGAACCGAAAATGGATTGGAGTGAAATCGATATTGAAATCTGCAGTGAAATGATAAGATGAGATAAGAAAAAATATGTAGATAATTGTGGGGGTAAATGAGAGGTTCAATAGAATTTACAAAGAGCCTTCTGAATTTCCCTCTTGAAATTCCTTGAATTCACTGATATTTCGGTAAATTTTTTCAGTCAAAATTCACGATTTGATGGAAAAATCAATGGACACTGTCAATTTCAGTTAAATTGTTCCATGAAAATTAACAGAAATTAGGAAATTTAGGGAAATACATTTAGCTGCTGTTAAAAAAATTATAATTTCAATTAATTTTTAGTGAAATCTGAAAATTAATTTTTTTTTCTTTAAATAGACTTCTTGAAACTTTTTATCAGATTATATTTCCATTGAAATTTCACGAAATTTCGGCTCAGTGTTGTTCGCAAACCTCTTCACTCAGGTATTCACAGAATAGTTCATAAATAACTAAAGAAAACATCCCCATATTCCATTTCCATTCAATATCTTCGCTTTCTCGATTAGATGTAATTAAAATTTTCCTCTATAAATAAAGCGAAATTGTAATAATTGTAATAAAGTTTTCTTCATAAAACCAGACGATTAAAAACGCAAATGATGTAATCTGATCTCCTGAAAAATCAATGAGATAACTCATTCTGCAAGAGGACAGTTCACAAATCGTCTCGACAACTCAATGAATTCCACTCACTCTTCTACGATAACTGGCGATAAACTCAACTCCACAAGTCAAATGTTAATTGTAATCAGCGATAAAACAACGAAATTGTTTACCTTGCAACTTTGGCGAGGGGAAAATGAATGCAGAGTTTCTGATAGAATTCACAGAACTCCTTGTAGGACCTGAAGAGATACGTCGGGTCAGCCTGTCCCTTCCTCTGAATCCTCAGTATGTACATGTAATATTTTTCTGGATCGTATCTCTTCTGATAGCCATGGACTTGGACACTTGTCAACTGTCCTTCCTGTTGCATTCTGATAAAAGCAAATGATAAAATTAATTCTCGTGAACACAAAATCCAATTTTAAATTCAATAAAAACCACAAACATTCAATTTTCATCAATTTCTCATCCCAAAATTGTTACAAATTCTTGGGTACTAATTTTCCAAGTTTATAAATAAAAATTCAAGAAATAAATTCGGAAAATTCATGCCGAAGAATTTTTAGAGAAGAAATCACACAATAAAATTAGAATTAAATATTTTTGGCTGAAATTACGAGGAATTTCCTCATTAAAAATTGAAAGTTTTATGGAAAAATAAACGAAAAATGTTTTCATCCCATGAAAATGAATAAAAACCAGGAAAATTCAGAGGAATAAATTCTTGAATTATCAATTAATTCCACTGAACTCTGAGATTTCCTGATTTTTTCCTCTAAAGAGAATTCAACGTCACTCTCCTCCAAACTATCATTCAACTATCCCCGAAACTTGATTTTTCCCTACAAGTGTAACTGATTTTCGGTCGAAATCATCCACTAACAAATGAAATTAAAAAAAAATTCAAATAAAATTCTCGCCATTCGAAAAACTATGAGTTCACACTTACGTATAAGTTCGTGGTACAAACGACAGCAACTCCCCATCATTCTGATCCCCAGTGAACCTCAACTGCGCCAAATTATGAAGAAAGAAGTTGAACTGTGTGAACCAGCTCTTGAGAGAGCTCTCGATCATCCTGGCGAAGGTGGCAGCAGCTTCGGGATTGGTTTGCCCGGGGAGTAGAGCCTTCTGCACGTAGCTGACAGCATCCATCGTCACCCCAGGGATCCCCGAGGAAGTCATCTGTGGAGCATTCGTGTACTCATTCATCCTGAGCCCATTCACAGTCTCCTTAATCTCAATGTCACTCAATTTTTTCTCAACACAGATTGTATTTTCACGAGAATTCCCATTCATCTTCTCCCTCAGCAAGTTCTCCATTGCCTCGATATTTCTTCACTGAATTTATTCGTATTTTTGCATGGGCTTGGGTATTTTTATTCTGCTTCGTTGAACCAAAGCTATATTGGGAATAGTGAGAAAGCGTTGTTTTCCTCGGTCACTTCGAGTTAAAACTAATTTTATTATGCATCACCACAATCGCAGGGGGTGAGATAGTGAGGCTAATTAACAACACTCGAAACTCTCATCGCCCTCGGGGGGAAACTGAGAGGACAGTGATAGCGGTCTACCTTCTGATAGCGCGACAGGATGTCTCTTCCGTTACGGTCTCGATCAACTGTGTTTGTCCACAATATTTCAGAGTTATAAATAAGGAAAAGTTCTCACTCAAAGCGGATAAATTAATGAATCTGTTTATTGAGCAGACCGAGGAGATGAAGAATACCGGGAATTTTAGAACGTCTGGGATTGAGGAAAAACAGGGAATTTAATTGATCATTAAGAATTCACGGATATTCTCGGTAAAAGCGGTTGAATTCTTTCCTGCGACGTAAATGGAAATTGAAATGGAGGGAATTGAGTTGTTTGGTAGTTACCAAGCCGAAGAGATGGAGGATCAGGTTCCCATGCTTTCGGACGATGTTGAAGGCCTGGCAGCAGAGGTCTACGAAATTATGGAACTTTGCTGAGGGCTTGTCACCACCGTTTATCACGTACGCCATGTCCGACGTCAGGACGAATGGTGTACGATCCCTGGAATTCAATGGATGGAGTTTTAAGGATTTAATTGATTGATGAATGCAATATCAAGAATAACCGCTGACGATTTTTCCTGATTTTTTAATTAATTTATTTACTGAAATTTCAAGACATTTTGTCGTTTGAAAATTGAAAATTTGATGGAAAAACCAATGGAAGATGTAAATTTCAGTTTAATTATTCCACGAAAACTAATAAGAATTAATTAATAGTCATGTTTTCCCTGAAGATTTGTGTAATTTTGGGATTACAATGAATTTTCATTAAAATCTGAAATTTCATAACTTCTCCCCTGAATTGAATTCCCCATTTCTTCATTTTAAATCTCAAATTCACTAACATCCCCCAAAAACGACCCAAACCGCACCGACTCACCTCTTAAAATTTCCGAACATCTGCGCATCCCCCAGGAACTTCCCAAAGTCAATATGAAAAAGATGCCCGGAGGTCTTCAGCATGATATTATCATTATGCCTATCACAGATCCCGAGGATATAAGTGGCGACACTGTACCCAGCGCAGGAGGCGGTGAAGTTCTCCACAGCCCTCTCATACTCCAGCTCCGAGGGATTGTGCTTAGCCAGCCACTCAGCAATGGGCCTGTCCTTGAACGAGCCAGTGAGTCCAAACTCCACCTGAATCTTCCTCAAAGTCTCCGCATTAGTCACCATCTCGATGATGCCCCTCTTGCTGCCAGTGGGCACACAAGCAAAAGTCACCATCTTCAGATCCAACCCCTCCTTGAGCCACAACTTGTCCATAATCCTGACCATCTGTAGAGTCAGCATGTCCTGCTGGAGATCGTCCCCAACCTTGAAGATGGCAGGACTGGGCACCCCATCGCACCCCACAAAATTGATCTTGAGAGGAAGAGTGAAGGAGGGAAAATAGGAGCAGGTCTGAACGTTGATGCCGAATGCCAATCTGCTGGGTGAGAGTGGGAGACAGACCCCCTGGTCCTCAGTCAGTTGACAGTTGATATTCTGGAGGCCCACCTTGAGGGCATCCATCCTCAAGGACTCCTTGGTGACCTTGATGTTCTCAGCGATTTCGTTCAAATTCTTAACGAGACACTGTTGGCTCAAAAAGCTGTTCCTGAGCCCCTCCCCAATGACAGCCAACAGAGCCCTGAGCATCAGCTGCAGTCTCCTCTGATACCTCATCGAGCCAACACTCTTGTCATCCTCGGGGGAGCTCTCGGAGTTCTGGGGGCTCTGGCCAGGAAGGGCCTGATTGAGCAGCCAATACACGTGGTGAGCAACCCTGGGAGACAACAGAGCCCTCTCCAACAAGAACTTGGCCAATGGAGATGCCTCGTAGGTCTCGTGCTTGAGTGCCTGCAGGAGCTGGGGCAAATAATCCACGAGTTCGTCGTTCCCAAGCTCCTTGATCCACCCCACCGCCATCTCCCTGACTTTGATATCAGGAAAGCAGGGCAGAAGCAGCTGAAGTGCTTGCACCGGTGGCAAGGGACTCCAGATCCTCAAGGAGGCGTGGAGATCGGGCAGACAGGCCCAGTCCCAGCTGTGGGCAGCCAGGAGGACCTTGGGGAGGGCCTCTGGAATCTCGTGAAGGTAATGACGTTTCTCCCAGAGAATCTCCCTCTCGTCTATCGGGGGTCTCGAGAACGTGTCCTGCTGGGTGATGTCGATCAGAAGTTCCTTGGTGTTTTGATCCAGTGAGTTTATGTCCAACGACTCGATGTCGTGGTCTCGAAGCTCAGTGGGGAACAGCACTCTCCCCCCATAATCAGGCAGTTCCAGCCCGATGATGGGATTGGTCTCTCCGTAAGGGTGAATTCCAGGCGCTGGTGCAGGCCCCAGTCGCTTGTCAGCGACAGCTGGCCACAGGGACAAGAAGTAGCTGCCCTGACTCATCACCCCCTCGTAATCAAAGAACTGAATTGCCCCCCAGCCGAGCTCCTCCTTCTGCATGGAGCTGCCATTGGAGTTTGACTCGTGCTCTGTTGGTTGAACAGTCCTCCCATAAATCACCAAAACCAGTCTCGCCTCCCTGGGCACCTGGCACACACTGATCCCCCTGAACTCCAGCCAAGTGTTGAATAAAATCCTCGAGTAAAAATTCGTGGTCACTGTCATGGGCTCCGACAGCACGGGATTCCCCACGGGTCTCGTTCCATGGAACAACTGAGCTGCCACGATGTAGTCGTCATGCCTCCAGGTGCCAGGGAGCCTGTGAAGTGCACCAACTCGAACGAGAACGGTGTCCAATACCTCGGACGACACCAGAGTGTTCGTGGGAAATTCCCCTCGAGTGCTCAACTGAAAGTCCACTCTGAAGGCGTGACAATAGCTCTCCACGAGATCCTGCACGGCGTCTCTGATCTTGTGGCAGTGGGAGGCAAGGACCTCTGGGAATTTTGTTCTCAGTGTGACGACCGAGTAGTCTCCGTCCTCGTGGAGGACCTCGGGCCTCTTGCACTCGATGTGAGCAGTGTGCACCTGGGGGAGGAACTGGCAGCAGGCATTCGTGAAGTTGTCGACTGCCTCAGTGATCTCGCAGGTCTCAATGTTTCCCATCAGTGCACAGACTGCCTTGACAGCTTGGATTACACCTCGAGGCTGCAACTGGGGGAGGAGGCTCGAGCTGTGGTTGGTGGTGGCTAGCTGGAGGGCTGCTGTCTCCACCCTCTCCATCTCCTTCTCCACAGTCTCCAGGAGGATCACCAGGCTGTCGTAGGAGATGGGCTCGTTTGGCTCGTTGGGGAGAATCTCCTCTAGCCTCAGGCACTGCTCACGATTGTCGTCCTGCAGGGTTCGAGCTATCGACTTCTTCATCTGGCCCCTCGTCATTATCGCCAGCTCTATGTCCTTCTCCAGCTTTATGCACTGGTGAATGTACTCGTAATTGGCTAGGGTCGTGTTGGGGGCGAAATACTCGGCCAGACCCCAGACCCTCAGGCAGTACTTCTCAGCCATCACTGTGTCCTCCTCTTCCAAGGAGCATGCCACGTTGAAGATGACGTGCTCAACGCTGCAGGTGACGTCGCAGGTGAAGGAGATCGAGGGCAGGGAGTCACTGCTGTCCGGCAGCTGGGGGTGGACGACTAGCTTGATGGATGTCCCCTCTGGGTACAGGCTCTCCATCATTGGACTGGTCACGTGACCGACGTTTGTGCTGGGGTCGTTGAACAGGAATTCACTTCTCACGGATTTTATCATCTGGTGGAACGCCTTCAGGTCGCAGTCGTGGAGCGACGCTCTGGTCTTCACCACCTGAATCAGCGATGGGAAAATTGTGACTTGGCGAATTTTATTCTTTACATTTTACATTACATTTACATTTTTATATTTTTACGAAAATACATTTTACAAATTAAAAAAAATTACATTTTTTATTTTTACATTTAAAAACAATTTACAAAATTGTAAAAAAAAATTGTAAAATTGTAAAAATGTAAATTGAATTTTACATTTTTTTCTATTTTTTATGTTACTTTTTACTTTTTTTTTAGTGTCAATAGCTCATTTAATCTTCAATGAAAGGTAATAATTTTTCTTATGGAGAGGACAATTGTTTTTCTTTGTGGTGAGGCTAAACAGACTTCAATTGACAAATTTGTTCCTGAGTTATAAAAATTAGATTCATTCAGTGCTCAGTACTTGAACCAGTATAATTACTAAGTAGTAGATAATTCAACTAAATAAAAATACAGCGAAAAAAATTGAGAAATTTGGGCTCAAGAAATTCTATAGAAGAGTCAAAATCTCCTGGCAAAATGCCACGACGAAGTTACCCAATCTTCTATAAAAATACATCAAAAAAACAAATTGAATTTTTCAACAGAATTCTAACAGAACTTCACGGGACTTTTCATAGTTCCAATAGAAATTCAATAGAATTCCTCGGAGAAAACGTCAGGTTGTTCACTGAAATTTTTTCATGCATCAATTTAAGTACAGCTGTACTTAATACCATCAGCACTGACCTGGACGTTCTCGTAGAGACGAGTCTGGCGCTTCTGGCGACGATCCAACGACGTTCGACGACGCTCTATCGTGTTCCAGGCCGAGGAGTTCCTCGGGGGCAGCGGAGGCGCCGCTGGAGACGCCGCTGGGGACTTGGCGGTCTTCTCCACGGCCACGTACACCGGATCAGAGCTGACGCTCTCATTTGTGCTGTACATGTAGTCGAAGGGGTCGAAGGGATCGTAGACTGAACCGTCGACCTGACTGCTGGTTTCTTCTTTTATTTGGTGGGGGGGATTACTCGGGGGTTCTTCAGTCTTTACCAGCAGAGGGTCGAAGGCCTCCAGAACGCTCACCCGGACGTTCGAACGGTCCTCGAGGGTCTCGAAGGCCGTGAGGTCGATCAGGTTGTTGTTCGGTTTTTTCTCGATTATCTTGAGGACGTTCAGCTGACCATCGTCTATCGCGTATTTTGGGGGCGGGGGCGAGGGGCGGTAGTTCATTGGGAGGGGGGGAATCTGAAAATTTTCAGGGGGTCAATAATTTTTCGCTGTGGGTGAGGGTGGGGGATTTTTTCGACGGACTCGGCGAGTGTTTGAGAGAGTAAAATGTACTGGGGAGAGTATTTTCTCTGAATTATTGAGGCTGGGGAGTTATTCTGCCACTAATTTTTTTTTGTGAAGTGGTGGAAGGAGATGCGTCCACAATTAGAATTTAATTGAAGGGAAATTACGGAGAATATTCTATCGGAAAATTAGAGGTAACCGATTGATGAAAATGTAATTGAATGCTAATTCTGGAGAATATTGTATTAGATTAATTCGAAAGTGTTGTTTCACTCAACTTGATCTCTTGGCACCACTTCACTGCAGTTTTCGTCATTCACATGCCGGCGAATCTCGTGCAAAGGACATTTCATCAATCAAGTCAATCCACTTGAGGAATTAGGAATAGTTTAGGGATTTAGAAATAATAATCGCATTGTTGAGAAAGGCTCTACGGTTAACTAGAACCGTATCGCCTCTTCTTCTGCAGTCACGATACGTGCAACTTGATAATTCAGTCGATTGATGTCATTTGCAGTAAAAATTACGTAAAATCGGTGAACGAGTTCCCTTCGAACCGATTCACTCGATTATGACTCAGTCTACTGAAGGTGTGATTCGAGTCATTCATTAGCGAGATTTTTTAGATTTGTTACCAATATCTAATCTAATCTCTAGTTGCGGAGACTTTGTCAAAGAAAACAAGAATTTTTGGCCAGTCATGATAAGAGTTTGATGGAAGAATTTTTGCAATGAGTGGAATGCATTCAGTAGCGAAGTGGTAAAACGATTTAAGTCGACTCATCTCCCAGCTGAGTTTTTGAGGAATATTTCCGAATCTAAGGGAGATAGCGAAATTTTCGTAATTACATTTGTTGTAGCTCTCAATCGGCTCTACGAAAAAGGTTATGACAAAAATTTTGCTATCTCCCTTAGATTCCGAGATATTCATTGAAAACTGGTCAATATTCAAAATTGACTTGTACAGGTTTACCGCCTCTCTACTGAATTATTTAATTGATCATCTGTTTTTTCAATTGGATTTTTTCCGGTTTGCTAATGACTGGCTGCCACTCATCAATTTTTACACCGATCTAAAATTATCTGTACTATTCAAAAATACTAATTTTAAATAATTCATATCAAATTTTCTGCGGAAAAAAATTACACATTTTTTAATTTTCGTACATTCGGTTCATTGATACGTCTCGACATTTTCTCCACAAAAAGAAACGAAATCTCAACAATTTCATTTCAAGAAGTTCAATAATTAAAAAATTAGTTATTCCGCAAATGTCTTCTCACGTAACTTCCACTCCACAAACTCGACTCAATCAACCAAAGCTACCCACTAACCCGAGACCCCCAACAATTGAATACCTGAGCGAAGAAACAGTTTGAAAGGCTAAAAAAATTCCAAGCAGGCTGGAATCGAACAAACATTCTTAACATAAAACAACATTAGATAAGCCTGAAATCAGGGGGGGACAAAAATACCTGAGGAATGACATCAGGAACTTGGGGATTGACACATGCTCTGGACATGACAGGACTGATACCCGGTGTACCGGGCGTGCATGGTGCTGTTGATGGGTGTGGTCCAGGTGATGGTGAGTGATAGCGTAAGTCACGTGTTTGGTATGAAGCGGCTGAACTATTGCTCCTCGTTACCCTCGACGTTCTCCTCATGAGGGCTGGATGACTCTCCCATCGTGGCTCGACTGGGGCTTTTGGGGGTGGTGCTGGCGGTGGAATGCTGCAGTACTCCTCCAGGCTCGGATCCTGCTTTATTGGACTCGTGAAGTTAATCAGATCTGTTGTGGCACTCGAGGCAGCCACTGCTGTTGTTGAATTCCTGCGACACGGGACTGGCGGTGGTGGGGCTATTATTGCTGCATTTTTTGGCTGACTGCCTCCCGGTCTTGGACGACTCCTCAATAAGAATCTGGGGGTAATTGTGATGAAATTTAGTTTTAAATAAATATTTCGTAAATGGGAATTTTTTTTTTCAATTTTGAATCATCATTTTCTTCAAGTTCGTACATAAGCACATTTTTGGGTAAAAAATTTGATGGATTTTTATCAAAAGTTTACTAACGTTTTATCGTGAAGTAATTATCGAGATCATTTTATAATCAATAGAATGTGAAGAATTAATTTGTTATCCTTTACTATTTTATTCGGCGAACTTGTCAATAAAAATCTTCTGGTAATTGTGATGAAATTTGCGGCTAAATATTTCGTAAATGTGAAATAATTCTTTTTTCTTTAATTTAGATTAGTAGATTAGTAAATTTTTATTAACAAAGGTCTTCAGTGAAGATCAAATTAATTCATATATATAATAATTCAATTCAATCAAATTAATTTATTTAAAAAAGTAATCATGATCGAAATGGGAAAAGTCAATTTTGGAATTTTTCATAGTAGAAGATTCAATTAAAGAAGAAACTGGAAAGCACAATCGAACGACTTTCAATTTTATGCCCATGAATTCCGTCATTCCTATTTAATGAAAAGAAATATCGCGAGTGGTCTTAACGAATGATGCAATCTCCCTGACAACGCATGAATAATTCATTCATTACGAATAATTGAGTATAGAAGTGGTAAAACGATATATCAAAGTAGTGATCGAATTCAGAATGTAAAAAGCCTGAACATTCCCCTGTCAAAAGCAATCCCCCTCAACACTGAAGAATCCCCTACCCATTTGAACATTCAAAGCCTGTGAATTTTCCTCCATAAACACAGACAAAAAAAACCATAAAATCTAATATGCAATAAAACCCATACGAGATACAGCATTAAAAACTGCAGCTCAAGAACTTTCACACGATGTTGAAATCAACAAAAATGTGCAACTCAGCTCGATTCCCCCGTTTCAATCCCTCATGACTTCAAAATAATAATCTACTGTTTATCTTTGATTCATCATCACCTGCCCCAGAGGGATATAAAAAAATAATAATAAATCCCCCTGCCACAGGCGTTTGTCAGGCAGATTTACCCAAAAAGAAAGCATTCAGAGTAATAATTGATTCCAGAATAATGAGAATTTTATTCCAAAGAATATAATGGAGGGTAGCGTAAAGTGGACAGTGGACTTTTTAAAAATTATTCATAACTCAGAACCAAATGTATCGATAGAGCTCAGTTCAGGCTCATCACAAAGGGGAAGAATTGCTCTTTGTAATGAAAAAAAAATTATTGAATTTCATCAACATTTCGACCTGTCACTAATATTTTTAAAAAAGTCAAGTGTCCATTTTACCCCAACCTCCCCTAGTTCATTAAAAAATAAACGAAAAAATGCTTAAATTTCCACATTCGATTTTCGGGGTCATTACAATAACTTCCTCCCTTCGGGTCGGGAAGTTAAAAAAAAATATTGTGTTCCTAAAAAAAAATTAAAAAATACAAAATATAATCTCACTTATCAGATGCCTGTGAAGCACAATCCCCATCACTACCATGACTCCTGGCACTGTAATCCTGCTGCGACCCAAAAGCCCTTCGCACGAAGTTGCTGCACTCTAACTGTTGTTTCTGCATTTTAAATTTCTCCAGTGCCAGGCTCTCGAGGCTGAGTGCCTGGGCACGTTCCAAGTCCTCCTGGAACTGGCGATCATAGTCGATCGCAGTCTGATTTCCCTCCTTTCTGTCATAGTTAGACATCTGAATGTGAAGAAAAAACAATGAGTTTGGGCCTGTTCTTAACCCCTCAACAATGTCCCCAGCGCATTAACAGCCCCGCCGAGTTCTCTGCGTTGGTCTCAAGCCGATCTTGAGTCAATACCCTTGACGAGTTTCCTGAGACATAAAGAGAAAAAGGAGCAGGCCCCCCTTCCCCCTGTCATCGGTGAATAACGAGAAAAATGCTGGAGCTAATTCACAAACTCACCCTGGCATTATTGCTAGCTGTTGATTACAACGTCACTGAGACTCTCATGATGCACAAATATGGATGATAAATAGTGGATTAATACTCCGTTAACTTCCGTCAGTATATCCGTGACATCACGGTGACATCCTCGATTTACCCAGGGCTCTATCGCTGGGGGGACAGTGTGTGTGTACACTATGATGTGGGGAATTCTTCTTCGTTTTTACAATAGGAGTGTAGGTGTTTTGGAGTAGGTGTGAGCCTGGTTTTTTCGCCGTTGCGAGGAAAACGGGGGACACGAAATCTACCGAAGTCAGCTGTACTGGTGCTCATCGCCGGACTCGACCAGACTCGTCGGAGCGGCGAGCCAACGCGGGGAAGGGAATGGCGAAGTAATGGGCACTGAGTGAAGTTGCCAGCGGGGAGCGGGGGGCACGCATTGCAGGCTGGCAAGCTGCAGTTCGCAGCCGTGTGGTGGCTGTATTGAATTCAATTCTCAGAGAATTTTTTTTTCCTCGTTTTTCCTTTTTTTAATTAATTTTCAGGATTTTTTTATCTTCGGTATTAATTGTTGAGGGAAGTTCATTTTTTTTATTTTGTACTTTTTTTAATTTAGGGTAGGGTGGGGTAAAATGGACAATTAGACTTTTTTAAAATTATTCATAACTCAGAAAAAAATTGATCAATTGAGCTCGGTTTGGGCTCGCCACAAAGGGAAAAAATTGTTCTTTGTATTGAAAGAAAAAAATAATAATAATAATGCTTTATTTCCAACCGTATGGCATCGAAAAAAAAATTATTGAATTTTATCAACATTTCAATCCCTTATTTACATTTAAAAAGTCAAAAGTCGAAGTCAAAAGTGTCCGTTTTACCCCAACTTCCCCTATACTGTTTTTGTTCATTTATTTATTGGGTCTCATATTTGAAAAATGAAGTCACTATTTATTGGAGGAGTTTGTATTTTAATTTTGAAGGAAATTTCTTCCTTTCCTTCATCTCTTTCATCCTGTCTCTTTTCAATTTATCCTCTTGTAGTTTATTTATTCATTTTGCCCCATTCTTTGAATCAATTTGTTATTTATTGGACGAGTTTAATTAACTTTCCGATAGAGGAAGTTATTTCATATTCGAATCCCACTTCTGACACCAATTTTATTGGTTCATCTCATATTGCGTTATAGCGAAACAGAAGGCCTCGCCTCACGATAACATTTCCACAAATGCTTCTTCTCCTTCTTCTTCTTCTTCTAATTTTTATGGCATTGACTATAACTCTTGCGGTCATTTTTCCGCAAATGCATCTCCACTCACTAAATTTTATAGGGTTCCAATGATTTGGATGGGCATATGGGGGTATGAATTCCATTCTCCAATCATGAACTATGTTGTCTCGATTGCCCTCGTCCCATTGGACGATGGAAAACATTTGTTTTGCTTCGAATTTCGAGGAATGGATATTCCGACAATTTTATTATAGACAGTCTACACGTACTTTGAAGGACCTCGGCGGCAACTCCGGTGGCCGCCTCGGGCGCTGAATTTGTTTACAAACCTCAGCGGACGGTCAGCAGATTCATCGTCGTCTCCGCGACTTAATCCGTTTTCAGGTGATTCCATTCCTGAGGAAATCAACGACGAGAATTGCACCTCACGATGTTGCCGAAGTCGAAGAAAGGTATGTGAATAAATACGAGAGATAAATTCAAGTACCAACACACGTTTAAAGTGTAGTAATTAATTTACAAGAGTTCTTAAATTGGATTTCTCAAAGAACATCCACTTTTTTGTCAATTTCAAGAAATTTTATTAACATAAATAATAGATACAACACGTAACAGTATTTACAAAACTATAGCCATAATCGTGTGTTTGTACAGCTTCAGCCCTTAGGCTTCTTCATATATTTTACATGAAGAAGGTGAAAAGTATTCGTTACGGAAAAATGAGGTTTAAGGCCTGATTATGGATTATCTTTCGAGCGTGATCTTGTATTTTTTATTTTTATAATCCGAAACGATGTCCAACTGCTATTCAGTTTTACACAGCCCTGGAGTCTCCAAAAATTATGACTGTACGAGGGTCCATACGTCAATTAAACTCAAATTAATTTTGCATTCAAGAACAATAGCTCTTTTCCCTACAAAATCCTTCAAAAATAATGGCCACACCTAATGAATGACTATTTACAATTTCATTTTGTAAAAAAACCTCTGGGTTTTCTCGTTGCAGAAAACGTCGACCCCCAGCCGATGAGGAGAAAACCCTCTCGGGAGAGACGTCGGAGTCGTCGAGAGCTTGAACGCAGAGTCTGGAGGGCGTCGTACCCCAGACTCTGCCCTCCACAGCAGCTTCCAGAATGTCTTTACGAGAAGTGTCCAGTGCAGCAGGAGAACATCCAGCCTCAGTCACCTCAATCGTCCCTCCCAGAGCCCCAGCCCCCCCAGCAAGGCTACTGCCTGGCTCAAGTCCACACACTCCAGACCTCTCACGTGTTGTCCCAGTGGAACCACCAGGGAGAATTCTCGCAGACCCTGTTGACCACTGGCCAACAGTACAGGAGCTGGTGTTTTTCCTCTGGGAATTACGCACTCCAGCTTCAACAAGTGGAGCAGACCGTGCAGCAGACGGAGATCCACTGCGCTGGGACGCAGTAGACGCGATCAAAGCACAAATCAGTAGCGAAGTGGTCAAACTGTTCAACTCAATTCAGTCTTCAGTTGAGTTTTCCAGAAATATTTCCGCATTTAAGGGAGACAGCGAAATTTTCATAATAACGTTTTTTGTAGAGCGAAGTGAGGGCTACTAAAAAGGTGATGAGAAAAATTTTTCTATCTCCCTTAGATTCAGAGATATTCATTGAAAACTGGCCAATAGCCAAAATTGTTGGCTCATTCACTGCTGTTTGAAGATGATTTAAAGAGAGATTGAAAAAGTTTTTGTTTGTTCAATTCGTTCGATATTTTATAAAGAATATATGAGGTTGGTATTCTCAAATGGATAACAGGATTTAATAATAATTTTGAAGATAAGTTTTTTGAGGAGTCGGAAACCTGAAGAATCTCGATAATTTTACGATTAATTACTTTTGTTCACTGTGTTTTCAAACAGAATCGTAAATTATCAGGATAATTCTGCAGTCAGAGAATGAAACAATGGCATAATATAATGACAATACAGAAATGCCAATTACCAAAAGGTTTTTTTATATCTCCTCAACGATTCAGTTATGTTCTAGATGATTCCGTAATAATGTGATGTAGATAATTGGTTCATTATGTTTTGTAACTCCTCTAGGGAATTGAGTCGAATTAGATTTCAATTTTCAGGAAGTATCGAGTTTCTTATTTATCATATGATTTTTCTGATGTTGTCTCCACAATTCACTTATTTTCAAGAGGATGGCATAATAATTTAATGCGTAAATAATAACTTCATTATGTTTTGTAACGAAATTTAATGGAATTAATTCCAAATATTAGGACTTACGTCCTTCACCGTTGATGTACTCCTTTATAAAATAATCTCTGGCATTGGAAAGTTCAAGGGACTATTTATAATATAAACAAAAAAATAAACATCAATATTATGAATCACCTTCATTTATTGGATTATCAATAAACAATTCATTACCATAAATTACAAGACACTGGTAATCAAATGTAATTACCACTCATGTACATATTCATGTGTCCCTCTTGCCTTTCATCCTCACAATTCACTTGTTGCAATAATGTCATGCATCGAATAACTTCATTGAGACACTTATAAATTCGTAACCATTGTCAATGACCAATGGATTTGACGATAAATCTTCATGCAAATTAAAAAAAAAATATAGAGGAAAATATCAGCTCTATCATAAAATAACTTGACTCTTGAGAATTCCTCTTACCCCCATCATCTCTCCTCCCAATCATAAATTAAAATTATGTTGAAGAATAGAGTGAAGGATTATTTATTTATCATTAAACTTATAAGTAGTTTTGAATCCTTGAATTGGCGGTGACACCGTGGCAGTATTAATTGACGCAGTGACACGTCTCAGACAATTATCAACCCCTCAAACATCTGAATCTACCCCCAAAATAAACTTCTCTGATTCAAAATAAAAACAATGACCTCCTGTCTACAAAAATCTCAACACTACGATGTCGACTATTTGTCGAAGAGAAAAATATTTTATTCGATACGAAAACTATGAAAATTGACGCTATTCAAACGAAAAAAAAAGTATATACTTTACTCACAGTGAAAAGATCAATATTTTTCTAATTTCAGTTCTGGTATTCATGAGTATAATCTCCAGTGGTCACTGGAGTTCAGTGTGTTTATGAGTTTTCAATTATTCATTGTAGAATTAATGATTGAGCCCGTTTTCTACGTATAATATTCACCTAAAAAATTTGTCATTCAAGAAAATCATCTTGTGTATTTCACAATAAATTGGTCGACTAAATTCTTCATTCGTTCCATCTCAATTTTGCATCCCCCTTCTACGTAATTAAATAAAATATATTGAAAACTAGGAGTGAATACATGTGTCAAACTTTTCGTTTCTTCAGCTTTGCCTTGGCTTCCTTAAGAAGTAGATCGAATGTATTGTCTGCATCGTTGCTCATGCTTCTCCCACCAATGCTCAGTGAATTGCTCGCTATTCCATCTGCAATTATCCTCATTATAAATCACAATCAATTGATTGAAATGTGAGAAAATATGACAAGTTGATTTTGCACATTTTTCTGTTACAATTTAAGTTTTGAAATTGTTTAGTTTAAAAAACAATTCGTTTGGAAATATTTGCCTTTTGATGTCATGTCAAAAGACAATTACACAGGCCATTATTTTCCAGGAAAACATCTTTTTTTTTTTGAAAAAAAAAAAAAAAAAAAAAAAAAATTTTTTTNTTTTCTCAAAAATGTTCTCAGTAAAAAAAATAAACGTGCAATAAACAATTGATTTCTTACGATTCATCACTTCTAGGTCCAAGTGTAATCGCGAAAAACAGTAATTACCTAAATCAGCGTATTTAACTTTACAAAATGCCCGACGTCCGCCGAAGCACAAATCATATCGTGGCTGTGTTATGTCATCATTCCCATGCTCTACGGCTTCATAAGCATCATTTTTGTACGCAAACGTTACAAATCCGTAATTATCGCTAAAACGTCAGACAACAAATTCAATTGTCAGATTAGTTGATTGGATAATAATTGCTTGTCCCTCTAATATCGACATTACCCGTGCTCACGAAAGTGCAGGCTGATGTCGCAGACAGGTCCAAACGCCTCGAAGCGTCTCCTGAGCTCGAGCTTGGTGATGCCGTCCTCGAGACGACCCACGTAGATAACTCTTCGTTCCTCCACCTGTCTCTCCTTCTCGTTATTGTACCAGCTATCATAGGCCCGTCTGTACGGAGATCTGGATGGAAAAACGACAAGTGAAAGGGTCTGAACGAAAATTGCTCTCCAGCCATTTCTGCATAATTAAGCCCCGGGTGTACTATCTTTCGAATGTTATCTGGATTTTTTTCATCTTTCGTAATCCAAAATTGTCAACTGAGTGGCACATCATGTAGAAATTCCCAAAAATTAGGATAGAATGATAAAAAAAATAGAAAAAATTCTGAACTTTTTCAAAGAGCGTTTTTAATTGAGATTCAGAATGAGTTGAAAAAAGTGGAAATTACAAATATCTGATTCGCTGTGGCAAATTATCTATTAGCTGTCATTTTCCATGGTGAATAACAAAACACAAACTCCTCATGAGAAGTGACAGCTAGGTATCTCAATTATCAAAACAGTGGTATGTAGTCATCTGCCATTTTTACGTGATAAAAGTGTGATTAAAGAATTCTCCAAAATATTACAACTGTTTTCAAAGAGCCTTTTCCGTAATAAATGTCTCTGTGCACTGTGGGAAAATATTCACGAAATCAGTCTTCCCCCTGCATAATATTGGGTGACAGGCCGCCACTTGTCACCGTAAATCAGATACATTTTTCATTTTCTTGTTATTCAACTTATTCTGAATATAAATTAAAAATGCTCTTTGAAAAAATTAAGAAGTTCTTCAACTTTTTTTTGATTATTCATTCATAATTTTTCAAAACTTCTGCATGATGCAGGACTCAATTGACAGTTTCAGAAGAGGAAAGATGAGAAAAAACATCGGATAACGTTCGAAAGATAGTACACCCGGGGCTTAAATCCACAATCAAACGTTTTATCAATTAAAATCAACTCTCAGGACCATCTGTATGTACTTCAGTGTAGAAAACAGTCGGTTTGTTAGTTACGAGACAGTAAAAATCACTTCACTCATTATCGATGATGTTGTTTTCGTGAGAAAGTGGTGAAACGGTTGAAAAATTTTATTAACCACTCAGTTTACGAGGGAAATGGTGAAACGAGATGATTCAACTCCACTCCAGGATCTTCTCGACGAATTCCGAGGGAAATCGTCACATCTCTTTCGACAGTTCGTTAATTATCGAGTCAATTTGATAATTAATGCGATAACTCCGTAATTAACAAAACTTTCACGTCCAGTTTGACGCTGACGTTTCAATCACAATCTCAATACTGTAGTTTGTACTGTATCTGTTATTTACTGGGTCAATTTTACCTCCTGTAAGACCGAGAGCGGTAATTACAGCTCGAGCGACGTCTTCGTCTACTACAACTGCTTCCCCGACTTCGCGATCGTCGTTGACGATTCGACCATTTCCTGGTCAAATTGGACCTGGATGACCTACAATCACGCGTTTCCCTATTTACTAAACAGTCACTTCTCCTCATTTTTCAATTCTCAATTTTACTAGAAGCTGATTAAATCCAGTCATGTCCCATTGAATTGAAGTACTCTTCTCATTTTTAAAATCATCCCTCAAATGTTGACATCAAGAGGACAATTACAGATCTTAAAGTGAATTATAAAGAATAAAATGAATAATAATATAATATAGGTAATGAATGTAAACAATGAAATCATCATCGGAAACCTAAGAATATCTCGTCACCTCTCAACTCATAATATTATAAACGCAATCGTTTTTTATAATTATAATTCATAATCTTGGTTTCATCATTGGGCAGATGAATTATGTGAGCGACCACGTGGACAATTCATCATATCTATGATTTTTAGGACAACCTTTCATCCAGGGATTTCGAAAAATCACTCTTAAGGGGAGAGACTATGAGTTTTAGTAAGGGTATTGGAGTGAGATTTCTGATGCATTAAAGATCGACTACATGTGTCTAAAAACGAATAATTGAGGCAAAAAAATGATTGTTTATTGTTGGTTTGCCCCTCAGACAATTAAAATATTAAGAATAGTCCAGAGCCTCCAATTTTTGAGCTACAGATGTTTTTTTTTCCAAATTTTTGCAATATAAAATTTTTTAAAAATGTATACAATAACAATTACGAAATAGTTTTTTTAAATTCGACTTCTACACAGGTAATTTCGTTTTGTTTAATGTAAAAATTCCCGCCATTCGTGAAAAATAGGCATAAAAATTATCCTTAAAATATTGACAATATATTCTCGATTTTTTCGGAAACATTTTCGGGCTATTCCCCCTGAATGGTGCAATTTTTTATTAAAAAAATAATGAAATTAGCTGTGTAGGAGTCGAATTTCAAAAAACTAAATCGTCCTTATTATTGCACACATTTTTTCAAAAAATTTGAAAAAAAAACCTCTGTAGCTCAAAAATTGGAGGCCCTGGGCCATTTGATGAACAATAAACAATTAATTTTGTTGCACTAATCATTCGTTTTCAGCCCTATACAATTAATTTTCAATTAATGACCCTTAAGAACATCTGACAATGTAAAATTGACCGGAATTCGCAACGACGAATGAATTATTACTGATTAATTATCCACGCGTAAAATTGTCCAGCGCCCTAACAAACCTCTGTCGATCATAAATATTAAAGAATAACTCGTCAAGCTCACCTAGAACACCCCGAATACCGTGAAGACCTGGAAGACCCGGAGGACCTGCTCCTCGACCTCGACGACCTGGACCTGCTCCTGGACCTCGACCTCGACCTGTACGAGCTCCTGGACCTGGAGGACCAGCTGCTGCTGGAGCTGACGGAGCTCCTCCTGTAGCTAATCCTCCTCCTCCTAGTGCTGCGCCGACGCGACCTCGAGCCACTCCTCGACCTGCTCCTGCTGCTCCTGCTCCTGGACCTCGATCGGCTCCCACTGCTGCCCCTCCTCCTCCCGCCCCTCCTGCTCCTGGGTACACTCCTGCTCCTGTCCCTTGAGAAGCTCCTACTCCTGGAGAAACTTCTGCTCCGACTCCTCGAGGAGCTCCTCGATCGACTCCTCGACCGACTCGACGACTCCCTCCTCTGCCTGTAGTTCCTCATTCTCCTGTCGTTGACCTTCGCTACCTCCCTCACCTCCTCGTCGTCCTTGATCTCCCCCTCCTCATCCTCATTAGTCTGAATGCTCTTGTCACACACGACAGGCTTCACCCTGACCTTGTCCTCCTCGACCTCAGTCTTGGGCTTGAGCACCGACACAATCTCCCTCTCCGACCACACAGGATTGTCAGGATCGTCCCGAGTGGGTTCAGTCGTCGTCGAGGCATGATGAATGTACACAAGAGTCATGGGTTGCACTGGCGAGCAAGTCCTGCTGCTGTCACTCCTCGTCTGCTCTCTCCTGCTCCTGTACTCAGCCAAATTGAGTTTCCTCCTGGGCGGCTTCTTCTCCTCCTCAGGTATCGGCACATCCTGGCTCCCCTCCTGGACGATTGCCCTCAGCGTGTCGTCGTTGGAGGCCGCACCACCCGTAACACCTTGATTTGTCAAGCCAACAGGCATCGGTGGCTTCTTCAAAACCGACACCATCTGTTTGCTCTTCGTCACCCCAGGAAGGGACTTGGTCTTCGTGAGAACGCCCTTCCGCAGTTGTAGAATACTAGTGGCCAGAGCCGAACGAATCTTCATCTCGTAAACTGGAGCTGACTTGCTGGGAATCGTTGCAGCACTCGGACTGACAGTCTTACAGACGGAATTACCAATCTCCACCTGCGGTTTGGAATTAGTTTGAGCAATTGGCTTGTCTCTGGGGCTGCTGTCAGCTGGGGCGAGAGTCTGCTCCTCAGAGGCATCACTCACATCGCCAGACTCAAGGCCACTGTCCTTCTTCGAGCTGCTGTCCCCCCAGCTCTTTGACTTGATAAGATTCTTTCGAATGCTCAAGCGATTGTTCTGCGTCTTTCGAATTGACTTGCTGGGCTTCTCAGGGGCTGCAGCAGTGCTGCTGCAGTAATCGTGGTCCAGCTGGACTGAGCCCTCGACCTTGGGGCTGTTGGCTGTTGGCTGTTGTCTGTTGGCTTGGAGCTTCAGGAGTTTGTTTCGAGAGAGAGTGACTGCTGCCTCCTGCATTCTCGTGGCGTTCTTGCAGGCCTTTGGATTCGACAACGCTGGGATCACTGAGATTGGCTTGCTACGGCCTGACGCCTTTATCCTGTCGACTACCTCCTTGGGTAGAGAGTCGCGGATGTTCTTGTGGAGTTTGGAGGCCGGTGAGTCCAGGGACTTCTTCAGGAGCGTCTGTTTGGACTTGTCGAGGGTGTAACGATCCTTCGGGGCTTTTGGGGGCTCAGGGGCCTTCTGCGGGGATATCTCGGGGTCCGAGTGGACCTGGGGGTGCAGGGAGGTCGCCTCGGACGCCTCGAATTGCTCCAGGAGGCTCTTGACGTCCCCAGCCTCGAGGACAGGCACCTCTTCGGGGACTGTCTCGATGTCTATGCAGTCGTCACTCTCCGAGTGATCCTCTTCGGGGATGTCTAGGGTCTCCTGCTTTATGATCATCGTTGGCTTCTCTGGGGATCCCTCGAAGATCTTCCCTGGGGAGGTGGTGAGCTGCGAGGGATTGCTCACGACACTCGGGAGAGGCTTGTACTCCGGCTTTCGCGGAGTTGAGGGACTACTCAGGGGCTTCCTCGCGTTTTTCGTCGGCGATGTCGTCAGACTGTCGAATATGTTGTCGGGAAAATCTGGCGAGGGCTTCTCCGGGATTGTCAGGGGCAGGTGCATGTCAATGTCCTCCTCCATGTCGGAGGCCTGCAGGTAGCCAATGTGCTCGTGCCAGTCTATCAGGACTTTGGCGAAGTCCTCCTTCATGTTCTCGATCTTCGGGATCACTGAGGCTACACCCGAGTTTGGGAGCACTGCCATGTCACCGTTCAGCTCTTGCTCGGTGCCCCAGAGACCCCCCGAAGTGTCCATTCGCTGGCAATCGGCGTAGTCGAAGTCTGATTCGACGATTGCCATGAGCGAACTCGACGACTCTTCCAGGGAGTCGTGGGGGTCCAGGGACAAGGAGAAGTCTGAAAAGTGTTCCTCATCATGGAAGTTTAGATAGCCTGTTTCCATGTCACAGGGGGTGGGGGGTTCTAGACTCGTCCGCTGGGGAATTTTTGTCTGGAACAGGCGGAGAGGGGTTTTTAGGGCTGAGGGGTTTTTCTCTGCTTTTTTATGGGTTGCGTGAAAGTTTTCATCGTCTTTGTGCACGATTTTTTCGTACACTTGGAGGATTCGGTTTTTACGTCTATTGTTGTGGATCTGGGAACTGCTTGAGGGGGTTTGGGGATATCCGAATTTCTTTTACAATTTGGTACGGATGATACTGCAGGTTCATCAAATTGGTCAATTAAATTGCGTGAGGAAAATTTGAAAAAATCGTGAGACAAATTACATTCTGCACAGAATTAGTATTTTTTTTGAAACTTCGTTGGCGTTTCTCTGGCATATGGATTCCTTCTTGACATCCTCTGGATTGAATATATTTAATGTATATTTAAGTGCTTCATATAAATTGTTATATAATTAAGAACTCGAAAAATGACGATGTAAACATGTTATTTATATATAACATATATTTTTCCCTGCAACATATATTGTCTGTTTTTCTCTGCTTTTTTATGGGTTGCGTGAAAGTTTTCATCGTCTTTGTGCACGATTTTTTCGTACACTTGGAGGATTCGGTTTTTATATCTGTTGTTTGTGGATCTGGGAACTGCTTGAGGGGGTTCGGGGATATCCGAGTTTCTTTTACAATTTGGTACGGATGATACTGCAGGTTCATCAAATTGGTCAATTAAATTGCGTGAGGAAAATTTGAAAAAAATCGTGAATATTGAGTGATTCAAATTACATTCTTCACAGAATTAGTATTTTTTTTTGAAACTTCGTTGGCGTTTCTCTGGCATATTGATTCCTTCTTGACATCCTCTGGATTAAATATATTTAATGTATATTCAAGTGCTTCATATAAATTGTTATATAATTAAGAACTCGAAAAATGACGATGTAAACACGTTATTTATATATAACATTCATTTTTGTCTGTTTTCCTCTGTTTTTTTATGTTGCGTGAAAGTTTTCATCGTCTTTTGTGCACGATTTTTTCGTACACTTGGAGGATTCGGTTTTTATGTCTATTGTTTGTGGATCTGGGAACTGCTTGAGGGGGTTTGGGGATATCCGAGTTTCTTTTACAATTTGGTACGGATAATACTGCAGGTTCAAACATTTTCAATCATCAAATTGGTCAATTAAATTGCGTGAGGAAAATTTGAAAAAAATCGTGAATATTGAGCGTGATTCACATTACATTCTGCACAGAATTAGTATTTTTTTGTCAAAATTCGTTGGCTTTTCTCTGGTATATTGATTCCTTCTTGACATCCTCTGGATTAAATATATTTAATGTATATTTAAGTGCTTCATATAAATTGTTATATAATTAAGAACTCGAAAAATGACGATGTAAACACGTTATTTATATATAACATATATTTTTGTCTGTTTTCCTCTGTTTTTTTATGTTGCGTGAAAGTTTGAATTCTTGTTGTCATTAATTCCCGTATTTCTCCCACGAAATTATTTACACATTAATTCGTAAATTTATGAGATTCCAATAGTGCGCCGAAGAAAGCATGTCCTCCCAAAAAAAAATAGTAGGGGAGGGTGTTAAATTTGATAAAAACCCCATTCCCCCAAAAAATCTCCAAACCCCTCGAATTCCGGAGCTCTCAACCAACTCTATCTACAGTAACGCCTTCCCAAGCCCGTAATCAATCCCTTCCAAAAATAAAGGGCCAGTTTAAAAAAAGCACCTCTAGATCCCATCGCTCAACAAAAAAAAACCTTCGAGCCAATTTCCTTTGTGCAATTTGGAGTTAACGAGACATTGATTGGCAAAATTAAGAAGAGTTTAACAGGTAATTTAGAGACAATAATAGTTCTCAATAACCCAGACTCGTTTTTACAAAAATTTTCGCTCAATGTGTAGGGGAGGGCAGGGTAAACAGGACACTATAGACTTTTTTAAAATTATTCATAACTCAGAACCAAATATATCAATATTACAGTTTAGGCTCATCACAAAGCGAAAGAATTGTTCTTTATATGGAAAAAAAAAGATGGAATTTCATCAACATTTCAACCCGTCGTCAATATTTTAAAAAAGTCAAAAGTGTCCATTTTACCCTCACCACCCCTATTTTAAAAAATACTCTTTAGGGGAGGTTGGGGTAAAATGGGCACTTTTGACTTTTTAAAAAATGTCAATGACAGGTTGAAATAGTGACGAAATTTAGTCATTTTTCAGTGCAAAGAGCAATTTTTGCCCTCTGTGGTGAGCCTAAACTGAAATCCATTGATAAATTTGTTTCTGAGTTATGCGTAATTAAAAAAAAGTCTAGTGTCCATTTTACCCCACCCCCCCTCTACTTTTTCTTTTGCTGTCCACCATAGATAAACAGCCCTGCCGAAGAAACCTCACAGCATTCGCAGCGTAGGCAAAAATGTCAAGACCTTTTGTCGTTAACCAGTTCTTTCCCGTGTGCATGACGTATATTGGCCGGAAGAAATTTTTATAAAATAAATAATAGGGGAGAAACCGGACACTTTTGACTTTTTTAAAAGTGTTAATGAGGGGTTGAAATGTTGATAAAATTTAATAATTTTTGTTTTCAATACAAAGAACAATTCTTTCCCTCAGTGGCGAGTCTAAACTGAGCTCAATTGATCAATTTGTTTGAGTTATGAATAATTTTAAAAAAGTCTGAAGTGTCCGTTTTACCCCACGCTCCCCTACAAATGGTTGGATAAACAAAGAAGCCTCCAAAACCCTGATCCCTGGAACATCCCCCAAAAACCAAGTCTCTCGAAAGATCGATGAACCCCACGCTGTCCCGCTGCAGCCGGAAAGCATGAGACCCACGCGGGTGTTTGATTTGAGGTTACCCGACAGTAGCCGCTCTCCATCGCCTCCGTCCCCCGCAGCCCCCCGGAATTTCCCTGATTCATCGTAAAACCCCTGACAAATGGACAAGTCCAAGCAACAAAGAGATCGACGCTATTCCCTCTCAAATTCACTCCGGAGCATTCCAACCCCCGCCCCAGCCCGTTCGATCAACAAATCGACCGAGGGTATCCCCCGCGACCCCATAAAAACCTCTCAAGCCCAATTACTCCCTTTCGCCCGTCACCCTTCCCCCAAAATAATCGAAACTCTCGACATCCGACACGAACGCACACGTGTACCCACACAAATATCTCGCAATGTGGCGATTGGGCACGCGGCAGAATATTTTCGCACAGCTCCCCACACCCAGCCATCGCCGCCACACCTCGCCCCGTCGATTCATCACCCCCAAAACCCGCAAAAGTTCACCCTGTCCACCTGTTAAACTCCAAAAGCCCCGAAATACCCGTAATCTCCACGTGTAACCACTCACCGTATGTTATTTTCGTGTGTGAACACAACGTGGTGACCGCGTGTGTCCCCCAGGTACAAGTCACACGCCAAGCCGCCTCCTACATTTAGCACGACAATTTTTTCCCCCCCGTAACTCAGTTCTTTACTTAAAAATAAACTCGTTCGTTCACGTAACAATGACACTTTAATATCGGTTATCAATGGGTCTACTCGGATTATTGAGGCGCCCGAAATGGCTACTTACTCGGCTATTTCTCCGTGTTTTTCCCCCCTTTTTTGATGATCAATTAATCCGGTAACACGTGATGGCACAGTGCAACTGATACACAACACAGGTCAAGCGTAATGAGACAGCTTGTCACATGGAATTCCACGTTCACTTGGGCTCAAAGCGGCGATCACTGATTTGTGAGGGCCTCTCTCCCGGCTCGCCTCGTTGCCGATATTACAATTCACTCGGGCGAACGGTGCCCCCAGCGCAATCTGTCGGGAGTATTCGAGCACTGGTCGCGGAGAAATAGTTGGCGATGTCACGGGGGCCAGAGACGTCGATTGCAGGAATGTCGATATTTCGGGCGGTAATCGATGGGTAGAACGATTTACGTCGCGTCGATGGATCGAAGTAGGCCTTGTTTGCCAATCTTGGTGATATTGATAGTAATTTTATTACTTGGTCCATAAAGCATTTTCTGAAATACTTTGGGGACAGTGGGGGAATGTATTTTTGTGGGTCTAGCGACAACATTTTTTTTCATCTCCTTTGGATGTCAATTTGTCAAATTTCGATATTTTGGCGCCGGATAAAATGATATTGATCGATTTGTAATATCGACATTTGCGGTAAATCGAACACTTTTCCTCCAAAAACGATTTGTTCAGCGCTCCCTAAGCTCACTATGCAAACTATCGATATTTTTTATCGATAGACGAATAAACTGACTGATAAAAAATGCACATTTAGACATCGATCCATTGAATATTGATATTTCCGGGCCCATCCCCGAATTTTTTTATCGACTCGTAATATCGATGTCAAGCAATCGATATTTTTTATCAATTTTCATCGCCTCGATCTAAACGTCGAACGTTTACCGACCAAAAAACTAACCGATAAAAAAAGAAAAAATTATAATTAGACACCGATCCATTGAATATCGATATTTCCGGGCCCACCCCCTGAATTTTTATATCGACTCGCAATATCGATATCCGTTCCAAGTCGAACCTTCTTTAAAAAACGGTTTATTCACCGCTTATCAATTTTCATCGCCTCGATCTATCGGAGTGGTTCATCTCTGACAGAAAAAAAATATCGAAGACGAAAAAACCGATGACTGATAAAAAAAATGCACACTTAGATATCGATCCATCGAATATCGGTGTTTACCGACCAAAAAACTAACCGATAAAAAAAGAAAAAATTATAATTAGACACCGATCCATTGAATATCGATATTTCCGGGCCCTCCCCCTGAATTTTTATATCGACTCGCAATATCAATAACCCTTCCAAGTCGAACCTTCTTTAAAAAACGGTTTATTCACCGCTTATCAATTTTCATCGCCTCGATCTATCGGAGTGGTTCATCTCTGACAGAAAAAAAATATCGAAGACGAAAAAACCGATGACTGATAAAAAAAATGCACACTTAGATATCGATCCATCGAATATCGGTGTTTACCGACCAAAAAACTAACCGATAAAAAAAGAAAAAATTATAATTAGACACCGATCCATTGAATATCGATATTTCCGGGCCCTCCCCCTGAATTTTTATATCGACTCGCAATATCAATAACCCTTCCAAGTTGAACCTTCTTTAAAAAACGGTTTATTCACCGCTTATCAATTTTCATCGCCTCGATCTATCGGAGTGGTTCATCTCTGACAGAAAAAAAATATCGAAGACGAAAAAACCGATGACTGATAAAAAAAATGCACACTTAGATATCGATCCATCGAATATCGGTGTTTACCGACCAAAAAACTAACCGATAAAAAAAGAAAAAATTATAATTAGACACCGATCCATTGAATATCGATATTTCCGGGCCCTCCCCCTGAATTTTTATATCGACTCGCAATATCAATAACCCTTCCAAGTCGAACCTTCTTTAAAAAACGGTTTATTCACCGCTTATCAATTTTCATCGCCTCGATCTATCGGAGTGGTTCATCTCTGACAGAAAAAAAATATCGAAGACGAAAAAACCGATGACTGATAAAAAAAATGCACACTTAGATACCGATCCATCGAATATCGACGTTTACCGACCCAAAAACTAACCGATAAAAAAAGAAAAAATTATAATTAGACATCGATCCATTGAATATCGATATTTCCGGGCCCTTCCCGAATGTTTTCATCGACTCGCAACATCGATATTCGCTCCTCCTCGAGCATCCCTCCAAAAGCGATTAATCCAGCGCTCCCGACGTTCACTCTGCACACTAAACCATAAATCCAAAGGTAGCCCATCCCCACCACAATTTCAGTGGAGTATGGAGTATCCAGGCCTGCAAGATTGTGGGGTGTGTTGAAGTGGATTTGTCGACCATTGCGATTAAACGTAATCACTCGATTACGAATGCGTTGAACACCATATTTCCCCCCATACCCCTGTCAACAGTGGATTGATTGTAAAAGTGATTTAATGGGTGGTTCGTCACTCGCGCCTGGTAATACCGTAAGGGCGTTGACAAAAGTCAAAAGTCATATCTGCGATCAATCAGGTTCTGCGTTTTGGGTGAAAGAAAATAAAAATCGATTTGCAGACCATGCACCAAACACGGTGATTGCGCGCTGAAAGATACATCTTCAACTGTGTGCTCACAGCAGCTGAATTGTACTCAGGGACAATTGTTACAATAGGATAAGTGGAATTGATTTGTTTGTGCTGTTGGTTTTTTAAACAGTTTCTCTCTCAATGAGTGCAGACTGATACGTCGTGAAAGAGCTTGAATTGTTGACAATAGTGGGGAGGGGGGGGATTTCTGAGAATTTATTGTTAAACAGTGTTATACGATGGGTATGGGCTTGAAACCCCTCGAATTTACTGATTGTCTCACCGACAGTCCGTATTTTCGTGAGAATTTACACTACCACGAGAGTGAATTGGAAAAAACTAGTCAGCAAATAAAACGGCTTATCAAAGAGGTCAAGGATTTGCTAAATGCTGCTAAAAGTAAGTTGCCCATTGAATTTTTTCAACTCTCATTCTGCTGAGACCACTGGATTTTATTAATTTCACAGTTATTCTACCCACAAACGATAAATAAATTACCTCATGCACTCTAAGATGTCATTTTTTTTTCTCTTGAGTCACACACACGTAATCAGAGGCTAATTATCTTTAATAATGTCGTCTCGGCACTGTTGAGTGACGCGGTTGATAATTCAAGGAGAGAAAAATACGCGAGATGGAGGGAGTCTAGGTATTAGGATGTTTTCTATTTTGTTTTTTGCTTATCTGTTGAGATTGGATTGGCAATAACTGTAAATATGCATGAGTTCTTTATTTGTGTTAATATTTTTAGCACCTACGATGTTGTTTCTTAGGCCAGGGCGAAGAGATTCTGCACGGGAATTTATGATCCTCATAGATCAATTGTTTATGAATCATTGTTGAAAATTTATTGAAATTCGTTGAAAGTCCTGCACGTGCATTCGTTGGGAGAAAATCGTGTGCTCTGGTCGTCAGATATCTTGAACGATTTTGTAGAGAGGAGAAACGAGATGTGTCAACAGATGAGTTTTTATAAATATCTTCGATCCAGGTGGAGAAATTCTCGTGGGGAACTTGTGGATGCGGAATCGGAGCCACGGATGTGGGAATGGCTGGGAGAATTTTCTCCACCTGAGATTGTTATTGACAAGCATTATTCCAACTTTTTAATTGCTTCTTCGATCTGGCTCCGAAGGAAAGTTTCTTATTTTTTTTCGGATTTTTAAAATGTTTTCTAATGGTTCAATACTGATATTCGAATTCAGGGCTGAAAGTTTGAATAATAAAATCATTGTAAAATGTATTCCACTGGAGAAAAAATAGCCGAAGTACTTGGATATCCCTAAATATTAATGTCTGCAGATGCTGATTTTCCTGAGTAATTTATTCTGCGGGAATTTTTTCTATAAGATTTTCTCAATTTTGTTTCGTGGATTTTATTGTGAGAAACAAATGAAAATTCAGCGGAAAAAAAAAATTTTTGCCCAAGAATTTCTGTAGGAAAATAAAAAACTATTGACTTTTTTTCATTAAATATCTCTCATCAAAATCAGACATTGTATAATCGTAATTTTGAATTAACGTTAACTTTTGAATAAGTCAGTTGTTAATATTACCCACCAATTTTCTGATGGTTAAAATCACCATCAATTTAAATATTCCAATTCCGAATTATTTTATGAACGAATAATCGAGAAATTAAATTACCAATTACTATATTATTTTTCAAATTTCAATGAAGATTAATGATTGATGCCGAAGTTATGCAAAGAAATAGAATTCCTTAATGGAATTCTTACAGACTTCCAACAGAAGTTTAATAAAATTTCTCAGAGAAAGATAGGTTTTTGTATTAATTATTTTCATGCAAGAAACTGATATTCAAGGGAAATTAAATCATCCATTTTACCAATCCACAACTGAATCGTTGATTCATTCAATACTTGAATTTATTCAGTCAATGATTATTATTATTATTACAAGTACAATGTGATAACGAGACAAATTTTTCAATCCTAATTACCAATTAAATGACTAAATTAAAATTAAATGACGTGAAGCATCTGCTGACGTATTCTATAAAAAACTCATCTTCCACCGAAGTTGACAAGTTTCGTCTCCTCAAGTCTCCCCTCGAATTGCCAATCTGTCCAGGGTAAATCAATAGTTTTATTTTTGTATGAATTTTCCGAAAGATCTGTCCCGAGCCCAGAGAGCATTCTCCAAAACACTGCAAAACTTTAGTTTCGAATGTATTGGCGAAACCCAGACTGAGGATGAATTACATATATCACAGAGCCTAAAGGAGTTTGGTAAACTAATAGCATCGATCGAAGATGAGAGAGATCGCATGGTAAGCAAAAAGACAGTATCCATAAAGCGAAGAGCATTAAATCAATTCATTAATCAGAGACATTCAGCATTGGAGAATATACTTAACTCGACAATTTTTGACTAATGCATAATGCCAAATTGCGAAATTTTACTTTGGGTTTGAGAGACATTTTTTTGGTAAAGAGCGAGATGAAAATGATATGGATACATTTATTTTCACTGGCAAGCCTTTGCGCACTGAGGCTTGATTAAAACATTAATTTATTGTAAGCATGGTCCTCATTGTAATCCACCCCCACCCCCTCCTACAGTTTGAATAATTTTTGTTAATCGATTCACGATCATCAATCATAATATGCAGACTCATAAATGATCAAGGGTTGTTTAGATAATTTTGTAAATATCTTAATTTATTCTTCCTTTTTTGTAGTTGGCAAACTAGGGATACGCAAGTATTTTATTGAGTGCAAGTGTTCTCACTGAGAATTTGTTATTCTAGTACTTGTGAGTTTGATTATTAAAATTCGTTGCGTTAAAAATGGCACAATTTTCCTGTTCACAATTTACTGCACACTTTCAACGGCTTTATTTTTCTCTTCTCGTAGAACGTGTCGCACATTAACTCATGCTCACTAATAACACTAATTATAGCCCTCGAGAGGAGGTTTACTTGATTTTTGAAAATATATTGTTCTGTGGGTGGATATTTATTGGAGTCTGATTTGCAGCTTGCTCGAGCTTATGATCAGATTATTCTTCCTCTTGAGAACTTCAGGAAGGAACACATTGGGGGAGTGAAGGTAATTATGCCATTAATATTCTGTCACTAATTCGAGAGGATGAGTCAATTCCACTCAAGAGCGAATTCATTGTTGGAAAACATCTGGCAATGACAGAGATAGCAGAATTTTTTATGCTAATTGAGCTGCACTAAAAGTATTCGCAGAACAATTTTTATCTCATTGAGAGCACGAAATAGTTCTTAAAACTACGAAAGGGGCGCACTAGTGATTTATCCATATTATTTTCCATCATTGTGGATTTATTCAGTCATTGAAAAGGAGTTAGTGTCCGGTTTTATCCTGTTTAGATTTGAGAAGAACTTGAGAAATGATCTTTTGAGTTTATGGAGTTGAATGAATATAATAGAGAAATTATTCTCCAATTTTTATATATTATATTTTACATTTACATATTTATATTTTATAGGGAGAGTGGGGTAAAATGGCCCCTTTTGACTTTTTTTGTGATACTCATAACTCATAACTTGTGGAACAAATTCATTAATTGAGATCAGTCTAGGCTCTTTCTAAAGGCGAGGAAGTGCAGTTTCCATGGAAAAAAAATTATTTCATTTTATTTAAAATTGAATGAGCTGTCAACATTTTTTCAAAAATCAAAAGGGGCCGCTTTACCTCAATCTCCCCTATAATAAAATAAATATTAAAAAAAAAATTTATTATTCATGCATCCGTCAAAAAAAATTTGAAGAGAAATACTGATAATTATCTACAAATGCATAAATTTTATATGAATAAATATGAATGAATGAATAAATATCTTTTACGTTCTTCAAAAATGTATCCTCTATTTTTTAATACAGGAAACAATAGTCAAATTGGATTATTCATTGGCATAACAAGAGAGATAATTTTATTTCAATCCAACTTCATTTTTCTTATATTTCGTAATTGTATTCTCACATAATTCGCAGGAAGGAAAAAAGAAATTCGTGAAGCAAACGATAAAATTCTGTCAGAGTCAAGAGCGATACCTTAATCTCTCAACGAAAAAGCAGGACAATGTCCTTCAGGAGGCCGACGCAACACTGGACATGGCAGAGCGTCACTTTTGTCAAGCGAGTCTAGAGTATGTGTTTCTCCTGCAAGAGGTACAAGAGCGAAAGAAATTCGAATTCGTGGAAACGGTAACTCCTCGCTAAAGTCCCAATCGCCCCAGTAACCAAGATCATTATTTACATTATCTCCATTGCCCTCAGCTCCTGGGATTTATGTTTGGATGGTTGACGTTTTACCACCAGGGTCACGAGGTTGCTAAGGATTTCAGGCCTTACATGACCGAATTGCAGTTGAAAATACAGAAGGTAAAGCCTAAATTCCCCCGTCGTAATAAACCAACAATTACAATTACTCAAACTCTTAACAGCCAAGAAAACTCATAAATATAACTTGCAGCATTGTTTAACGGCATGAGTATCAATCTAATGAATCACCATTACTCGTGTGTGTATTTGTTTTTCTTTGTTGTTTGTTTTACAAGACTAGAGAGAATTTCCTTGCCACCCGGGATAAAACCGAATCGCTTATGAATAAAATGAAGGACATGAAAAAGGTAATGTTGAATAGTGTAGTACAGCTTCTTAATTCATTAATTCAATAATTAAACCCTTTAACTTTGTTTACCGCAACCACTGGATCAAGTGGTCTGCATAACTCGCCAGCTAATATCTGAAAATTTACAGTCAGCGGTTGAGACGGGGTTGAGTAAATTGAATTCACGCGAGGGATATCTATTTTTAATGGAGAAGAGTAAGAAATTTCTCAATCAATCGAACAAATCGCCAGTCGTGCTGTAATTTCTGCAATTAATCCGATGATTTTCTGTATCTTTCAGAGGCATTTGGCACAACATGGACGAAGCAGTACTGCACATATCAGAAAGATAAGAAAGAATTCACGATGATCCCGTACAATCAATTGACCGGAAAATTCGTGAGTCATAACGATATAATGTCACTCATGAACAGCAAGGTCGAGTTATTTAAATTATTAATTTACTTCCTCAGAGCAACAAGGAGACACTAACACTGGCAAGTTGCGTACGTCGTATGTCCGAGACAATTGAGAAGAGATTTTGCTTTGACATTACAGCTGTGGACAAGTGAGCATTAGATTTTGCATAATTACTTACGTAATAACAGAGTAAACTCTTGGCCAGCGTTCGTCATTCGTATCTGAAAATGGCTTTTTTTCATGCGCATTTGCAGGCCGGGTGTAACGTACACATTCCAGGCGCTGTCCGAGGAGGATAGGAAGCTATGGATGGATGCTATGGACGGAAAAGAGCCAGTAAGTTGCGGTTTATGTTTTATTGGAAAATATCGATGCACTCGTTTATCTTCTTAATTCAATTTAATTTAGTTCCTTGATGTTACAAACGTATTCTTTGCTTCACATCTACGAAGCACATTCTACACAAGCCTCTTAGTCTTTATTTCAATCTCTAATTTCGTGTTATTTTCGTTTATCTTCTCTCGTGATTTTTTTCCAGACATACGCCCTTCAGGGCCCGTCAGTCAAGACTGAGGAGACAATCTTGGATGAGAATGGCTTTACGTTTGTTTCGAAGTGCATTGCAGTGCTTGAAGACAGAGGTAAATGGCAGTGTTAGAAATAAAATTAATTGAGTCAGTTTTAATGGGTGAGGTGGATTAATATATTGAAAACTATTCGAAAGTATTAAAATACTTTGGCGATTGACTGTTTAAAAATTTTTAATGACAGCGGGAAATTTGTAATTAATGCAATGAGAAAGAGAAAACTTTCGAGAGATTTTGTTCTTCAGGTATGAGAAAATTCAATAGGAAACCTAGCGAATTCGCTGGAAAATTGTATTGGAATTCTATTGAAACATTCTATTTGTTTTTTGCGCTGATTCTATAAGATATTCCATAAGAACAAGTCAATAGATTTAGAATTTCTGTTGGAATTTTTCTCTTGAGATTTTTTCTATTAGAAATTATTGGGCACAAATTTTCTGTTTTTTCCACTAAATTTTGTTTTATTTTGCATTACAGAATCCGAGTGGAAAAAACTTAAAAAATTGATGCTCGAGCATTCTTATAGAAAAAATCTCAAGCGACAATTCCAAATCGAAATTCGAAATCTATTGGCTTTTTCTCCTGGAATATCCAATAGAATCAGCGCAAGAAACAAATAGAATTTTTCAATAGAATTCCTGTAGAATTCCAATAGAATTTTCTAGCGAATCCGCTGGGTTTTCTATTGAGTTTTTTCATGCGTGTTGTCCCGGAGACAAATAATTTGTTTATGATAAGACAGTGATTTCTCAAACCAACTCTAGTTGAATCAATTTACTCAAACTCTTGACGAAAGGTTCCTTTTCTCAGTGTGAGATATTTTCGTTTTGCCACTCTTCAAGCCGTGAGTTTCTTGACAAAAGTAAAGAAGTACTTCTCAAAAATCATCTTTTTTCTCAATCTATGATCGTCACAATTGATTTATTTGTTAATGCAATGTGATATTTCTGAAGGCCTGGAGGAGCAGGGGCTCTACCGAGTAGTTGGGGTTGCGTCTAAAGTCAACAAATTACTGGCCATGGGGCTGGACAGGAGGAAACTGGAGAAACTCAATCTCGATGATCGTTTCGAGTGGGAGAGTAAAACAATAACGAGTGCACTTAAAACTTATCTCAGAACGCTATCCGAGCCAGTTATGACGTTTCGATATTACAACAGTTTCATAATTGCTGCAAGTACGTGGACTGTTTGAATCTATCACTAATCAACACGACATAATTCATCATTTTGTTTATAATAAGGCAAATTAATTAAATGGACACCTCATCGTGTGGACAATTCCTCAAATTCATGATTTGAAAAAAATCTTGTTTCTCTGGGTTTCGAAAAATCTTTCTTCACAACTTCTGGTTTTGAATTATTCATTCTCTTAGTAATGTCCATTTCCGCTTCACTTTCATTTCAATAATGCAATAGTAAAGGAAATCCACAAGCATCTTCAATGATAAATCCTTCAAATGATGAAATGTCCACGAAATAAGCTGTTCACAGAATATTTTTCTGTGAAGACTTCCTCCAGTAAAAAAAAAAGTCGTGCAATTATTAAAAAATTACGGGAATTTTCCAGAACAAGAGTCTCGAGAGTCGAGAATCAACGATGCCCACATCCTCGTGTACCGACTGCCGAAGCACAACTTCAACATGCTGATGCTGTTGATAAAGCATCTTCGCAATGTGGCTAACAAATGCGACAAGAACCTGATGACTGTTGGCAATTTGGCTGTGTGCTTTGGGCCGACACTACTGCGCCCCGAGGAGGAGACGGTTGCCTCCATAATGGATATCAAGTTCTACAACATCGTTGTGGAGATACTGATTGAAAACTGCGAGAGGATCACAGCTGGACCGCCGGAGTTCACTAGGCCCTCGCAAACCCAGCAGAATCCAACGACGACTGCTCCGAGACACGATACTGAGGATAGCCCAAGTGCCACGGGAAATGGAAATGCGATTAACAGATATTCTGTGCACACTGCTGTTCCCGCTACTCATTCACATGTAAGTGCACCCAGATAAATGACACATTTAAAGTCATGACTTGACTGAGTGACTTGACACTGAAAACATTTTTCCGATCGCTAATCAATGGATTTAAGGCCCGGGTGTGCAATCTTTCGAACGTTATCTCGATGTTTTTTTTTTTCGTCTTTCGTCGTATGAAATTGTCAATCAAGTGCTGCATCATGCAGAAGTTTTGAAAAATTATGAATGAATAATAAAAAAAAAGAAAAAATTCTTATTTTTTTCAAACAGCATTTTTTAATTTATATTCAGAATAAGTTGAATAACAAGAAATTGAAAAATATGTCTGATTTACGGTGACAAATGGCGGCTTGTCACCCAATATCATGCAGGGGGAAGACTGATTTCGTAAATATTTTCCCACAGTGCACAGAGACATTTATTACGGAAAAGGCTCTTTGAAAAAAGTTGTAATATTTTGGAGAATTTTTTAATCACACTTTTATCACATAAAAATGGCAGATGACTACATCCCACTGTTTTGAAAATTCAGATACCTAGTATTTTGTTATCCACCATGGAAAATGACAGCTAATAGATAATTTCCCACAGCGAATCAGATATCTGTAATTTCCACTTTTTTCAACTCATTCTGAATCTCAATAAAAACGCTCTTTGAAAAAGTTCAGAATTTTTTCTATTTTTTTTATCATTCTATCATAATTTTTGGGAATTTCTACATGATGTACCACTCAATCGACAATTTTGGATTACGAAGGATGAGAAAAATCCAGATAACATTCGAAAGATAGTACACCCGGGCCTTAAATACTTCCAATGGGTTCTTGCACTTCCCATGGATCAAATGGGAATAAATAATACTTCCCATTGTCACTTTTCCAATGGGATCCACGACTGACTCTCACGAGAATAAAAGGATTTGAAATTTTCTTATTCTTTTCAACAACATTTTTCATTGAAAATGAATAAACTCATATTTTTATTCAATGCAAATGTTTTAATTTTATAGAAAAAAAATCTTCTCTTCATGTTTCCCTCTGGTCTTCATCAATTGCTCTCAAGAGAAATTAATTTCCGACAGAATATGAATTGATTTATCCTCTTAATATTCTAGTTGGTCACGAGATCGTACTACGATGGACCAATCCCAATCGTAACGAAGCCATCATCCCTGGACGAACGTAAGAACGGTGATTTCGAGGACATTGAACATGGAGCGCAACGACTGCCAATGTTCCCGGAAACAAGAGTCAGTCGTTCCAAGTTGACGAATGCCAATTTCATGTATCATTCAGCAGACAAAGGTAAACGAGCATTTGCTTAATCGAGAAAATCGGACTAATTCTTCTGGTTTCATGGACTGCAGTTCTAGGTAGTGGAAACACCAGTAGTTCAAGTGAATCAGTGGCATCGGATTCTCATTTATTCACCCAGGATCTACCGACGAAGCACAAACGCGGGTCTATGATGGGCATGCATTATCCCTCTGGGTACACACAACGCAGCAATCCAGCGATATCAGTGTGAGTGCTGCTATTTTTGTATTGAATTTATTTCTAAGAATACCTCAAATCAAATCGATCGTACACGTTGAAATCGTCGATCAAACTTTTGGCTTTCAGAGTTAATACTTCACCGAGTAGCGGCAGGTCGAGCCCTGGTCAGGGCATCTGGCGAGTGCGAACTCTTTACGCCTGCATGGCAGAAAACGACGGCGAATTGTCATTCGAACCTAATCAAATAATAACAAATGGTTCGATATTTTATCCCTTTTTCATGTTGACGATTTTAACAAGTGGATTGTGTTAGGGGAGGTTGGGGTATAATCGACACTTTTGACTTTTTTAAAAAATGTTAATGACAGGCTGAAATGGTGATGAAATTCTATCATTTTTTTTTCAATGCAAAGAACAATTCTTGCCCTTTGTGATGGGCCTAAACTGAGCTCCATTGATGAATTTTTTTCTGAGTTATGAGTAATTAAAGAAAAGTCTAAAGTGTCCATTTTACCCCACCCTCCCCTAAATCAGTGAAATTGGTAGGTGAAAATGTGGGAAACATTTCGTGTGCAATTCAAAGATCTGTGAAATTGAATGACGATGTCGAGTATTTTGTGGAAAAAATATTTTTATGAGAGAAAAATGGAATTTGGTCATGTTACCCATCAAAACTCATCTCAAAACTGCCATCTGTACTTATGACACATGAATCAAATGTCAAAAACCTCGAATGTATAATCCCCAGTATTATACACATGCCGCAGGCATGTAAATCATAAGGAAAGGGAAGAATTAATTGAACACGAGATAATGAGCACAATATTTAATTCCCAACTCCATAAATACACTTGAGACGTAGAAAAAATCACTGAAAAACGTCAACACTTCTTTAAATTATATTCTCATGAAAAGAATAATTGACAAATATTTTGCAATGATTCGATTAATCAAACTTTGAAAGTCCAAATTGAATTCACACTAAACTTTTTAAAAATCAGGAAAAAATGAGGAATTAAAACTGAAAAAAATACTTGCATATGCTCAATTTATAAATGTATTAATCATAAAAATTGTCTATTCCAGTGAAACCCTCCCTGGAACCCGGATGGCTGGAGGGCACATTGAACGGAAAAACAGGACTAGTACCGAAGAATTACGTAGAACAGTTACCCTAAAGAATGATTACGTGAACCAAAGAATTCACAGACGCATTGTTCACCCCCGTGACACAGCTAAAACATTCCCCTGAATTTTATTTTGTTTTCCCATTTATTAATTATTTTTGTTGCACATTGTTGGTCTCTTTGCGATATTTATTGTTTCATCAGCGATTGACGTGCATAATTCCACTTGCATTTCTGAGCTAGTTTATTTATCGATTACAGCCCGATTTGCTCAAGTACATCGGACACATTATTAATTGTAAATAAATGTAGTCTCTAAAGGGCCCAAGGAAGTGATTAAGGTAATTTATTTAAGTAAAATTTGTATACAAAAGTGTGTAAATTTTGTTGGCATAATCGTCACCTAATTTTAAATCTTCAAAGTATGTAAATAATTGAAGAGAAATTTATATTTATGATAGAATAGTTTTTTGATGAATTTAAATTCTGATAGTATCGCACACTAATGCCATTATTGAACAAAAATCAAGTCCACGTGGACTATTCCAAGGAACAAAAGACAAGTTTTGGTAAATTTTCCAAAGTTATTATTTTATTTACCGTAGTTTCAATATTATATTGGTATATGAATAAACACTGCATTGAAATCACTCCTGCATTAACATTCACACGCGCACCCTCTTCATAAAATAACATTCAAAAACTCCTAGTGTTTTCACTATCCACAGGATAAAGCGTTTTCGAATCTGAATCTCTTTTGGCCTCGAAGTGTTGCCATTCAGACAAATTTATCAAAATGCTTACGATGAAAAAATTGAGAGAACATGCTCCGTTTTTTTTTATCGATATTAGAATGATAAATTGAATTTATGTTCCATTCGCACTTTATTATTCACCTAAATATCAACATATCACAAATTTTCAAAGCATGTGCTCTGAGTAATGACACTTGCTGTGATTGAATCATATCGACTCCTTGAAAAAATATTTTTTCATACAACTATTGAATCGATTTATTGTCTAAGTGAGCTGATAAAATTTTTATTTCCAATACTCCAGTGGCAATACCGTCCGAAAATAAGCGATAGAATCAACATTGAAAATCATTCAATAGAAATGAAAATAATCATCTCTCGAGGATGAACGAGAGAAACTAATGAAATTTCGTACGATTTTGTAAAAGTGCAATTTTTGTATAAGAAAAATAATTTGTAAGAGCACGTGAAAATATAACACTAAATAATGTAAACGTAATCTTTGCTTTCCTTGGTTGTAAAATGTGATGGTAAATGTATTTGATGGAGAGAATGAACATCTCAGGGACTAGGTCGACGATTTCTCCAGATTCGTATTTCTGTTCAGCTGCAAGAGACGCGTTTCCATGGCGAGATAACCGGCTTTGAGGGCATTCCGTTCAACGCAATTCCATATTGAGCTCATGAACAGGGCGTAACAGAGTATTGCTGTGGCCAGGAGTCGGCTAACATTGACGCCAATGTCAACGCCGATCGATCCGTTCGACAGATCGAGACCCATCGACCACATCAGGGGAACTGCCAAGAGTAGACTCGCCAGGAGATACCATATTCGTTGCTTTCGAATTTCCTTGAGTGATGTGTCGCAGACACTGAGTGCCTCTTTCAGGGAACTCCGAATGTCCTTCTCTACCAGTTCATATTTACCTAGAATTATGAAGAAAACTTAAACATTTGGGGTTTTGCATGAGATTTTTTTGGATATTTCGAGGTAAATCTCCAGAAATATTCCACAAAAATCGATTGAGATGGAATTTGAGGTATGGCCCTAGGGCAAAACGTTACTTAATTTCTTATTTTGGAAGAAATGTGATATTGAAAGAATTTTAGGGAATGGGAGAAATTGCCGGAGGGCGGGTTTGAGTCTTTCAACGACCTTTAGGTTTCCAGTCTGAGCCTTTACTCACATAAATTGAATATTATTTGTAAAATTAATTGCAAATTCATTGAAAATTCAATTTTTAAAGGCAATGAAAATTCAATTTGATTTTAAATTCATATTGTTGTTATGTTCGAATATAAAATATAGTTAAATATTTAGGATTTTACTCAAGATTTTAAGGCCAACTAGTTATTTTATTCCTATCGCCAAAATTTATTTCATTTCACATTTTAGATGAAATGTGATTAAACTAAATGCGAAAAATCGCGGGTGTTCAGCTTTAAACTTGGCCTTTACACCCATGAATTGGATATTTTTTGTAAAATTCAGTGAAAATTGAAAATTTAATTTTCTAAAGCAAAGAAAATCCTCGAAATCTACCAAAATCGATCTACAATTAAAATCCAATTTGATTTTACATTCATACTATTATATTAAATTTTACGAATGTATTTGGAAATTCAAATTTAAAAACCCCAAAACCCTATTCTTTAATAATTACCCGGTATCAATTTGAATTCAGCAGCAACAGCTTCATGATCCGAATAGCTGACATTTTCATTCGGAATCCGCGACGGGAAGGGCTGGTGGCACTTCAAAACCTCAAGCTGAAGAAAAAAAGCGCTCATCATAGAAAAATAGTGGAGTTAAGATAATAAGTTATCACAAAGAATATCAAACCTTGAAGTTCTTAGAGCCCAAATATAGAATATGATCGATACGTTTTCCCTGTGGCAACTGTTTAGCGGCTTTCTTCGGTGTATAACTATTATTGGCACACTCACTGGTCCCGACATCGCTATGAATACTTGAGCATGCATCAACCAAGCTGGCAATGCCACTGATTATCTGATATGCCAGGTCCTGGGGGCCTGTATTGAGATCACCACCGAGAATAGTAGCATCAGCCCCTTGCCTCGTCATCCTTATGAACTGGGCCATGTCGAACGCCTGGAGGACTCTGTGGGCCGAGTACTCGTCGTTCTCAGTGTCGTACTCAGCATGCAGCTGGAGAGTATAAAGTCACTCAAGAAAGCATTCAACATTTCCAGGAAATGATTAAAAAGTCAGCAGCACGAGGTGAAACGAGATTGTGGCAAATTCAACTGTCTTTAATGGGCAATATCTCGGGACTGGCTGGGCCAAATCGAGAGATTTTTGTCTCGTCTTCAAGGCACTTTAACAAGCTTCAAAATGAGCCCAAATTCGTACAAATCGAGCCGTTAGGGGAGCCGATATCAGCCGGAGAAGTTACTTTTCCTTTGCCCATCTCGTTTCACCTCTTCAGTACTTGAAATATATTGCGAGGATAATGCAGGACTCACATGTGCCACATAAACATTAATATTAGCATCGTGTACTTTTAGTCGACACAAACCAACCCCCTTTCCCCCGAACCAATCACCGTGGTGGATTTTGTGGACATACCCATTGAGTGACCACTTGTGGAACATAACGTCTTGAATCGGGTAACGTGAGAGAAGGCAAATACCGGAGCCCAGGACTCCACTGAACAAAGGAATAGATCAATAAATTATCTTCTTAAGTATGTAGGCCCCAGTAGGTCGTCCAATTGTGGGGATCAAGCATTTAATTCTGGTGATAATCATCCTGAACAAATTTATTTCGGTCTTTTTGTTTGATTTTTGGCTGAAATTTCTGGTATTCTTTTTGGAAATTCTCATTGCATTACAGTCCCACTGACATTTCAGCGTAATTTGGTCCTGCATATTCATATTTTTGTGGACAATTCAAGTGAGTTGGGAAATTCTCATTCTCCTGCTGCTCAAAAAAATGTCATTTCATTGAATTTTTTGAGAAATCTGAAATTTCATCGCTTTTTCCACTTGAATCAAATGTAATGCCATTCTCCTTAATTATTACCAACTGTCCATGGTATTTTTTTTCCAACAGGCTAAGTATGAGAATTTAATGTGAAAATGGCTGCAGGCTTATCAAAACATTCTTCCTCTTTTTAATGAACACTCGATACAAGGGAATTTATCACAGAGATTCCAATTTGTCGATAACGAATGAATTAGCTCTCAAAACCTCTATCAAGTGAATAAATTCATGATTATGTTGAATTCTAACTAAAAAATATCTGTAAAAGTCTGACATTAACGCAGATGATGAGAAAATTCAGCTAAAATTTTTGTCTTGTTTTTCTCCCAAGTCGACAGAGCACCAAATTATCGATAGATTATCAAAATACTTTATCACAGACTTTACAATTTGTCGATAACGAATGAATGAGCTCCCGAGACCTTTGTCAAGTGAATAAATCCCTGATTATTTTTAATTCTGACTAAAAAATGTCTGTAAAAGTCTGACATTAACCCAGATGATGAGAAAATTCAGCAAAAATTTTCGTCTTGCGTTTCTCCCGAGTATTTAATATCTTACGATTTCACAATCTCGTTCCTGCCAACCAGGATTAACTTGTCAGAATGCACCAGAACTGAAGACCTGCAATGCTCCTGACCTCCCCCAAACCCACCTGTAAAAATAATGGGAATGCGGCAACTTATCCTGCGTCTTGTACTTGATCATGGTGAAGTCATTGACAGACCAGATCTCCTGCAGGCAAACGATATCATAATCTCCAGAGGCCAACTGTTCAGCGATGGCCTTCATCCTCTTGTGGCGATGCCTCGACACATAGGGAATGCCCCTGAATAAATCAAGCACCAAAGAAATCAATTGTCACTCACCTATTAATAGATCAAACCGATACTCCAAAAAGAGCTCCCAAGAGTGTCTCTACACTGATCTACCATCTGACCTCCACGAGAATGACTAAACCCTCGCATTAGTCCTCAAGTAGACACAGCAGCACCAAAAAACCATCAGGGGAGGATGGGGTAAAATGGACACTAGACTTTTTTAAAATTATTCATAACTCCGAAACAAATTTATCAAAAGAGTTGTTCTTTGCACTGAAAAAAAAATTATTGAATTTTATCGATATTTCAAGCCCTCATTCACATTTGAAAAAAAGTCAAAAGTGTCCGTTTTACCCCACCCTCCCCTAAAAAAATCCAAAACTCACCAACAATTGAGTGTCAAAACTCTGAGCAACACCTCCTCAGCCATGATCAGCTGTTCCACCGAATGACACTAACAAATAAATAAACTAAATGAATGACTGATGAATAATCGTAATCCTAGAGGAGAACAGGTGTCACGCGAGCATTGTTGGAAGTAATGACATCGCAGCTGTTAACAACACTTGGGCATTGTAAATCGCTCCAAAAGCCGGACAGAGAAACTATCGACGGGCTTTCGACATCAGTATCTGGAACTCCCGAATAACTACAGACAAATATCGACTCCGGGCACTACGAAGAGGCTACGAAAACGCCTAGAAACCGTTAAAGTCTGTCAACCGACGCCAAAACACTCGAAATAACTCCGGGAAACCGATTCGGGGCACCTCGGAGGGGTCTTCTCCAACGAGTTCGAAGCAAACAAGTGTTTACGGGGGGTGGGGTAGATGGACACATTCCGTTTTGGAACACGTTCTAGGGAAAATGGCGACGGTACGAAGGCGGTGGAAGGGTGGAACAGATGGGCACGGAAATTTGTGCCTAGGAATGGGTGATGTTCGTGATGTTTTAAAAAATCGATTATCGAAGAATTGATGTTTTTCTCATTACACAGGAGACAAAAAAATTGTTAAAAATAATTTTTTTTTTTCTCGTTTTTATTAAAAAAGATATTATGTAAAAATTTCCGTTGAGTGTAATAATTGTTAAAAATTTAAATAAAAAAAACAATAGATGACTGGGATTTTTATAACATACATACTGTAGAAAATAATTACTTCTGATTGCGGATAAATTATTATTCTGTTTATTATCAATTAATCAACATTATTATTCGTCAAAAAAATGAAAAAATTTGTTAGTTTAGTCAGAAACATCGATTCGATCTTTGCAAAAAAGAGTCGAAAATGGATCAATCGGCCGTTGAAAACATCGACTGTAAAACCCGATCTAAGATGCATGAAAAATCGATGTTTTCGATTAATCGACCACCGTTCCGTCTTCCATACTGTCGCCATTTTCCCTAGGACGTGTCCAAAACGGAATGTGTCGATCTGAAATTATAACAAACGACTCCTCCCCAAATTATCGAGCATAAAGACAAATAGGGTAAACAGGTCAATTTCTGGACGGGAGTTAGTTTCTGGACGATTTCAACTCGCATTGAATATTCCACAAATAAAATGAACATTCTACTGACTATTTCACCTGTCAATAATATTACTCGTGGACAATCATGTGGTCAATTATTTTTTCTGTTGATCGACATTTAACAAATGAAAAGAATATGGTCCAGTCGTCCAGAAATTAGGGGTTTCGGCTGCATTCAACTATTTCTCAATTTAATTATTCTTTCTATTCTCGCTTCAAATAATTTTTTTCTGCTAATTAAGTGAATCTTGAAGATCTGGAAGCCATCGTCTCCCCATTTAGGTGATTTTCTTATTTTAGGTAGAATTGGCCTTGGAAATTAATGCTGACTCCCGAGAGGTTTTTCTCGGGCTCTTCGTCATGAGTTCAAGGTAATGGGTGAATCCCCATCACGAGGTGTGATTATTCGACCGAGAAATGCCCGCGAGGGATGAGATCCCCAGTTTAATGCCCTTTGGAGACACAGAGCACAGTTGGACCGACGATCTGCCGGTCTGCAAAGAATCTGGTGAGCAGAATAGAGCTCGAGGGAGCTAAATGGACACTTCAGATTTTATTTCCAATGTCAAAATTCAATTCAACTTCTTCAATTGTTGATGAAGTGGAATAACTTTCCTTTTCTTGAAGAGTACACATCTTTCCCTTTGCAATGAATATCAAACTCAATTCTATTATTTTATTGTTATTATTATTGTTATTATTATTATTCTATTGTTATTATTTTTTGTTGACTGAATTGATCAATTGAGTCGTCTGGACTCAATTGATTAATTCAGTGGCGAAGAGCTAAAATGGTTTAAGTCGACTCATCTCCCACTCGAGTTTTTGAGGAATATTTCCGAATCTAAGCGAGATAGCGAAATTTTGGTGATTACATTTATTGCAGCTCTCAACCGGCTCTACAAAAAAGGTTATAAGAAAAAAATTTCTATCTCCCTTAGGTTCTGAGATATTCATTGAAAACTGGTCAATAGTCAAAATTGACTTGTACGGTTTTACCACTTCGCTACTGAATTTATTCCTGAGTTATGAATATTAAAAAATGTCTCTGAAGAGTCCATTTTGTCCAGCTTCTCGTAACTAGTTTTATCTCCCTGGAATTACGTGATTTAACGCTTTTTCATTGATGCTCTATTTTTGTGGAACTGAAAAGGCGTTGGTCTCTCCACGAATCAGATATACAGAGAGGATGGGTACAGACAGGAGGATCACCCCTTCGAGGACCGGAGTTTTCACTGCAAATACGATGACAGCACATTCTTGTACGGAATTTTCGATGGCCATGAGGGAACGAGAGCTGCCAATTTTACACTCCAGAGAATGGCTGCGGAGATATTGCTGGGGCAGTTGACTGGGAAAACTACTGATGAGGAAGTCAAAGAAGTCTTGAGGTAAATTAATGAATAGATGAATAAACGAAAAATATAAAATCACTAATCTTCATTAAAAACCGATTGATTTGTCTTCTAATTGGGCTCTTATTTTTTTAATTATTGTGAAATCCAAGAGGTAATACTGAAATTTTCATGGCGTCATGATAACAATTTCGTTATCTTCTTGGATTTCGAAATATTAATAAAAACCGAGGACTTGAGAACAATTTTATTTCACTAATGAAGGGAAGATGAATTCTACAAAAATATTTCATAGGCGAAAGGAGTTTTTTAAAAATTAATTCTTCATCGATCCATCGATTTTTAATTTATTCATTGTTGAACTCGTTTATTTTGAATTCATTTGTTTCTTTATCAGTTATTTTTATTACTTAATTTTTGTTTTTCCTCAAGGGCAAGTGCAGCAACAGGGAAATTCTTGGATTTTCCTCTAATGTTAATAACTCGTTTAATTTTCATTCAAAACGATATTTGTTTCTATGGAAAAGTAGCGATAGCCGTATTCATAAATCATAGTTACCGTTCAATTTTGAAGCCGTCAATTAGTTAACATCACTCTTGAACTTTTAATTATTCAAGTAATTCGTCAAATTAAATATTCAAATTTTACCTACTTTATTAATCAATAATTTAGGTAGGAAGATTGCCGATTATTTCGTTAATCGATAATCCCCTTTAAGAAATTAGAAATATTCACTTAATGCAAAATTTACAGTTCTATATTATCTAATATTTAAACTATTAACATTATATTATTTTAAAATTTTGATGAGTATATTTAAACATTTATCAATGTAAGCCGCAAATCGTTTTAATATTGAAGAAATATAATTTGATGGATATCCCTGCGGAAAATACAATCATTTGCCTTCATAATGACTCTGAACTGTTCTCAATTCCTTAATTTGTCTCTGATCTGACCTGAAATTCCCTATAAAAATTTCCCCACCTCAAAAAAAAGGGTTGAATTACTTTAATTTTTCATGCATCTGAAACAATTGCAGACAAGCCTTCATCGCAGTGGAGCGTGGCTACTTCGACTCGATAGGAGAGGTCTTAGCCGAACGTACAAGCCTCCAATTCGACATACCAGACGGTTTGAACTCCTACGAGGCATATCAGAAATTCCCCGAGGTAGTCGACAAACTGAATGAACTCAACGGCGAGCTCTCGGCAGGAACTAGTGCCATAGTTGCTTTAGTGTACAGGAATCGACTGTATGTTGCCAATGTTGGGGACAGTCGAGCACTTTTATGTAAAACTGATGACAATCAAGTGTTGAGAGTCGTTCAGCTGTCGATTGACCACGATTTGAGGAATGAGGATGAGCTCTTGAGATTGTCACAGCTGGGGCTGGATGTCAAATCGATTAGACAAGGTACTTTCCCTCTGAATTATTATTGCAATGAACTCAGAAATGAAATTCTTAATCCAGGAATTAATTCAGCAGCGAAGTGGTGAAGCGGTTTATGTCGACTTATCTCCCAGTTGAGTTTTTGAGGAATATTTCCGAATCTAAGGGAGATAGCAAAATTTTCATAATTACATTTGTTGTAGCATTCAATCAGCTCTACAAAAAAGGTTATAACAACGATTCCGCTATCTCCCTTAGATTCCGAGATATTCAATGAAAACTTATCAATAGTCAAAATTGACTTATACCGTTTTACCACTGCGCTACTGAATTTATGAATTCAGGAATAATTTTTTGGATTAAAAAATGCATTATTCGTCTCAAGAACGAAGTTATTAATCGAAGGATTAATTCCAATTGAATTAAAAAAAAAAATGACTCATGTTTTTATTGAATTGAAGGTTCTCACCTGGGAAATCAGGAGAACACTCGCTGCTTAGGGAATTGGCTGGTGAAAGGAGGGTACAGGGAGTTTGAGGAGTTGGCACCAGCCATTGCAGAGCCGATAATAGCAGAGCCAGAGATCCTGGGAGGAATTGAACTCGATGAATCCTGCAGATTTCTCCTTCTGATGTCTCGAGGGCTGTACAAATCTTTGGAGGAAGCTACTGGCACTGATCAGGTCAACAAAGAGTTGGCGCTGATGGCAGTGGAACAGGTAAATTTCTCAGATCTACTCAGATGAATCGACATCAACACATGGGCAAATCAACATTTCATTTATTTTTATTTTACAAAGACGCAACAACACACAACCAATTACAGGATGAAATTAAATATACATCGAGTATAATAATGGGGTTCATAATATCTACAGTTCAACTCATGCTCATGATCGAAAGCATTTTTTACATTATACTTATTTTATAAAAGTTCATATCTTCCATTGTTGATTGAATATTTATTAAAAAAATAATCGCTAAATTCATCAACAATACAGAATGAAATATTCACAAATTTTGCGGTAGAGAAATAGTCTGAAAATTCCAATTGACCCATCATTTTCGATTGGAATTAAACATTAGGAGGCACTTTTCTCAGGTAAATTTTCATGTTTATGAAATATTCCCTGGAATTGGCATTAAAAAACAATATAATTTTATTGAAAGAAAAAATATTCTGAGAATTAAAAGTTGCCGTATTTTCCATTTTCGATTAAGGATTCACCTAATTAGTCAGTAGTGTGAGGAGAAAATATCAAAAAACGCTTTGGATAGAGAATTTTTCAATCTTTGAAAAAGATCTTGTCGTTTTTCTGTAGAATCACTAGTTCTCAAGATGAATGCGAAATTCCCCAATAACAATTGCGCTTCAAAAAAATTAATTCAATTTCATTTTTTATTCCCCAGTTTCGAATTCAATCGACTATAACAGGCGTATCCCAGGCAGTAGTCGACAAAATAGTGAGAATCCACCACGACGTAAACATGAGCAATCCCGAGAGCAGCCAGACGAGTGGTAAACGCGAGGACATCACCCTCCTAGTTCGAAACTTCAATTTCCCCCTGCCCCATGCCCTCAAGAGTCCGACAATAGGACAAGTGCGTTTCAATCCAATAGTGCAAACAACTGTTGCCAGTGGTCAGGACAATTACTCCAGTATCAGTACAGTGGCGAGTAATGATAACTTCGATCCGTCCAGCAACGAGACCTCCAGCACTTCGGAGTTATATCCACCAGGAGCCAAACCACCGGACAGAAACGCCAGGATAAAGCCTTATGTGGACTTTACTGAGTACTTCGACAATGTTGAGAGGCGGAGGGAGGGAGGAACTCTCCCCGAGGGTATCGATTTTTAACTTGCTGTGATCTTAGGTCCGGGGAATAGGTAATTTATTTTGTTTCAGTGTTAATAAACGTGTTTGCAGCACTTTCTGTTGACTCATTTGGATATTGCATTCGATAATTTTATTCAGATTAATGATAAGAAAATAGTGGAGAAATCACGAGCTAATAATTCATCGATGATTAATTATTCCAAGGAATAATTTAGTAGCGAAGTGGTAAGAGGAGTCAATTTTAACTATTGACCAGTTTTCAATCAATATCTCGGAATCTAAGGGAGATAGCAAAATTTTTGTTATAACCTTTTTTGAGGGGCCGATTGAGTGCTACAACAATTGTAATCACGAAAATTTCGCTATCTCCCTTAGATTCGGAAATATTCCTCAAAAACTCGAGTGGGAGATGAGTCAACTCATCTCCGTTTACCACTTCATTGCTGAATTCATCTGATTCCACCAAAAAATTGAAAAAATTGAAATTCTAAATGGAATAAAAGACGATTGACGAAGGAATCGCAGAACTCTTGAAGTAAATCAATCATGACAATGTCAATGAGAAACAATAGAAGTCACTTCTGCCATCAATTTGTCCCTGTCCTGTTCTCCAGGAAATATTTTAAAGATGAAGTTACAGTTTCCACTCCGCTTCTCCAAGAATCTTTCCACGAAAATTATTAATTCATTTCAGTTTCAGAAAAATAATAAATTTTGTCAGTACACGTGAAAACAGGACTTCGTTTCGACTTAGCTGGACATTTTATTCGATAATATCGCTCAGTTTATTCTGCGAAAACTCCTTTACAAGGAGCCTTTTGCGTTCCTTCTGCAAAAAAAATTATGCAGATATTTTCTAGAGGTATTTCGTGGGCATACACTTGAGTCTATCGTAAGCAGCCCTCTCCAGGCACTCCCTGTGCTCTGGATGAGCAATTTGAATCAGTGCACAGGCCCTTTGCCTCAGAGTTTTTCCGAATAACTGGGCTACGCCGTGTTCTGTCACCACGTAGTGAGCGTGAGCTCTTGTGGATGTCACTCCTCCTCCTGAAATAATTACCATCATAAATTGATTAATTCAGTAGCCAAGTGGTAAAAGGAGATAAACCAATTTTGACTATTGACCATTTTTCAATCAATATCTCGGAATCTAAGGGAGATGGCGAAATTTTTGTTATAACCTTTTTTGTGGAGCCGATTAAGAGCTGCAACAAATGTAATCACCAAAATTTCGCTATCTCCCTTAGATTCCGAGATATTGATCGAAAACTGGTCAACAGTCAAAATTGGTTTATCTCCTTTTAGCACTTCGCTACTGAATTCGTCTTAATAGAATCCCCATTACGATGATTAGGGGCTTGAGGCCTCACCGCACTTGAGAGCAGGCTGAATTTTGCTTTCTCCACAACTCGTCACCGATGGAAATGCAACGATTGATTTTCCCCTGCCATCTGCGCAGATTGCAGAGCCTCGGAGGAAGTCCAGTTGTCCACCAACTCCAGAGTACATTTTGTATCCTAAACTGTCAGCGCAGATCTGACCAGTTATGTCCATCTCTATGCAGGAATTTATCGCTGTCATTTTTGGCTGCGAGGAGATTACTCGAGGGTCGTTCGTGTAGTCAATTCCCAGCATTTCTGGGGGAAATTTAACTCTTTAGAATTGCGAATTAAGTGGCAATGGTAAAATGGCATTGAGTGCATTTTTATGTTGTTGTTTATGTCGTCGAAGGAGAGAATTCATTCAGGAAATTCCTTTTTTATTGAGATTTTTGTGGGGAGCAAAAGTCTCTTGACATTTTCTGATAAACTAAGTGGTTTTGGAGGTGTTTGTTTTTTACGCCATTCCTGTATAAAATCCATAGATTGTGATTTTTCTGTGGAAATTCATGGGTGTCAATTTTCCAAGTTTTTAAATTTATTTTTCATAAGAAAAGCCAAGAAACAAAAACTTATAAAATTAATTGCCAAGAATTCCTATAGAAAAATCAGCATCTGTAGACATTTTTATATAAATAAATATCTATTTAAAAATGCATGGGAAGTTGCATTATTTTTGATAGAACTCGCGAAAAAAACAAATGGATAGAAATTTTCCAGGTTTTGTCGTTCTATTTTTCTTTTCTTCTCACCAAGAACTTCAAACATAAAACTGGGACAATGGGAGTCGAGGGATTCTATAGAACATTTTCAATTGAGCACTTCAATAGAATCCAGCAAAATCTAAGAGGAAATTCAATAGAAATCCAATAGAATTATCTACTGAATTCACTACGTTTTTCGATATTTAAAATTATCATGAAAGTCAGACGATTTCGTCGCATCACTTTGTTTCTGGTGTTTTAACAGGGATAGCCAAATTAATAATATTTAATTACCGTTAAATATTGTAGCCATCAATTAGTTGACACCACTTTAAATTTTTTGAGTACTTAAGTATCACCAATTCAAATATTCCAATTTTGAATCATTTTATCAATCAATAATTGAGGTAGGATTGATGATTATTCGTGTAATCGAAAATCCCCTTTTAAGAAATTTGAAGTATTCACTTAGTGGTAAATTTATAGTTTCATATTAACAAATTTTAAATACATCATTATTTAAAAAAATCAGATTATTAATATTATATTATTTTAAAAATTGGATCAACATATTATGGGCCTTCATTAATGTAAGGGTCAAATTATTAAAATCAGTAGCGAAGTGGTAAAAGGAGATAAGGGAGGGTGGGGTAAAATGGTCACTTTTTACTTTTTAAAAAATATTCATAATTCAGAAACAGATTTGTCAATTGAACTCAGTCTAAGCTTATCACAAAGGGAAGAATTGTGCTTTCAATTGAAAAATAAAATTATTCCATCTCATGAACAATTCAACACGTCATGAGCATTTCAGAAAAAGTCAAAAGTGTCCATTTTACCCCACCCTCCCCTAAATCAATTTTGACTATTGACCAGTTTTCCAACAATATCTCGGAATCTAAGGGAGATAGCAAAATTTTTGTTATAACCTTTTTTGTGGAGCCGATTGAGTGCTACAACAAATGTAATTACTAAAATTTCGCTATCTCCCTTAGATTCGGAAATATTTATCAAAACCTCAATTGGGACTTGAGTCGACTTATCTCCGTTTACCACTTCACCACTGAAATAATTTGATTTTTTTACAGAAATTTAACATTGGTGGCGATCCCTGCTTTAAATTACCGAGAGCAGGATTATTATGGATGTAATCATAGAGTTTCTTAGTTCCAATGCCCAGCGCAGCCACAATCTTCCCACGATGTCTCTTCTTATACTTGTTCGTGACCACTCCCTTCTCAGCGAGGTCCACCATGCCTTAAAAGTCAACAAAATAACGACCAAAGAATTCATTGATCTCATTGTATGCATTTGATTACTGCGTGATATTAATTTTGAGTCTGCACCTTCACTCATCAGTTCCGTGTGCACCCCGATGTCCTTGTGATTACTCAAGGAGCAGAGGATAGCATCGGGAATGTTGCCGAGACCCAGCTGAAGAGTGGCACCGTCCTCTACCAGTCTCTGGGCCACAATCTTCCCGATTTCTGTTTCTATCTCGTTCGGGGGAGTTCCACTGACGCAGGGCAGGGGACAATCGAATTTAACTGCGTAATCTATGTGACTCGAGTGGATCACAGCGTCGCCGAAGGATCTTGGCATGTGGTCGTTCACTTGAGCTAGAGGATTTCATGAAATGAGAAGAAATCGATTTTACGTCATTTAATCCTGGAAGATAAATTTAGAATTTATCCTACATTCGCTCTGGTGAAAGAATAAGAAAAAAACCTCTTGTTGTGCTAGAAATGACATTTCTTGCGTCTACAGAGAATGCAATTTTTTTTGAACGACTAAATCTATTTTTGCGACAAAAATTTTTCATTCCGGCGCACTCTCTGCATGTTTGGCCCAAAAAAATCCTTTTTTGATCATTTGCAAAAAACTATTTTCTTGGCACAAGTAAGACTTGTTTGAGAATTTTGTCGTTTTTCTCTCAGTGCACTTCGCCACTGAATTCAACGTAAACCGTTGACCGCTCCGCTCTCAACTCACCAACGATAATTTTCGCTGTGCACAAAGCAGCCCTCGTGCAGTCCACACTGGTCCCGAGTGAGCAGAACCCTCGCATATCCGGCGTACTAACATGAATGAAGGCAATGTCCGGAGAAATGGTCCCCTCGTAAAACAACTTGGGAATTTCATGATGGAAAACGGGAATATAATCAGCTCGACCGTCGTTAACAGCGTCCCTCAGGTTGGAGCCGATGTAGAAGCTGATGGATCTGAAGTGTTCTGATTTCAAGTTTTAAAATGAACTAAAGACTCGATACATTTGACGGGGATTAATTTCAGGGGATAATCGTACTCTCAAATTCGGGATTGCTGAATGGGGCGTCTCCCTCGAGGGCCATGTGGAGGAGTCGGACACCTCGGAGATTATTGCAGACTCCGTGCTCTGTTAGTGCTCGGACGAGCTCCAGAGGGGTGGCTGCACCACCCTGGATGAACACCAGGTGCTCTAGAATAATTCAACGAAATTATAAAATAAATAAAAACAAAACTAATAAAATTCGCGGGATTGATTACGCACGAAAAAACATTACAGAAAAACCTAGAGAATTTGATGACAAATTCTATTGGATTTCTGTTGAAAATTCAATTAATTTTTTTTTAATTTTTAACGGAATTTATTGCAAGAAAATTACAAACAAAAAAAATTTTTTTTCTTACAATAGGCCATCGCCCGAGGGCTTTCAGCCGTAAATTCAATTATTTTTCGACTCTTCTATCGAAAAATTCCGCAGCTCTACCGCGCGTTTTTTAAAGAAACTGTCAAATAAAAACTATTTTACAGAAAGGAACAATAGAATTTCATGTTTCTATAATTCTTTTTCTACAGAAATTCTCGGCATTAATTTTCCAAGTTTTTTTCACTCTATTTTCCTTCTTTCATTAAAAAAAAAAATTTGAACCTAGAAATTTCTATTAAAAATTTCCGAATAGAATAAGTTATATAAGAGAATTATTTTCTATTAATTTTTTCCGTAGAAAATATTTTTCATTGCACATTTCTATTGAAAAAAAAACAGTGCAGACTGAAAAAATGTTCAATAGAATTAGCCAAGAATTAATAAAAACTCCAATAGAAATCCAAATTCGCTAGATTTTTCTATGAAATTTAATCGTACGTGATTTTCTCGGTCACAAAATTCACCTGAATTGACAATTTTAACAGCATCCTCGACGCAAACCCATCGCGGACACCTCCTCAGAGCCAGTGAAGGTTCCCTAAGACCCCTGACACCCCCCAAACCCCACGCCCTACCCCCCAAAAATCCCCCCACACTCCTCACCAATTTAGAAAACATGTTGATAAAAATCGAAAAAGTATCCAAATAATTCACATAAATTTTGTAGCCTCATAATAACATAACAAAACTGTCACCATAAACCCTGAAATGTGCTGTTTCATCGATTAACAACACTCGATAGGTATTTGTTTCAATAACTCTGACTTTATAGAAACACCTCGACGATAAAATTAAAACTAAAATCCTCGGAATGGCATACAAAAATGGCAATAAGCGCGATATAAAAACAGTGTTCCTTTATTCATCACTTAAACTCTAAGAACATCATCCTTTATCATTTTGTACCTTATCTCTCATCTTTATACAGTGATTTTCATGTTAACATCGAGGAGATTGGAGTAAAATGAACAGTTTTGACAGTTCCGAAAGCATTTCCCACTGAAAAACACCACTAACAATCCCCAAAGTTGATGAAATTCTTTCAAAACGTGAAAATGCTCATTTTCCCCGGCCCTCCCCAAATTACGAATGGACTATAGTACATCTTACTGAGAAAATCAAATCAACTCAATTGTTCTTCCTAGCTCTTGTCCCCTGTAGATACGAAACAAGAGTGATCACGAATTATTAGAATTGTAAGAAAGAAATTCTGAAATGCATGATGTTAAGGCAAGGACAGAGCCCTAAATTACACTCTAGAAGCCTTGAAAATTATGTTCAAGGCTCTGGCATCCCTTTGAGACGCTCGAAGGCAGCTTTTTCGAGGGTCTCCCTGTGGTCTGGATGTGCTACCTGGATCAGCGCATGAGCCCTCTGCTTCAGAGTCTTCCCGAAGAGACTGGCTATTCCGTGCTCAGTCACGACGTATCTCACGAGAGCTCGGCTCGTCACAACTCCAGCTCCATGTTTCAGCATTGGGGTGATCTTACTCGTCTTTCCATCGGCCGTTGTCGAGTTCAAGGCGACTATCGGCTTGCCCAGGGCATCCTCACTCATCGCAGCGCCTGTCAGGAAGTCCACTTGCCCACCGAAACCCGAGTACATCCTCGTTCCAATACTGTCGGAGCAAATTTGCCCTGTCAGGTCCACCTCGATGCACGAATTTATACACGTCATTTTTGGCTGCTTCGCGATTATCCTCGGGTCGTTCACGTAATCGACGACCAACATTTCTGGAGAAGAAGGGGACGTCGTATTAGGCTCGATTATGACAATGGTTAATGTTGGCATTGGGTAATTGAGGGTCACTGTTGGGGTCTGATAAGAAAATTGGTCTTCGAGATTTTTTTATTTTACTTGAGGATCTGATTTTTAGGAAATATTGTCTTCTTGTTTTCTTGTATTTTTCCCTTAATTTGGTTTATTTATTTACTTTTATCGTGAAGGATAAATTTCAGTGAATATGTTGATTGGATCAATTAATTGCAAATTAAAATTTTTTTTTCCTCAATGCACGAGTTTATACGTCATTTTTGGCTGCTTCGCGATTATCCTCGGGTCGTTCACGTAATCGACGACCAACATTTCTGGAGAAGAAGGGGACGTCGTATTAGGCTCGATTATGACAATGGTTAATGTTGGCATTGGGTAATTGAGGGTCACTGTTGGGGTCTGATAAGAAAATTGGTCTTCGAGATTTTTTTATTTTACTTGAGGATCTGATTTTTAGGAAATATTGTCTTCTTGTTTTCTTGGATTTTTCCCTTAATTTGGTTTATTTATTTACTTTTATCGTGAAGGATAAATTTCAGTGAATATGTTGATTGGATCAATTAATTCCAAATTAAAATTTTTTTTCCTCAATGCACGAGTTTATACGTCATTTTTGACTGCTTCGCGATTATCCTCGGGTCATTTACGTAATCGACGACCAACTGTTCTCTAGATAACAGAGGAACAATTACGTTTGATTATGTAAATGGTTGAAGTTGGCAGTGGGTAATTGAGGGTAATTGTTGGGATTTGATAAGGAAATTGGTCTTGAAGACTTTTTATTTTACTTGAGGATCTGCTTTTGGGGAAACATTTTGTTATTAATAAAAAATTTTGTCTTGAAGAATACCGCGAAATTAAGACTCTACCTATACCTTAAAAAAGATGAAAAAATTTACTGAGATTTCCTCATTAATTTTTTCATCTCGTTTACTTCCTCTTCTTCTGTTCGTTATCTACTCCACGAAATAATTATTACTCATTTGAATTGGATCAATTAATTCAATAACGAATCATTTTTTTTGGTTTTTAAATTTTTTCCCTCGTTACACTCAACGCCTCAACTGGACTTTAATACCACTTTAAAATAAAAAAATGCTCACCAATGAAGGGATTATTGTTCATGAAATCGTAGAGCTTCTGTGAGCCAACGCAGAATGACCCAACAATTCTCCCCCGGTGAATACTCTTCTCGTTATTCGTGATGCAACCCAAGTTGACAAGGTCTACTACACCATCGCTGAACATCTCACTGTGAATTCCCAAATTCTTATGTGACTTTAATTGCGCTAATACTGCGTCCGGGATACTGCCAATGCCTAATTGCAGTGTTGCGCCATTGTCCACCAGGTTTTCCGCAATGTGCTTGCCAATTGCCTGTTCTTTGTCGGTTGGGGCCTTGACAGGGTGGGCTGGAAGAGGACCATTGTGCTCGACAGCAAAGTCAATGTGGCTCTTGTGGATTATAGCGTCTCCAAACGTCCTCGGCATGTTCTGGTTCACTTGAGCTGCAGACGAACGAAAACGAGAATTAAGAGTCAATCATGATTGATAAAAAAATTTAATTCAATTAAAACATTTTTTTTCCCTTCACTAATAGAGAAAAATGTTTTGATCAATTCGATAAAATTCAGTAGCGAAGTGGTAAAACGGCTCAAGTCGACTTAGCTCTCATCTGAGTTTTTCAGGAATATCTCCGAATCGAAGGCAGATAATGAAATTTTTGTAATGACCTTTTTTGTAGAGCGAATTGAGTGCTATAGAAAAGGTCTCGTCAAAAATTTTGCTATCTCCCTTAGATTCTGAGATATTCATTGAAAACTGGCAAATAGTCAAGATCGACTCAAACCGTTTTACCACTTCACTACTGAATTTGAAAACAGCAAATCGAAATAGTTATCGAGAAAATAAGAAAAAGCGATTTTCACTTGTCTTCATTCTCACGATTTATTTTTATCCATCGTGAATTTTACTTTTTGCGTAAATTTTTGGTTCAGTTTTCTTTTTGAGAGGGCGATAAAGGGGCTTGATGATTCTCACCAACAATTTTCTTGGACTTGATCAACGCAGATCGCACGCAATCCACACTGGTACCCAGTGAGCAGTATCCCTTGCTGTCTGGTGGTGTCACGTGGATGAGTGCAATGTCTGGCCTCATGTGGCCACGATCGAAAATCTTGGGAATCTCGTGGAGAAATATTGGAATGGCGTCTGCGTGGCCCTCGTTAACTGCCCCTCTGACATTTCCACCGATGAAGAAGCTGACGGATGTGAAGTGTTCTGTGAATTCACGAGCATTAATTAGAGGTGAAGTAGTTGTTGTGGATTATAATTCTCATGTTCTTGGTAATTTAGGATCACTAATCTTGAGAGGACATGGGGAGAGGTATTTTTACCAGAAGGTGTCGAGAGACTACACTGAGAGAAAAACGACAACGTTCTCAAACAAGTCTTACTTGTGCCAAGAAAATAGTTTTTTGAAAATTATCAAAAAAGGATTTTTTGTGCCAAACATGCAGAGAGTGCGTCGGAATGAAAAATTTTTGTCGCAAAAATAGATTTAGTAGTTCGAAAAAAATTGCATTGTCTGTAGACGCAAGAAATGTCATTTCTAGCACTACTCCTTCGTTACTCGATACTCGCATACGTATTTTGCTCCCGAAAAATCTTTGTTTTATGCGAAACAAGGGAAAGTAGTTTTTCGTTTCGGCTGTCTAATAATCACAGACAACAAATGAACCCTCAAATGAAACAATAATAATGATATGATAGCAATCTTGTAACTTGGGGATAAAATATTTGTTGATAAATTTTCCTCTGTATGAGATATTTTCATCCTGAAAAGGCACCGTCTGGTGTGAATTATCCGCCTCTTGCGCCAAATATTTCGTTGCTGCCGAAAGCAGAACAATCATTCATGTTTGAGACTTTCAAATTCGAACCAAACAAATTCTTTTTTGGCAATTTTCAACTAGCGATTTTGTTGGCCCAAACAAGATTTGTTTGACGTATTTGTTTTTCTCCTAGTGTAGTTCTGTGATTAAAAAAATTTCTAGCAAAAAATCCTCTCCACAAATCCTCCTAAAACTCCTCACAATGCAGATAATATCCCCTCAAAAAAATAAAGGATCACGTGTGTGCAAATGTTTTAAAATTTTCAAGACATATCAATCTCCAGACAAATGCCCACCTGAAAAAACCATAAATAAAAATCTCACTTGCGTTTTCCTTCTTCGCAAATGGTGCAGCTCCCTCAAGATGCATATGACAGAGTCGAACATTTCGTACATCGGCTTTGACCCCATATTCAGTCAGACCCCGGCACAGCTCGACTGGTGTGGCAGCTGCTCCCTGAACAAACACTATCTGATCTGCAAGCACAACGAAAAAAATAAACCATTAACAAAAGTCTGCAATCACTTCAGAATTAATTTTATGAAAAAATTCGAAGGTCTCGCCTTCGAACCGCCCAGCGCAAAAGTCCAATGGCCTTTGAATTAATCGCTGAATGAAATAAACAAGCAAAATAGACAAGAGAAAAATATCTCCTCTCGAGGCACCCCTGCACGCATGAACGAGTAATATCAGCATTTAGAAATAGAAAATGCGGGGGAACAAGTGCAGATAAATAATATCGATCATAATATGTTTGCAGTGTACGTCCCAATGAGCAAAGTGAGGAAGTAGCCTTGTTCTTGTGACCTCAAATGTTCCTTCACACACATTCTGATATCCCGCATTTATCAATCTCTTCTGGTATTGAGATCCCTCATCCGAATCAATTCGTAAATAATGTACATAAAGAGGATATAAACTCTTTTAATCGTTGGGTCGGGTGTCAGGGGTCAGGACCCCTCACTAAACTTGAGAGTCACCACACCGTGGACGCATGCAGATTAAACCCCCATCAATCTCCTGAATTGCTAAACGTTGACGATACTATTACTCGAGTACGTTAAATAACGAGTAAAAAATCCAATTCACATCTGCCATTGAACCCAGTCCAATTATGATGTAATTTTAATCACTAAAAATTTGTAAATATCTCGTTATCCAAGGATAACAATTAATTACCCGCAAAATATCAGAATAATATCTCAATGAGATGACGTTTACTGTTGTTTCATCCCTGAGATAAGCAAAATTACGCGGAGAATTTATTGAGAAGAGTCACCCAAGGCCGAAAGCTCCAAAGTATGTGTTTCCAACCGTCTGATATTGATACTCAGGTTAAAAAAAAATTCAATGACGTCGTGACTGCGAACAATGGACTAATGACTGATTGACTAATTGACGAAATGTTGAGATAGTTCATTGTTAAACGTCCCAGTCCAATTATGATATAATTTTAATCATAAAAAATTAGGATTAATAAAGGATAACAAAATTAATCAATTACATCAATTAAATAATTAATTGCATTAATTACCCACAAAATATCAGAATAATATCTCAGTGAGATGACGTTTACTGTTGTTTCATTCCTGAGATAAGCAAAATTACGCGGAGAATTTATTGAGAAGAGTCACCCAAGGCCGAAAGCTCCAAAGTATGTGTTTCCAACCGTCTGATATTAATACTCAGGTTAAAAAAAATTCAATGACGTCATGACTGCGAACAATGGACTAATGACTGATTGACTAATTGACGAAATGTTGAGATGGTCACATAAAATAAGAGTAGGAACATCCAATTCACATCTGGCATTGAACCCAGTCCAATTATGATATAATTCTAATCACAAAAAATTAGCAAACAGTTTGTTATCCGAGGATAACACTCAATCACCCTCAAAATACCAGAATAATAGCTCAATGAGATGACGTTCGCCGTTGTTTTATCCCTGAGATAAGCAAAAATATGTGGAGAATTTACCGAGAAGAGTCGCTCAAGGCCGAAAGCTCCAAAGTGTGTATTTTCATTCGTCCGATATTAATACTCAGGTTGAAATAAAATTCACTGACGTCACGACTCCGAACAATGGACTAATGACTGATTGAGTAATTGACGAAGTGTTGAGACAGTCGCATTCGTCAACCTTGAAACGATTCTTTTTTAAACCCTATAAGTGCATCAGTGCCACAGTATCACCTTGTGGAGACCTAAATAGTGGTGCCAAGCCCCCACGGTGCTTTTAATAGAATGACAAACAGCTGATGATGCATGGTCACTCGGTGAACCTTCAAAAAAGGTACACTCAGAGAAAAACGACAAAGTTGTCAAACAAGTCTTACTTGTGCCAGGAAAATATTTTCTCTCTATATAAATAAAAAAATAGGGCGAAAAATTCAGGGGACGCTTAAGTTCAGGGACGCTGAGGTGCCTATATTTATAAGGGATGTCTACATGAGGGGGTGGTCATAAAGAGGATATCGATATTTATGGAGCATTACTATATTAGGGGGTGCTCATATGGAAGATGTTTATGGGTACGGTCACACGGACGGGGGGGGGGGAGCGAAGCGAGCGAGGGGGCGAAGCCCCCCCGGGTTGACGAGCGAGGGGGCTAAGCCCCCCGGGTTAGCGAGCAGGAGGCGAAGCCCCCCATTTTGAAAATGATCAAAAAAGGATTTTTTTGTGCCAAACATGCAGAGAGTGCGCCGGAATGAAAAATTTTTATCGCAAAAATAGATTTAGTAGTTAAAAAAAAATTGCATTCTCTGTAGACGCAAGAAATGTCATTTCTAGCACTACTCCTTCGTTATTCGATACTCCCATACGTATTTTGCTCCCGAAAAATCTTTGTTTTATGCGAAACAAGGGATAGTAGTTTTTCGCTTCGACTGTGTACTAATTACAGACAACAAATGAACCCTCAAATGAAACAATAATAATGATATGATAGCAACCTTGTAACTTAGGGATAAAATATTTGTTGATAAATTTTCCTCTGTATGAGATATTTTCATCTTGAAAAGGCACCGTCTGGTGTGAATTATCCGCCTCTTGAGCCAAATATTTCGTTGCTGTCGAAAGCAGAACAATTATTCATGTTTGAGACTTTCAAATTCGAACCAAACAAACTCTTTTTTGGCAATTTTTAACTAGCGATTTTGTTGGCTCAAACAAGACTTGTTTGACAACGTGTTTGGTTTTCTCTCAGTGTAGGTATGAAGTAATCGTGAGGTGAATCGATACTCCCTCTGCTCTGAACCGAATAAATTAGCTAAGTTTTCGAGGAATATCTCCGAATCCAAGGAAGATAGGGAAATTTTTCTAAAGAAAAAAAAATGTCACGACGAACCTTTTGTTGTCTACTTTGGATTCCGAGATATTTATTGAAAACTGACCGAAAACAAAGGGAGTTGAACCGTTTTTAAATCGATTTTTCGCTCCGCTGCGAAACTGTGACCCGCAAAAATTCATTGTGCACTTCATGTGAGTGAAGAGATAAGATTAAGTCAGAACAAATGTTCAAGAGGTTTGATGAAGCCTATCCAGTGGATCAGACATGCAAATAATTTAACGGCTTTGATGTAAATTCATGAACTGCATACGTAATCCTTGATCAAAGGTCGGCGGAGATGTGAAGATTTATTTTATTCATGTTATTTTGTTGATGGTGATTATGCTCGGGCGAATCACTGGATTCAGACAAAGACGAATGGAAATTATGAGAATAGTAATTCTATTTTTAATGCAAATAGAAATGTAAAAATGGAAAATGTGTAAATATCATATGGTTTGAAGAAATAATTTGTATCTTGAATCTTCTCTTTTGAATGCTTCATTTAATATTTTTAATTATTCCCATCATCTTTTTAATCTTGCACAATATACTTTTATCTTTGATATCTATGTCAGGAAAGCTGACTCTTCAGGATTAATCATTGCGTTAAAATTCTTGGAATTTCAGGAATTGTGAAGGAATTCCCTCAAAATTCAGAGAATTCCGAAATTCAAGGAGAGATTTCTCTGAAACGACTGAAGCAAATAAATAAATAATTATTCCCAGACTAGTAGAGGAGGGTGGGGTAAAATGGACACTTTGGACTCTTTTAAAATCATTTATAACTCCGAAACAAATTTACCAATTGAGCTCAGTTTAGGCCCGTCCCAAAGAGAAAGAGTTGTTCTCTGTCTTAAAACAAAAATTATTGAATTTTATCAACATTTCAACCCCTCATTAACATTAAAAAAAAATTCAAGTGTCCGTTTTAGCCCAACCCCCCCTAATTGTAGGAGAAAACACAATTCTAAAAATTCAAATAAACACAGGGGTTCCGCTTCCCCTTAAGCTAAAAATAAATAAAAAACACAAAAATAATAATTCTCACTGGACGCAAGTCCCGCCCTTTCGACAGCCTCCTCAGCAGTTTTGACCCAGCAAGGCTCCCTCTCAGGTATGGGCATAGCCGGTTCATTGACGTAAGTGTAGAAAGTCTTGGGCAGATGTTGTCTGTATCCATGACTCCTGGTGAGGCCCTTGATTCCCCCCGTTAACCCAGTGACACGCCTCAAACTCGCCATAATCCGCGCTCCCCTGTCAATAAACTCGGTTTGAATGCAGTAGCAAAGTGGTAAAACGGTTCAAGTCGACCCATCTCCCAGTTGAGTTTTTGAGGAATACTTCGGATTCCAAGGGAGACAGCGAAATTTTCGTGATTACATTTGTCGTAGCCCTCAATCAGCTCTACAAAAAAGGTTATAACAAAAATGCTGCCATCTCCCTTGGATTCCGAGATATTCATTGAAAACTGGGGAATCGTCAAAATTGACTTGTACCGTTTTACCACTTGGCTACTGAGTTTTCGCCAACTGAGTCGCGACGAGCCGTCAAGTGGCACCAAGGACAGATGCAAACGTCAATTGAAATTTTCCCGAGTGCCAGTGGCCACTGATCACACACGTTCACTCTCACTCCGGTGTAATTACCTGCCTAATTGGGATTTTACTGGGGAATTTCGGGGTTTGCGAGGAATTGCGGGTGCTGATGTCGCGGAGAGCTGATTCACACTGATTCACACTCAATCCTATATATGATTGTCTATGATCGCTGGCCGACCCGAGCTCCCGAGCAACCTTGTCCCGGCAAAACTACTCGTTTGCTCCGTTTCACTCGACCCCTCCCCACTTTCGACCAGGGATGCGCGGCGAAAAAAAATCACCCGCTATTGCGCGGGGATTATTGGGCGCAATCAATTTTTCTCCCTCGTCCGGAATATTTTTTTTCGTCGGAAAAAATCGCGGAAAACGATCGTCCCGTGGGCTTTTAGGCGATTACCGGGGTTAATTCTCAGGTTTTTATTGATGGCTGGTTGAATCTGGCGGCTGTGGCACGTCAGAACTGCGTGACCAACACAACATCTTTATTATTATTAAAAAATTTAAATTAAATGGGAAGTTTGAAGGAAGGACTTTGGGGTAGAAAAGTGCGACTGAATTTTTTAGAGTTCACTCGGGGGAATTGAGGGGGGAATTGAGTTCATTGGAGATTTTAATAGTTAAATTGAGGAATTGACTGAAGTCAAAGCCATGTGATGTGGTTTGAATTTGAAACTACGCAAATATGAATATTTTAATATCATTGAATAATGGGGATTGGTTATTTACAGTGAAATCTGAATCCCAAGACCAAGACGTAAAATTAATTTCAGTATCGAAAAACAATGCATTTCCGTTGAAATCTGGCGCTCGTATTATGTCAGAACTGCGGTGATCAAGACATCTTTTTTATTATTTAAAAATTAAAATTCATTAAGGAGTTTGAAGGAAAGGTTTTGGGGTAGAAAAATGTAGCTGAATTTTTTAGAGTTCACTCCGGGGAGTTGAGTGGGGAATTGAGTTTATTGGAGATTTTAATAGTTAAATTGAGGAATTAAGACTGAAGTCAAAACCATGTGATGTGGTTTGAATTTGAAACTACGTAAATATGAATATTTTAATATCATTGAATAATGGGGATTGGTTATTTACAGTGAAATCTCAATCCCACGACCAAGACGTAAAATTAATTTCAGTATCGAAAAACAATGCATTTCCGTTGGAATCTGGCGCTCGTATTATGTCAGAACTGTGGTGATCAAGACAACATCTTTTTTATTATTAAAAAATTAAAATTCATACTGAAGTCAAAACCATGTGATGTGTTTTGAATTTGAAACTACGTAAATATGAATATTTTAATATAATTGAATAATGAGGATTGATTATTTACAGGAGTATTCGTCAAAACATTCGTCAAACGTAAAAACGAAATAATAAAACGATAGTATTTTTTAGATGGATTGAATATCTACCGTAAAATTCAAAAGAAGAAAATGATGAACACTGAAATCCGAATTCATAGAAATATTTATCGATGAACGACGATAAATTTTTGATATCTGCAGAGTAACAATAATGATCGAATTAATTAATAAGCATTGTTAACATCTTCCATAGGTAAATAAACAAAACACAAATATCAATAATTTCCCAAGACGTAAAATGAATATTCACCATCGAAAAACACTGCACCACCGTTCAAATCTGGCGCTCGTGTTACGTCAGAACTGAACTGAACAACAGAACATCATTCTTCGATTATTAGCCACGATCAACGAGCACTGAAAATCAATTTTTCATCCCAAATCATCATAAAAAGCAAATTAATTTTTTTTCGCTGAATCTTGCCATTAATTGCGAATTTAAAGACTGAAACTAATGAATTGAGCGAGTGAAGTCAAAGCCACGTGACGTCGCGCGCCTTCGTATCCCCTCGTGACCCCTCGGCGAGCAGTCGCATAGGCCAGAGGCAATCAGACGTCTCCATTCATCGGCGAGTGTCTGCCACCGTTGACAAAGTTGCCCTAAAAATTCGTATTTGTTGTTCAATTGATAAATAAAACAATGAACCAGACAATGGGGAGCCGTCAGGCGCTCAAGGAGCACGTCCTGGCTGTCTCTCGGGATTTTATCTCCCAGCCGAGGCTCAGTAAGTACAAATTTTTGGATTTTCTCCACTGGGCGTAGACGTCCGATCGATCTCTCGGCGGGTCAGCTGATTCGTCTGATCAATTTTCTCGTGATCCGTCTCTTTGACATCTCCTAATCATCTCGACATGCCATCGACTCGTCTCCTGAGCCCTTTCGGGGGACTTCAATCCACTGATCCAACAATTTCGGGGGATTCAGGGGGAATAAACAACAGAGAGACGAGATTTTGGAGCTCGGGGGGCTCAGTCATGTGACTGAGACGATCTATCATGGTGGCATTGGCACGGAAATCTCAAAATCGTATTTAATATCCTGAAAAATGCGACTTTGGAGCCAGGAAAATCGTCGGGATAACTCGAGGGTTGTTTCACTTCTTTTGGAGAAGGAAATTTATTTTATTTTTGAGTCGTTATTATGTAATTCTGGGTATTGTTTGTTTATTATTATCCTCGGGCGTCACCCGTAGTATTATTCTTCATTCTCAATATTGAAGGTGAATGGAAATTCGATTCGTTTGTGTTGAATGGGGGAGTTAATTTCTAGGGAATAATTCAAGAGCAGAGAAAAAAAGGGATAGTGTGTCAGGTAGACTGTCTTCAGTGGCGAAAATCTCGGGAAGGGCAGAGTGAAACTCGACGATTTTTATCGGGGTTTTCGGGCTTTTTCTGGGCTTTAAAATGAGCCCAAATTCGTCGAAATCGTATCGTTGGGTTTGGAGAGATGGGGGATTTTAGAGAAGACCATTCTGCTCAGTTTTTTCTCAACTCTAATTTGATTTGGTTTGGTGATTGTGAATACCTTCTGAAAATGAATGGCATCGGGAACAATTGTCGAGAGACTTTTTCTGTGGCTGGAAAAATTTCTAACAAAAAAAATGCACTTCCCCCAAACTCAATGAATAATCATCACCATTTTTGTTAATTGCATATTTCTCTCGATAATCTCTGGATTCAGAAAATGTCAAGAGACCGTTCGAACAAGAAATATTTTCTAAAATTGATTAATTTAATTATTCAATTGACTGATTAATTTTTTTTATTGTTCAATTGTTCAATTTGGTTTCATACAATTGTACATTTATGTCAGTAATTTCCGGTTTTAAGAGAAAATTTGAAAAGACTTTTCGAAATAAAAAATATTTTCTGAAATTTCCTCCTAGAATCATTTTTTAAAATAATTTCGTGCTAAAGACGAGGGCTTTACACTCGGTTTTCACAGTCAATTATGGTTTTTCATGGATTTCCATGGTTATTTGCAGCTTACAAGACAGTATCAGGTGTCAACGGACCCCTAGTAATCCTTGACGAAGTTAAATTCCCGAAATACGCCGAAATTGTCCAACTGAAGCTCGCCGATGGCTCCCTGCGTTCGGGTCAGGTGCTCGAGGTGTCTGGCTCCAAAGCCGTCGTCCAGGTGTTCGAGGGCACCTCTGGGATCGACGCAAAGAACACCCTCTGCGAGTTCACCGGTGATATCCTGAGGACTCCAGTGTCCGAGGACATGCTCGGTCGCGTGTTCAACGGCTCTGGAAAGCCCATTGACAAGGGGCCCCCCATTCTCGCTGAGGACTTCTTGGACATCGACGGACAGCCCATCAACCCCTGGTCTCGTATTTACCCGGAGGAGATGATCCAGACGGGTATTTCTGCCATTGACGTCATGAACACCATCGCTAGGGGGCAGAAAATTCCGATTTTCTCGGCTGCTGGTCTTCCTCATAATGAGGTAATTACAGAAAAGAAATAATATTTTTGGAAATGAACTGTTAATAGGATGACAATAAAATTTTTAGACAGCGGAGAATGGGACAAACAATAAAACTTTCGACTTTTTTTAACGTTTTAAGGCCCGGGTGTTCTATCTTTCGAATGTTATCTGGATTTTTTTTTATCTTTCGTAATCCAAAATTTTCAATTGAGATACATCATGTAGAAATTCCCAAAAATTATGACAGAATGATAAAAAAAAATAGAAAAAATTCTGAACTTTTTCAAAGAGCGTTTTTCATTGAGATTCAGAATGAGTTGAATTTTTTCTACTTTTTTTTGATTATTCACTCATAATTTTTCAAAACTTCTGCGTGATGCAGGACTTGATTGACAATTTCAGATGACAAAAGATGAAAAAAACATCGAGATAATGTTCGAAAGATACTACATCCGGGCCTTAATGACAAAATTCCTGAAAATTTCATCCGAAAATCTTCCGCAGTGTATTTTCTTCGATCATAAAAGTATCGATCAGCAAAAATACGTTTTTCACGATTGAAAATCCCCGCAAAATCATTTTGGTATGAGTTCTCTAAACTTCAATTAGTTCACCTAATTTCGTTTCATAATTTCTCAATAATTTCATAATTGTCACAATTATGAAAAATATTAAATTATATATACTAATTTAATATTTTCCTATTATCTTCATTATTATGTTTAATAATTTTTTTGATGTCCTCCCTTTAATTTCAGATTGCAGCCCAAATTTGTCGTCAAGCAGGTCTGGTAAAAGTCCCTGGAAAATCCGTGCTGGACTCCCACGAGGACAATTTCGCCATTGTCTTCGCAGCTATGGGTGTGAACATGGAGACAGCTCGTTTCTTCAAGCAGGACTTCGAGGAGAATGGCTCGATGGAGAACGTCTGCCTCTTCCTGAACCTCGCCAACGACCCCACCATCGAGCGTATCATCACGCCACGTCTGGCCCTGACAGCAGCCGAGTTCCTGGCCTATCAGTGCGAGAAGCACGTCCTCGTCATCCTGACGGACATGTCCTCGTACGCCGAGGCTCTTCGTGAGGTATCAGCTGCCCGTGAGGAGGTGCCCGGACGTCGTGGTTTCCCGGGTTACATGTACACCGATTTGGCCACCATCTACGAGCGCGCTGGACGTGTTGAAGGGCGCAATGGCTCCATCACCCAGATCCCCATTCTCACTATGCCCAACGACGATATCACTCACCCCATCCCCGATCTCACTGGCTACATCACTGAGGGACAGATTTACGTGGATCGTCAGCTGCATAACAGGCAGATTTATCCACCTGTCAATGTATTACCTTCACTCTCACGTCTCATGAAGTCGGCTATTGGCGAGGGCATGACGAGGAAGGATCACTCCGACGTTTCCAATCAGTTGGTGAGGAATATTTTCATTTTTCAAACATTTCAAAGAGATTTTCAGATGATTTCGAAAGGTGCAGAATTAAAAATCAGTGGCTTCATCATTTATTTTTTCACTGATTTTTTTAATGAACATTCTCTTTTTAATTTTTAATTTCCTGAACAAAAAAGAATATGAAAATATCTTTATTGTTCATTTTTATTTTCTCCAGATATCTGTAAATTATATTTCGAAATGAATTTTTAATGAATCTCTCTAAATGAGGGAAAGATCTGAATGAAACCCGCAAAAAGTGTCTTTTAAAAATCGCATATTTTCAAACAGTAAATCTCGAGGTTTAATTTATATCATGTCATTTAAATTGAATTCTCCACGAAAATATTTCCTTCTCAGGAATTTTCCCATGAATAAATAATAAAAATATAAATTTTTGCACAAAATTTTCCCTGGATTTCGAGATATTCATTGAAAAGTCGCTTCGCCACTGACATTTCTCAGTCAATCGAAATTGCCTCGTCTCATTTTTCAACTGCAGCCTCAAAATATTCTCAATTATTCTCATTTATTCCCCAGTACGCTTGCTACGCCATCGGCAAAGACGTCCAAGCAATGAAGGCAGTGGTGGGTGAGGAGGCCCTCACCCCCGACGATCTCCTCTACCTCGAGTTCCTCTCGAAATTCGAGAAGAACTTCATCTCCCAAGGCAGCTACGAGAACCGCACTGTCTTCGAGTCCCTCGACATTGGCTGGCAGTTGCTCCGTATCTTCCCCAAGGAGATGCTCAAACGTATTCCTGCCAGCACCCTGGCTGAATTTTACCCCAGGGATTCGCGCCATTAAGCCAGCGAAAAAAATTATTTTATCGAAATTTACTTTCTTTTCTCCAAGTGTTACGTTTGAATGAGCTATTACGATGGCATAGCCGCACGACTTTGAGTCGTCTTGTGTTCTCAATCATCTCTGCCAATTGGTATTGATACTGATATTTGCAGAGTGCAGACGTCCAGTTGGTTCCATCGATAAATTTCAAGTAAATTAAATTAACAAATTACTTATCAATCAAAGAGTCGTGCCGATTACCATCGAACGTTGGGTCGTGCAAAGTTTAATGATAAAAGTGCATAAAGAGTTCGTCATTTCACTGACTAGAGACAATATTCAGAATATTTAACAAAATTCGAACGAAAAAATATGCGAAATACTTTGTATTTCTTCTCCATTCGTTGGATCGTCAGGAATTTTATTAAAATCATGTAAATTGTAATATATTGTTCAGTATTATCATAAGAAATATAAATCATTAGAGTTCAACTCTCGACGGTGTGCAAACATTCCAAAAGTTGAAGTTTCCCCCCTGTGGCTACACGATCATTAAAAAAAAATCAATTTCCGATGGGCGTGATGATTTTGGAGAATTTACTGGTCTACCGGGAGAAATAATTCTGTTCTTTACTGCACAGTGAAACGAGAGGTTGTGCTTATGATAATGCTTTCACATTAATGAATGAAACAAAGAAAAAACCCCTGAACAACACTGAATGTTTATTTAAGGTTTTACGATTTCTTGTGATGTTTTAATATCATTTCAACGATGGATCGGATTTTTTTCTGTAATGTTTAGAACAGTGTATGTATTATAACTGTAAAAAAATTATTCGTTGAATGTAACCAGGTTTTATTCATTTAAATCCCTGACAGTTGATGGAGGAATCCCAGATTTTTAATGGAAAAATCAAGAATAACTAGATTATTTTTAGTATTTCATGGGGATATTAATTAACGAAGGGGTGAATAATTTATTTCGATAAAATTTTTGATTTCATATTCATCTCGGTATTTATCTTGGAGAATCAACAGAGGAAAACATTTCCATTAATTAGTTTATTATCTCACTAATCAGGGTCTCCAGAAAAAAAGGAGATATTTTCTTGTTCTTGGAGAACTGAAGAAATATCTACGCAAATTTGATGGAAAATCCCATATTTAGCATTTGATTCTAATAATTAGAAAATTAAAAGACTGAATAATTAAAAATGAAAATAACAGAAAATTTGTACTTTTAGTGAACAGCCAGTTTCAGGGGGAAATAGACGATTTTTTTTCAACCCGAAGAAATATCCGAAGAATGAGTTTCTCTGAATCACCCCCTAAATTAATTGCTTTAGATGAATAAGCAATCAACAAGAATGAAAGAATTACAATAAAATAAAACCCCTGAGAAAAGATGAAAAAGGATTAATCCTGCGCCGGAAATTTGAATTGCCGCTGACAGAGGGCTCTATACCTTCGACTTCCGGTGTGCGTATTCGGTATTTATCGTCAGCCCAATAAATCCCCCGCACTCCCGTGTAAAAGGTGCACCCAGGTGAGCCCCAATTGGATTTAGTCCACCACGTGTCACCGATAACGTCATCAATGGACTCAAACTTTTATCTCCCTCCTTATCTGATAAATTGAGTAAGTAAATTACACATTCTTTCGATTTATTCCCGACAAAATTCTCGCTCAGGTTATGTTATTGATCGCTCGAACGATCTGACCATCTGACAGTCTGGGGATCACGAATTGCGACGCAAAAACTTGCGAGAAAAAACATGAATGAATTCATCCGAACGAACGAACGGGTTTTACTATGTTTCACGGTTGGAGCTGGCAAATTAATCCAATTACAGGCCATTGGCATTCATCGCATTGTGCGGCAATTTGTCGGGCACAATTCAAGGATTGCATTGAAATTGCGACCCCCAGTGCTCATTCAAATTCAAGAATAAATTTAGAATTGACGGCGGTGTCTCCGATTCCAGTTCCTGAGGAACGGAAAATAATGAGAGGCTCTAAATGACCTCGATATCCCGAGGAACGAGATAACATCCGAATATTATTAGTGTGACCTTCGAAACTCACAAGCGAGACGTGGATCTAGCGCAATGATCGTTGAGCAATGATTTTTTCGTCATCACTCAACTCTGCGACGCACGAACTCGAGGCTTTTTTCAATTACAATTTTGGAATTGTGTTAATTTTGGGAAATACAGGTCAAGTCGTGTTGATTAATGAATTTGTCTCATTAATGCATTCCATGTTTAGGGGAGGTTGAGGTAAAACGGACACATTCGACTTTTTTAAAATGTTAATGAGGGGTTGAAGTGTTGATAAAATTTAATAATTTTTTGTTTCAACACGAAGAACAATTCTTTCCCTCTGTGACGAGCCTAAACTGAGCTCAATTGATCAATTTTTTCTGAGTTATGAATAATTTTAAAAAAGTAGTGTCCATTTTACCCCGTCCACCCCTATTTGGCGGAACAATTCTATCAGTTTGACTTTTTTCAAAATACCAGTGACGGGTTGAAATGTCGATGAAATTTAATAATTTTTTGTTCAATACAAAGAACAATTCTTTCCCTTTGTGATGAGCCTAAACTGAGCTCGGCATTTGGTTGCATTTGTTTTTGAGTTACGAATCATTTTTAAAAAGTCTAAAGCGTCCATTTTACCCTACTCTCCCCTACGAACAATTAAACAACGTCGTGTCCATTTAACCCTACCCTCCCCTGCATTCCACTTTCCGCACGACTCAAAAAGTAACATTCCGCCGTCCCCCATCGCCGCGCCAAGAGTCCACCTCAGCGACTTTCGCTCGTGTATTTGACGAGCAGAGAGCTTTTGTTCGCCTTGCCAAGTGGTTCCCAAGTCCAATCCGCGCTCGCTCCCCACAACAAAGTTCCCCCAAATTGCCCATCGTGACAATGAGCAATCGGGTTATCGTATCCAAGACAAAAACACTCCTCCAATCGACAAAAAACCATCTTTATTATTGCCGAGTGATATTATTTGCATTTTGAGTTCACGGACATTTCGACGTGTGCACTGCACACACAGCAAGTGTGTGAGGCTTAATAATTGGTCTTGGTTGCACCGCTGAGAAACTCTCGACGGAGTAATAATTGAAGGGGGAAAGAAGCCTGGGGAAGTCAGAGGGATTGAAGAGTGAGGCAACGACCCCTCAGTGGCCTCTTGCCAATCATTCAGAGCCACAATCCCTCGTCGACCAGTAGAGAGACACTGATAAGGCCCCACGAGGGTGACAAAATCGTGGTAGGAGAGTGTCGAACAAATCACAACAAAATAGGTATTAAACAGTGAAAAAATAATAATGGAGCTATTTTCATTGGCTCAGATGCACGGATGGGACGAGCACTTCTCGGAGTGAAAATATGCTGGATGGTATAATATCGAGTTCAGTTACAATCGGCTATTGACAGTAGACTCAGTGATGTGAGACCCCTGTCCTGATGATCGGGGGAATATTGTTATTTTGATCGATATTTTCTTATGTCACGCATGGCCGGCCACTCGCATTACTGCGGGATTTCATGAATCGTCCCGAATGAATTTTAGAATGTTTATTTGATCGTCTTGAGGGGGTTTTAATTTTGTAACGAGCGCTTGGTGAAGGTCTGTGAAGTGGTTTAATTGGTAGGTTTTTCATTATTGTATTGCAAAATGACTGGACTCGTTGAGATATTCCTGTTCTGCGGTGTTCTCTACTACTTCTATAACACAAGGTATAATTTTACACTTTTTCATTTGGAATTAAGGGATTTACGCGCTGTTTAATTTTACATTATCGGAGGGACATTGTTATGGCGATATTTTCTTCAGGTACTCGTGACACCCGGAATGAATTTTAGAATGTTTAATGGAAAGTTTTGACTGATTTTTAATTTTATATTGAGTCTGGGAATGGAGTGATTTTAATTGCTAGGGTTTTTTTTATTATTGTATTGCAAAATGACTGGACTCGTAGAGATATTCCTGTTCTGCGGTGTTCTCTACTACTTCTATAACACAAGGTATAATTTTACACTTTTTCATTTGGAATTAAGGAATTTACGCGCTGTTTAATTTTACATTATCGGAGGGACATTGTTATGGCGATATTTTCTTCAGGTACTCGTGACACCCGGAATGAATTTTAGAATGTTTAATGGAAAGTTTTGACTGATTTTTAATTTTATATTGAGTCTGGGAATGGAGTGATTTTAATTGTTAGGGTTTTTTTTATTATTGTATTGCAAAATGACTGGACTCGTAGAGATATTCCTGTTCTGCGGTGTTCTCTACTACTTCTATAACACAAGGTATAATTTTACACTTTTTCATTTGGAATTAAGGAATTTACGCGCTGTTTAATTTCATATTATCGGAGGGACATTGTTGTGGCGATATTTTCTTCAGGTACTCGTGACACCCGGAATGAATTTTAGAATGTTTAATGGAAAGTTTTGACTGATTTTTAATTTTTTATTGAGTCTGGGGATGGAGTGATTTTAATTGTTAGGGTTTTTTTGGAAGAGCAATCGAGCCCGCCGAAGGCGGGCGACGATCGATCGATATTATACGAGTGTCTCGCCCGAGAGATTACGACGGTAGTAACGTTAGTTTAGCCTTCCTAATCTCGAAGGGCGAGACACGAAGTATAATACGAGGTCTAATTTTCCTGTCTTTTTCATTTGGAATTGTAGTATATTTCAGGGCGATTACCATGGGGTTTTTACTCGCGCGGAGTTGGCGTCCGAGACGAAGGCTAGGGCTGGCCAACCACGCGAGTTAAAAAAACCCATGGCACTACTCGTGAATGATAATTTTCCGTAGTGATTTTCACTTTTACGGGGTTCGGGGAAGGGCCATTGCCAATCCCCGGACGAGGAAAAGTGAAGGTCAGTATGGAAAAGAAGTTCACGCGCTGTTTAATTAGATATTACCGGAGGGGAATTGTTATTTTGATATTTTCTCCTGTTACGCATCAGCATTACTTTAGCATTGAATAAAAATAGACTTCTGGAATGAATTTTAAAATGTTTATTTGATGGTTTTGAGGGGTTTTTAATTCAGTAGCAACGTCGTAAAACGGTTTAAGTCGGCTTATCTCTTGGTCGAGTTTTTGAAGAATATCTCCGAATCTAAACGAGATAATGGAATTTTTGTGATGACCTTTTTTCTAGAGCAAGTTGAGTGCTACAAAAAAGGTCTTGACAGCAATTTAGCCATCTTCCTTAGATTCCGAGACATTCACTAAAAACTGGCCAATAGTCAAAATCGACTAGAACCGTTTTACCACTTCGCTACTGAATTTTGTACTGTACGAGTGGCGAAGTTCAACGAAGTAATTTCCATTTAGGTATTTTTCTTTATTATTGTACTGCAAAATGAGTACATGCATTGAAATATTCCTGTTCTGCGGTGTTCTATACTAGTTCTATAACACGAGGTATAATTTCCCATTTTTTTTTTCAAGAAGGATCTTGCGGGTTGTTTAACTTGATATTACTCACGGCTCGTCTTCACGCGATACCGATGGATTTCAGTAGAAAAAAGGGAAATAGTGAGAAGAATTATTGGTTATTGAATCAATAGCGTATTTGTTTTGCTCTGAAACGTAAGACCGAGGAAATTTGACCCCTGAGTGTACTTAATTCTCGATTCATACGCATTACATGGGTTTCCACGCTGTAAGGGTAGACAAGTGCCGTTTATTTCAGGTGTTTTAATTAGCAATGATCAATTATAAATGATATATTGCGAAAAATCATTTTGTTGAAAAACGCGATGCTTTAAAAACATTCTTTGCTTGTGCATAAATGATATTGTGCATAAAGGAATTGTTTTTACTTCCGGAAACCTTATGTTTTGACATTAAATCGATTTCTGGTGGAGTTCTGAATATCGAAAAGTCCGTTACGATTTCGTAAGAATTATTTTACGGATGGAAACTGAACGTTTGTAAATTATTCATGAAAAAATGTCGAAATTTTCGGAAGTGTTGTAACGCAGTAGCGCGGCTTAACTGAGTTTTTGAGGAATCTCTCCGAATCTAAGGGAGATAGTAAAATTTTCATAACAACCTTTTCTGTAGGTCTCAAACCCCTGTTCAAAAAAGGTTATGACAAAAATTTTTCTATCTGGCTTAGATCTAGAGATATTCATTGAAAACTGATCAATAGTCAAAATTGACTTGACCCGTTTTACCGCTCCGCTACTGAATTATTTTACGAATAGGGGTAGCCATATCCATAAATTACAATGACTGTTAAATTGTTAAGTAGTCACTTAGTTAATCACTTAGTTAATTAACTTTTAAATTTTAATTATTGAAGGAGTCATCAATTTGAATAGTAAAATTTTAAATTATTCATTGATCAGTAATTGAGTTGGGAAGATTGGCGATTATTTGGATAATCGGAAATCCCTTATAAGAAATTTAGTATTATCTACTTAACCCTAGTCTGGTCACCAGACGCGACCCTGCGACTCTAGTCACCTCCGCTGGGATTCCCCGTCGTGTTATTTAGGCTCGAGCGTTGCCGAATTCACTCTACACTGGCTGGGCGCGTTTGGCGAGTTTTCGGCAACGGCGGGTGATGGGCAATTTCATTTAAGGCGGCAAAACCCGAATTTCTCAAGCAAAATTCGTAGTCTTTAGCTACAAATGTTGAAAAAATTGAAATAAATAAATGTTGAAAAATATCCGAAGTACTTGTGCACAATCGAGTGCCGACCAAAGGCACCTGCATTGATTGGCAAATCATCTGAAAAAAAATCATGAATAAAGGAACAGTCTTGTTATTTTTATTGAATGCCCAACGGAAAAGAAGTTATGAAAGACAATTGAGGTAACCGTGAGGTGGTATGGGCGACGATTGAGTGTAATCAGTCCTTAATTCGTTAAGAATGACGGCCAGAACCGAGACGATCACGCCACGTACGTGTCTTGGAGCATGTGGACAGCACGCTGGGTACAAAGACTGCTATTTTAGATAAAAACGAAACAAAGAGTTTGAGACATCGTGTATTTCGCGGAGGGATCAGGGTTTACTCCAATTCTGATAATTTTTTTTGGGTCTTTTATTCTTGTTTTGCAACGCTCTTATTCGTGGCAAATTGTTTTGCAACATTTTAGACGTTGAGAAATAGTCGATTGAACAAACAACCCATGAGGGATGAGTCATTTTTTCGTGCATTTGTTTGTGCTCTCGGGTTTTGTTTGGATCTGTGTGACACTGTTACCTTTGATCTCTTCATTCTCTGTTGCATAATTTCATGTTTTTTGCTTTCCTTGGGTTTTAGAGGAAGTAATATGGTGGATGTCCTGTCCACTCGTCTTCAGGAAGTCTATGCCAAGTGGGAGGCACGCACTGACGTTCCGAGGGAGACTGATGAGAGCTTTTCCAGGCTTTCGTTAGATGGTAATGAATTTAATGAATATTTTCTGGTTATGCGTTCGAGTCAGCTCAGCAATGAGGTCTTGGAATGAAAATATTTCTGTATTTAAGGCTCGGGGGGATTATCTTTCGAACGTGATCTTGGTTGCTTTTTTTATTTTCATAATCTGAAGTGATCTTCAATTGCTATTCAGTTTTGCATAGCCCTGGATTCTCCAAAATTATGATTGTACAATCAAAAAAACTTGAAAAAAGGCTGAACATTTTCAATGAGCGTTTTTGAATCATATTGGGAAATAAACCCAATAGCGAGGAAATTGCAAATTGATCATTCGATGGGTCTAATGGCTGTTAGGTCGTCATTTGTCACAGTACACTGAGAGAAAAACAAACACATTGTCAAACAAGTCTTGTTTGGGCCAACAAAATCGCTAGTTGAAAATTGCCAAAAAAGAATTTGTTTGGTTCGAATTTGACAGTCTCAAATATGAATAATTGTTCAGCTTTCGACAGCAACGAAATATTTGGCTCAAGAGGCGGATAATTCACACCAGACGGTGCCTTTTCAGGATGTAAATATCTCAGAGGAAAATTTATCAACAAATATTTTATCCCTAACTTACAAGATTGCAATCATATCATTATTATTGTTTCATTTAAGGGTTCATTTGTTGTCTGTGATTATTAGACAGCCGAAACGAAAAACTACTATCCCTTGATCCGCATAAAACAAAGATTTTTCGGGAGCAAAATACGTAGGGGAGTATCGAATAACGGAGGAGTAGTGCTAGAAATGACATTTCTTGCGTCTACAGAGAATGCAATATTTTTTTAACTACTAAATCTATTTTTGCGACAAAAATTTTTCATTCTGGCGCACTCTCTGCATGTTTAGCACAAAAAATCATTTTTTGATAATTTTCAAAAAACTATTTTCTTGGCACAAGTAAGACTTGTCGTTTTTCTCTCAGTGTAGTCAATGGCTGTCAGATCGTTAGTTACCATGGTAAACTGTCCATTCGCTATTTTCTCTCTATCAGACTTATTTCTTAACCTTTATTAAAAACGCTCGTTGAAAATGTTCAGATATTTTTTCTACTTTTTTTGACTGTACAATCATAATTTAGGGACTCCTGCGTGATGTAAAATGGAATGGAAATTGTGATATATTTTACATTGCAAAGATGAAAAAACAATCGTGATAACGAGATAGTGAATTTCTCATAGGGACCTCTTTTGTAGAGTGAAATAAAGGTACAAAAAGGTCCTCATTAATGTTGTCGTATCTCTGAAAACTACTTGGGAATGAGTTCAGGGAGAAATGATAGTCTTTGATGCAGTGAGAAAAAAATTATTTTTGCCCAATATTCATTTGCTTGAGGGGAGCATTTATTATTTCAAAATAGTATTTCTTCAATCGAGTCATTCACAGGCGGGCCTCATTAGGCATAGCGCCTATTAGGATTTAATTATCACAATTATGTTGCTCTGGACGATGACTATGTTGCACAAAATCTTGGATTAATTCCTCCGCTGATTATTCATTTTTCTCAAAATTCTTATTTTCTAGAAGAAAGAATTTGGATCAATTGTTTAATGTTAATCATTATTGGGGGAGTTCAAAGTCATGAATAACAGGATTATCTTCCAGACCAATGCAAATGTCATAATCGAAACCTAAAAATAAACATTATGTTTACTTCTCGTAAAAATAATGTTTTTTTGAAAATTCTCCCATTTTTATATTTATAAAAAAAACCTTTGGAGACGAATTAATGGATTAATTGATATCTTTGGCTGTGATTACGCATGTAGAGGAATCACTGAATAATGTACACTAATAATAACAAGAATATCAAAACAATGCAAAACTTAATGTAGCAAATATGGCGTGGTTATCGATATTTCCATCTTTAGGGGACCAAAAATGTAAAAACTCGAGTGGGTATCCATCAGATGAATAAATAATATCATTGGATAAGGGAGAGACACGCTCTCTCAGATAAGTTCCTCATGAAATTTCTTCATCAGATATAAATATATTGATGAAAAGCTCTGATTTCAGTATCGAAAACAGTCAACTCAAAGTTCAATTTTTGATAAATATCTCCGATGCCGCAGCAGATAGCCAACTTTTTCCAACGATTTTGCAGCTCTCATTCTTCATTCCAAAACTTTTGCTATTTGTCTTAGATACCGAGATAATTCCCATAAACTGATTATTATAAAGCAATCAAGTTTGACTTCAAGCTGATTATTTGTCTTATGACATCACTTTCATAGCAAATTCGCTAGAACATTTCATTGGATTTCTCTTAAACTATTCTTTTTTCATCAGAAATGTTCAATGGAAAATGTTTTATAGGAAAACTCGATGGAATTTGATTTTTCTGTGCGACGAAAAGAAAACAACAATAGAGTGCAAAAAAAATTGAAGAATTCAGTAGCGAAGTGGTAAAACGGTTTAAGTCGACTTATCTCCGAGTTGAGTTTTTGAGGAATATTTCCGAATCTAAGGGAGATGGCGAAATTTTCGTAATTACATTTGTTGTAGCTCTCAATCGGCTCTACAAAAAACCTTGTAACAAAAATTCTCCATCTTCCTTATATTCGGAAATATTCCTCAAAAACTCAACTGGGAGATGAGTCCACTTACCCCGTTTTACCACTTCGCTACTGAATTCAATTCTAGAAAATTCTATAGAAAGTGTCTCAACGGAAAAAGCTGCACACAAAGATCAAATGAAATTTTTTCATGTGCCTTTTCCTTAAATTTTCGCCATCCCCCAAAAATTAATGAAGAAATCCAGTTTGCCGTCACCCCGCTGATTCATCTCGCCCCCTCACGTTCTGTCCCACCACCACGTTTGCCCCTCAATTAATCGTCTTTTTTTCTTTTTAAACTAGGCCTTCGAAGAGCTGGTACCCAAAGCCAAAGAAAGCGCCTGCAGATTCGCGAGCAGGCCCGTAAAATTCGAGCGAATTCCCTGATAAAAATCAAAGAGACTGAATTACTTGTTCCAACAATATCCAGAACCACAACGATCTCTTATCAATGCTGCACAACATGCACACCTGGATCCCGAGTAAGTAGCCCCAGCAATTCAGATCACTCGGTTTATTTGCGTGTGGGTGACTTTCCACCGGTATCACCCAAATACCCCAGTGCCATTTCTTTTTCGTGACTTTTTCTAAAAATAAACTATCGTACGATTCACCAACATTGCGTACACATCAACTGGCGCTCGTGAGTTCTCTCCGGGGT